ATAAGTGACCTAAAACTACACGATTGTGACACGCGTCGCTCGCTTAGCGATTACCCGAGCCGATATGGCACCGATGGATTATGGCATGACATCTGCATCGACGTCGAATGTGCGCGTACAAATCAATTATGCCATGATATTCTGACAAGCAGCGTATCGGAACATGCAAGTACACATGGTCCGACAATTAACGTAGGCCGATTTAATGCCCGACCAAGTCTTGACTAATTCAATGAATATTTCTGCGTATTATGGTGTACCTAAACCGCATACTGAAATTGCTCCGCCAGAGGCTCGATGGAATTGGACATCCGCCATGCATGGCACAGGACATGGACCATCTCCGAAACGACTATTCCGTAAATCCTTCTGAACACCCAAGATTAAAACATTTACGATGCGCTCTGGCGGCCAGGCGTGGGATTCGAATATGGCTAAGCGTGTGCAACATGCTAACTTGACGTTTTATGTCAATGATCTTTCGATTGCGTCCTTGTCTGAGCATTTCCAGCAACACCTTCTTCTCCCCGTTCGTCCCCGTCATCTTCCTCGTCACTTTCATAAGAAGCCAATTCCAGCAGCACGGATGGTTGTGTGCTTGCTTGTGATGCAGCTGCAGTCGTACCTGGCTGATCACTATCGGTGCTTTCGTCGGGTCTCCTGGACGGGCCTACCTGAGGGTTCGATGCACTGGTGGGCTGCCCCATACCTGTGGTACTTTCATTTTCGTTGGGTTCCGCTTTATGTTCAGCCTTCGCTTTTTTTGGCTGGACCGCAAATGTCGTTAATGGCAGCTGCGATTGAAGCCTGTGAAGAAGGGAAGATCAAGTGGCGTTAGACACTACTGTAGCTTTTTCTTTGGGGCCTGTGCCTGCCGCATAGAGGATGCTTTCTAAATTGTGGATGTCACATCAGCGCACTGGTCAACATTGACTGTCAAATCCAAGCTTCGATTCCCTCTTGGCTTGGAAGAAGCTGTGCCTGCCACATGCTTCTGCCAGTCTCCAGCGGGCATTTGAGCAGCCCACCTTGCGTTCGGCTTGGCCCTCTCCTTGCTTTGCCCCAGCACGGGCAGTGCGGCGGCCTCCGTCTTGGCCGCCGCTGCTGCGCGGAACTGGGCAAAAGCCCTGCGCTCCGCCTGAATGCGCGCACGCTCCGCGTCCTGCTCGGCGTCCTCCATCTCACGCAGGTACAGCAGGTCCTCGGTGTCGAGAGCACCACGCCCACGCAGATACCCGCCTGTCGGAATATATGGCGCAGCGTGAGCAGAGACCACGCCAGCGGATCTCCGAACAGTAGCAACAGCAGGGGAGCTTAAACAAGGACCAGCAGAGCCTCTCGGAGCAATCGCCCTTTCATTTCGAAACTGGGACATGTAGACCCTGAGTTTAGCGGCCCCTACGGTTAGCACTGCCGATTCGCAAGGGCCCGTCCGTGGGGCAACTACAACAATACTTAGGAAGCACATGTCGGATTCTTATATGATGCAAAGTTTGGAGCCAACTCAGCAGCGGTGTGCCCCAGACCCTGGCTGGCTCAGCCTTACCCCGTTCATTCGCAGAATCTTGCATCCGCGCCACCATCTTCTTGAACTTCTTCTCTTCATCATCAACATCCTTCCGGGACTTGTCTGCAGGAGGGGCAGAAAAATGTGAAATAAGCGAAGTGATTAAGCTTTTCGTACAGCTTTAGAGCTACGACTTTGATAACCCATTGCAACATCCCCTACGACAAAGTATGACTGATGCTTCCCTGCAACAGAAAGCCTGGCCTAAAGACTGTGTGCCTGATTCTTTCCACAGGAAGTTCATAGATCTCCCCTCATTAGTCGTTTCAACCGAACTCCTTGCAGGCAAGCTAACAGCTGCTGCAGGGATAGCTGCCCTTTTCCTCGCCACCCTCCGGAGCTCAGAAGCTGTCAACAAGTACGGCTTATACAGCACGCATTCTCAAACTTAGCGATGTTTTGGAGAGGGGGCAGGCCCTACTGAACAGCAGCTATTCGCCAACACTTTCATCATGAAGAAGACTCTCATCAATCTTTTGAGCTTTAAGTTCTTACCATCCGAGAGGTTTGTGAAAATTTTCACTTCTCTCCTTGCCATTTCGCCTGGGCGCCAACCTTGTAACGCGACAATGGAGCTCTTCTCCAATCTCTACACAATTACATCCAGTGTTGCTGGCTATTTGTCGATAGAATTATGCAGAGCGCAAAGAGAAAGATTTGGGTCCTCTTCCATTTGATGAAGTACAAACTAAGAAGTGGACGGATCCTTGAGACACAAAGCACCTCAGTACAGATCAGGTGACATCGTCCGTGCCCCTCGACCGCCCTTCGCTTGCTTGGATGAAGAAAGTGGCAACTTCAAGAGCCCACAACGGAGAGAAGGCGCCTGTCGGGGAGAAAGGTCTTTTCAAAACTCTAGCACCAGAGCCCTCACAGAGTCACAGTGTCAGGCTCATTGAAGCACTTTGAAATTTGAGAGGGCTGTCCAAAAATCCAGGACTGCAATGATCAGACTACATGAACGAGAACGGGGGTATTCTCGAGTCGGGGCCCGACAATGGTCAAATTAAACCTTTATCAGAGCCGGTTTTGAGGTTTGGATCAATAACAAAAAGAAATAGTAAATATTAGGAGCGGGCACTCGGGAAACCGGCAACATAGCGGCTGCCGTTTGAAACGACTGACACTGGTGCACTGCAATCTCGCGAATTAATTACATTGAAAAGTTTGGTCGTCACTCGTGACGACTCGAGTGAGCTGAGAGCCGCGCAGAGACGAGCCGCGAGTCGGAGTCAGAGCACGGAAGACAACTCGGACTCAGTGTCAGAGCAGCCCTGTTGCATGAAGCCCGAGTCCTGACTGGGCTCGCATTCAGTGTCCACTCACATTCAAGCACTCGCATTCTTGATCATTTGGCGGGTTAAGTCCTAGGGGCAGTCTGGGAGTTCCTAGAGGCAGTCTCGTGCTTGAAGATTTTCAGCTTGAAGAACTGCAGATATGAGCGAAAAGCGAAAGCACCAGGGAAGCGGTGCGCAGGGTGGGGACTCCAAGAAGAAGAAGAAGGGACAGTACTTTGCAGTAAGTAATCTGTTGCGATCAGTTTTTGAATGTAATGCTGTGGCTTCAGCAAATTCGTCCTGCTCGTTTTGAAAACACTTGCTTCTTTCTGCCCAAGGTGGTTGGAGGCACCGTGGTAGAGGTGGGGGTATGATAGAAGATACCATGCTGGTCTACAAGACTTGCTCTCCAGGATTGGAACAGAATCGTCAGCGCAGAGAAGACACACGTGGCAGTCTGAATCTTGTAAAGTCGATGGATCAGAACTCTGACTGCTGGTCATACATCCGGTCATTCTTTTCATCCATTCCCGCTCTATATCGTTGGCACTGCTGGGAATCGGTGGTGGTAGGTCGTGCACGTGGTGGCTGCTGACGCTTTGTGTGCATGGTTGCAGCCCAAAGGTGGGAGGCCTGGGAAGGACATCCCTTTGGGGGTGCAGGGCTTCCTGCTTTCGTGCACCCAGGGCCGAGAATGGCAGGCGGGCAAGGAGATAGTCAATGTCCTGGAGGAGGTGGGGCGCACAAGACCATCCCTGATGCGCTGTGGCTTGCTGAACTCGAACATGCTGTGGAAAACCAGCTTCCGCAAAGAGTCTCCGTGTAAATGATAAGCTGCTATGGTGCAGCAGTCGTTGGGTACTGCAGAGGAAACCTTCAAGCCCCACTTTGTCAGGCATGCTGAGGATGTTATCTGATCAGAGTTGCCAGTGCCACCTGTCCAGGCCTGGGAGGAGCTCACAGGAAAGACCAGTGAGAGGAAAGGGAAGCCTGCTGAGGGTGCAGCTGAGGGTGGTGGCGGCGTTGAGGCGATGCTGGAAGAAGAGCTGGGGGAGCTGCGCGACACATCCAAGGTCAGGGCAAATTACACGCGGATTGCAGATACGCTTGCTCTGGCGCTGCAAACAAAATCAATGGCTGGGGCACTACAAGAAGGCTATGGTGTGATCGTCCTGCCCAGTCTGCCAGCATTGGAGCAGTACTACTTATGTGACTTTCAGGATGTCGAGGCCAGCTTAAACTGAGTCATCTTCGGTGGAGACTGCAGAACGTTGTTTCACATGTTGCAGTACAGAAGTTGTAGTCATAGATTTTGAAAGTAAACTTTTCACTCAAGCTCGGTCGTCAGTGGGAATCACTCTATCTCTGTGTGAGCGCTGGTTGATTGCGCCCCTGTTCTTATTTGAGACACCACAAGGCTGCGAGCCGTGTACGGACGCTGAATTCGTTTGTGCGCAGGCTCGTTTCTGGCGGATCGACACAGGCTGCAAGTGCTTGACTTTCATCAAGTGGACCCCTGAGGAGGGGGATCCCTCCCCCGGCCAGATCGTGCTCCACATCCTAGAGGCGGCCCAGAAAACCAAAGTCACCAAGACGAGGTACGCTGCATATCCTTGAGTTGCATACCTGCCTCTTCAGTGGTGGCAGGTACCGGCACTTCCCAGCTGGGCTCTGCATTGTCTTATATGATGGTGCAGCATCACGATCTGCGTTCTGGATGTGACAGAGGCTCCAAGGTACGCACTGTCCTTCCCTGAATGGGTTGCCATTCTGCATGCAGAAACTGCTCGCGAATCTTTCCTGTGGAAGTAACGGCATACGCTTCGCTAGACAAGATCAAGGCGGCGGTGGCTCCCCTGATAGAGAGAGAGCTTCCCGAAGGAGAAGACGAGCCGACTTTCACAGTGAGCAGCTGGCACCACCATCTCAATCGTACTCGTGGCTTGCACAATCACCATATAGGGCCCCGTGAGCCTCTTGAGAGACCACACTTGAGCCCGTCGGCTGAGCCCGATCACCTTCCCTGACGTGAAGAATAGTGTATTGCCGGTCGCTCTTTGGAGTACTGAGTGTTAGTCGACCCAGATCTAGTTACCCTTACTTTGCGACCCTCTTGCTGTTCGCATTGAGCTTGTTGACACACCGCTTACTCCTCGACGTTGGCTCCTCTTACTCTCCTCAGTTCGGCATCCAGTACGAGTACCGGGCGAACGACAGCCTGGATCGGAAGGAGGTGATTGACGGCATCGCGAGCATGGTGCCCAAGCGGCACAAAGTGGACCTGAACAAGGCGGACAAGACCATCCTGGTGCAGATCATCAAGGTAGGCCCGCGCAGCACGCACACCATAAAAGTCCTCGCAGCAAGAACCACAGGGACTAAAGGCCCTCGATGGTCTGAAGGCGATGATGTCAGATGTACTCGTCTCGACTGGTTTGGTTCTCAGGAACCTCCTTGAACGTGTTCTGAGCTAGTACAGATTAGCACGCGGCCCCGTACCAGGCTCTCATTTCTTTTGCCGATTCCCTGTGCAAGGCTAAGGCTGTGCTGGATAAGGTTTATGACACGCTGCCGATAGACATTGCACGGAAATTGAGAAGCCCACCACTCAAGCCTGTAGTTCTGATCTTGTACCTTGCAGACAACGTGCACGCTGAGCGTATTGCCTCGGTTTCGAGCCCTTGCGCGATACAATCTACAAACGCTGACCGATCCGAAGCAGGGCGGAGACAAGGGCACTCAGGATGCGAAGCCTAATCCGAGCGCAGGTGAAGAATCAAAGAAAGGAGAAACAGGCAAGCAGGATGCGAAGCCCAATCCGAGCGCAGGTGAAGAATCAAAGAGAGAAGAAACAGGCAAGGAAACCCCTTTGTTAGGGGAGACCTAAGCTATTGAGCGGCACAGTGCATGCGTCTCGCAACCAGCGGCAATGGATACTCGTGCATCTGGAACGCCTGTGAATGAAGGGCTCAGATGATCGTCCAAAAGAATGCCGCCTCTTCATCAGCAAGCGCACGGTAACGTTTTGGCTCCGCATGCGAAGGTGCTAATATTGACGTTTTGCATGAGAAAGTCACCAAAGACCGGGGTCCCAAATCAGGGCCTTCTTACTGAGGTTATGAAACTTTGGCACATATTGCTGTGGCGGTCACATGCATGACCTCTATTGAATCTGAAGGCACTTAGCCTTGGTAGAGCGGGCATGAGGGACTCGTAAGGTATGCCGACGTTTAGTACCTGAAGTTTACGGCAGATCAACGTGCAGATGCACATGACGGACCTTAGCTCAAGTGCCTTGGTTCTGCATATTGTGCCTTGATACTGATGCACCTGCGCGTCCCTTATAATTAAGGTCATGTCCAATGTCACCGCAGCAAATAGGCGTTGACGGCGCAAGCCACAGGCCATAGATGAGGTGCGATTCATGGATAAGCTGTGTACACATGGACTGCAGATCAAATCGAGCTGCAAACTGATAGAGCTACGGTAGTAAAGAGTACAGGACGGCACTCACGCAGACGGTACGATGGTATGGGCGCAGATTATTGCAGCATCGTGACTGCGGGATATGGCACGCGCGCTGCGGCTATCTGAGTACGTGTTGGTTCAATCTTTGTAAGAATGCGACCTTGATGACAATTATGTGTTCCTCCATGATGAGCATGCATGCGTACTTCGGCGGCCATCGATCCTGTAACCAACACAACGAACCAATAATCAGGTATGATGCCAAGGTCTTGCATCCTTGAGCAACGTCAACCAGTCTGGCTCATGCGGCCCAGGATGACAAACGCCTGGAAAACAAGGTGGCATGATTTTGGACGCATGCGGAATATATCGAAAAGATCATACCTCCCTGAGGCATCCCTGCCGCTGCAGTACCTGTTACCTTCCTTCCGAGAAAGTCGATCATCATCTCGCTTACAAAGAGTCGACTCTTCAGGATCAGTGTGGCCAAATGGACACTTGAAAGTGCAAGCTAATCAGGCCCATCACAAGTGGGCCACGTAATGCTCATTGGTGCCCTGCCGACAGGTAGCAGATTTGGAGGGGCAAAGGTAGAAGCCTACCCACAGCAACCTTTACATTAAAATTCTGCTTACTCTGATCCTCAATGGTGCTTGCAGAGAGACGCGCTGACCAGGCCTATCTTCTTCGAAGATTTGTAATCACATCTCATGCTCAACTTGTATCATCATCCTTGCTAATTCAGCATCGGAAATCTTCTCTATTGAGGCACAGTGGAGGAGGTCAGCAATCCGGGCCGCCAGCTGATGCTTGCACTGCAGCAACAGGGTTGACAGGAAGATGGAGTACGTACGACATGCATGGGTCAAATGAGGATCACCCTTAATGGAATCAGAGACATTGCAAAATAGAGAGCTCTAAGCATTCGCAGATTTGTGACGGACTCTTTCATTTCGGGTGGACTGTCTTTTGCAGCATTTCAACCAAGTTGCCTGTGCTCTTCCTTGAGACAGCAACAAGCTTGCTGGGAACTCACATGCAGCTGCTCCCCTTTGGAGACGACGTCATAGAAGAACGAATGACAAGAGCAGAAGTGGCTGGGAAAGCAGGTGTACTTCTCGCCTCCGTGCCCGGCCACCTGCACAGGCTTTGAATGGTGGATCCGAGGATTTAGTGGCATGACCATACAAGACAAGTAGCACTTCATATCTATCCGCGGTCTAGCTCTGCAAACATTCTGAGACTGAGCACCAATCTTGTGATGAGAAGCTCAGGAGTGTGCAGCCAGGTCATGACCCAGTGCAATACCACCGCAAGACTGCACCTGAAACATAGAGCGCCCACTGCGTTCTCCCACAATGCTCCGCACCCCGCCAGTTGTGGCGATTTGCAAGGCCCGCTCTAGATTCTTCCCAAAGAAAAAGGACAGGCTGCACAGAGGATGTAGGTGTAGGGAGTGCCTCTCAGCAAAATGCAAGTGAGCATGCGTAGATCTTTGCAAGAGCAATAAATCTGAACGATAAGTTGGATTCTGGACTAAGGGTGGGGGCTAGTACGTCATTAACTGACAATGTACATTTCTAGAAGGCTGGAGATGGTGTCAACTCACGAAAGCAGCTGCTCGTCCGTTACTGCACAGAAAAGCGCAAGATCAGCGACAAAGAATGTGAACCATCTGCAAATTCGGTGCAATGTTATTGAAGCAGCAATTAGCCCAGGGCCCTCAAAGGCGCTCTTTCAAAACTGGTCGTGGTCTGCGAGCTGTTTGCACTGATGATTCTCCCACTTACGAGAGGTTTGCTTGTCGTCTGGCGCTTGGTCAACGACGGGTGCATCCTGCTCCTTTGCAATCGCTGTGAAGAGCGCGTCCACAATCTGCGAAGCAGGAACCTGCATCTCTGGGGTGCCAATGGAGGTGGTGGCGCAGTTTCGTATTCCAGGGGCTTTCAAGACCCTTGTATCTGAGCGACCAGTCTAGGGCCCATTCTAGCTCTGGTGGCTAATAAATTGTTGTTTTAATCTTCTGTCTTAGATCCTGCACCTCCGCTTCATGTCCCTATCCTATGCTCTGGAGGGCGACAGCACGTGAGCAGTGTGGAGATGGAAGTGTGTCCAATGCAATAGCAGTGCAAGGCCAATGCAGGTACGAAGACATTGCACACACTAAGGACGCAACCGTCAGCCAGGGGCATCCGAGGGGATCCCCCTGCGCCTTGGCAAGTGAGTTAAACTTCTGAGATCCAGACGCCTCGAAGTTGAAGTCGCAAATTGGCACATTGCAGACACTTTTCGGATCATTGGCGTACTCTCTCAGTAGCGCTCTGCGCCTCCTCATCTCAAACGTGTGGGCTACAGATCAGTCAATCAGCTTGAGCTGAAGGAAGCGCAGGCCAGATTAAAAAGAGAAGCTGGTATGAAATATTGATGCACTAGGCGCGTACATCTGCAGGAATGGCGCGCATATGAACATCTGTCAATTAGCCGAGGCGGGGTGATACGAATGGCTCTGAATGCAGAACACGTTAGTTGCTGCCTCTCTGTGCCAACCCCATTTACAGACACAAAGGTGCAGGAATGCGAGACCTTTCAAAAATGCTGTTCTCTGAGGATAGGCAAGCAACGCAGCAGTGGCGCATTTGTACACCCCCGACGGCTACGCCTCCCACAATTTGGTGAACCATTGCAACGGGTGTCTGGCAAGCTGAAGTGCCATGATTGCAGACACGTAAACAGCGCTCCCACCACTGCGGGACTGGTTGACAGCACTGGGGGAACAGGAGGGCAAAGTGCGGAGACCTCAAGTGGCCCCTATGGACCTTCCAACGACCTTTGGTTGACACAGGAGGTGGACCGCTTGACGAGTATGCAGGTGAGGAATCAAGGCATGGTGAGCAGTCCCCAGCCATGGAGTCCCTACTGATGTGCCCATGGTCAATTGGTGCTTTGTATGCAGTTATAATGTATGCACTTGCAGCGCTGTGGTTGCCAATGTCGCTGCCGCCTCCTTGGGGTCACACAGCATTCCGTGTCTGTCCCTGAATGCAGCGGGCGCTTCCATCTGATGGCCTCCTTCTGACGCGGGGCAAGTGGAGCTGCGAAAGGCGCACCGCCAGCGACATTGTGCTGGTGGGAACCATGCAGTAAGGCCTGCTCCTTGTCTGGCTCGCCCAAATTGTGACAATCTCAATGCACTGGCATCGGTGTACGGCTTCCTCGTGCATTTGTGCCTGCCACAAAGAGATGAGGCCCTCTGAGCCCCTCCTGTGTGGTATCTGCAGTTTCCACAACCTCTCCGACCGGCGGGAACTCTTCATTCCTGAGCTGCGCGCAGAGGCAACCCTGCTGGCATCCGATAGCCTCCGGAATGTGATCACGCACACAGAGGTGAGGCCTGCACTTCAGTGGACCTGGCTGGGCAAGGGGAGGTGGAGCACTTGGTAGCGTGGCCACTCATTCTCGCCTAATTCTGCTGAGCCAAGAGAAGGTGGTTGCGTGCTGGTTGTTGGGCCTTCTGACACACGTCTGAGCCCGGCATAGGTGGTACCTCGACACACAGGCAAGTACGCAGTCTCTGCGCGGCCAGACGGCTACTGGCAAGCCTTCATCCTGGAGGCAGGCAAAACCACCAGCATTGAGGTAAGTATGCTCCGACATATGACTGGCTTGTTCTTGCTTTCATGTCTGAAAACACATCAGCTAGTACGTTTTCTCTCAGGATCTTGTTGCTGTATAGATGGCCTCAGGACACACAAACAAGGCAGCGATTGCATTGAGCGGTGCTTTGCATCCCTTCTCGACCAGTCTCAGCCAATATTCATTGTGGCCTTGTGACACAACTTGCTTTCTCGACGTGTAACCTTGCTTTCAGGGCGGCGCATGATATGCACGAATCGTCTTCTGTACAGGCCCGCGTCTCAATACGTGCCCCTGACGAGCAAACCTCCCTAGACTTCCTCCAGGTAAGTAACTTTCCCCGTACCCAGTCCATGCTTCTTGACTAGCTGATTCCTCCAGACACCTTGCTTTCGGGGCCTCCGTGGTCAGCTTGCCATGCTGGGCAAGGCCTGCCATCTCCCCGCCAACATTTCTTGCGTGGAGCTGCTGCAGGCAGTGTGGTTCCGCGTCCACTACATTGCCTACGGTCCCCACGGCCGCACCCCCCACACCCAGCACGCCATCCTGCCCCTCAGCTTCCCGCAAGCAGACACCGCCACACCGCAATGGAGAAAGTAAGTCTCCAGCGTTCCTGTGACACTACTCTAGTAGATTTCACCGTCGACCTCTTAGTTTGAACACCCCTCGTTTTCATGTTTGCCCCATGGCTACAGTCTTGGTCCAACATGGTCAGGCTGCATCAGGCACCCTTGTCCTCCCCCTGCCTTCCTCCTGCTTCTGTCCTGACGTGCGTCCCTTTTCCGCCCAGAGCGGGCCCGCGCGCGCAGGTGCTGCCCATTCGCACGCATCTGCTCTCCCATCTCGACGACCCTCTCGCCATCTTCAACCGGTGAGCTCCGATCCTCAGGCTTTCTCTGGTGAAGGTAACCCCGGTCTTGAGTGGAATGGGGGGGCGTCTGTCGTCTGATCAATTGCTTCTCTCGCAATGCACTCGGAAATTTGCCTGACTACTAACAAGAAATGGGTCGGCGTAAAGTACTTTCTCGAAGTAGTTCTGAGAAACGGAAGGACAAGATATGGTCAGGCAGATTGCTGTCAGGGCTTGCCTTGCGCTGCTGCTTGTCCAGCTGGTGCGGTGCTGCGTGCCTGCAGGTACGTGCTGCCGCACGCGCGGCCAGGCGACATCTTGGCGCTCGGGGAGACGCCGCTCGCCATCATGCAAGGTCAGCCACTACGGGTGCTTACATCTAGTTGTCTCCTCATACAAGCAAGCGCAAAAGCGAGCCGCTGGTGAGTACTGCTCCTCCAAATTTGATGCCGGTCTGTAGCACGGCTGGCCCCCTGCGCATTGCGACCTCTGCCTAGCCTGGATGCTTACTCCGCTGGGTGTGCGCCCCTGGCGCCAGTGCAGGCCGGTTCCGGCACCCCAGCAGTCTCCGCCTGAGCTGGGTGGCCCTGTGGGCGTGCCGCCTCTTCCACCCCACCTCCAGCCTGGCCACCGCCTGCGGCATGCAGGCAAGCCGCACCGCTCACTGTTGCCGCCACGATCGGCTGCGGTTCGCCTAGCACCCGATCGCCGACGAGGCGCCTGCCTGGCACTTGACGGCCCAACTTTGTCGCTTGTGCCCTCGAGATGGCTACTGGCGTGCGTGCTACTCCTCCTTGTGCTGACGTCATTCGATACCCCCAGCCGTGCGGTCTGCAGCCTCTTAATCTCGTTTTCGATGAGCCACGTTTGTCGTCCCACGTGACTTCGCAGGCCCTGGTGGACATTGTCGGGCAGCTGCGGGTAGTAGCGGCCGCCCTGCTGGCCGGAGTCGCGCGGTGAGTACCTAAACCGGGCTCTCAGCGCTGCCTCTTGCCTGTCACTTGCGCCATTGAGTGAGCAAGGCACCTAGAGCTGTTCGCGGCTGCCGTTCTCTGCTCCACCCAGAAGTGCATCCACCACGGCATTTGGTTGGTACGAGAATCATTTTGGAACGCCCTTTTTGGCTGGTCGCTGCCTCGGCAGCTCACGTGCTCGTTGGGTGTGCAGGCTGCTGCGCATCCGCGGCATGTTCTACAACCTGGCGGGAGAGCAGGTACGGACCACGAGCCTGCGCTGGACAGGCGGCCGAGCCGCTGGCCCAAAATTCACAGCGATCCTACTCGGATCAAGTCGTCCTTGCGGCACTGTTCTGTGTGTCCCCCATACTCGTAAAGTCCCTGCTGACGGGCCGGTCCGTGGGGTATCATTTTGCTACAGCAGGGGCCCCGTTTCTTTTGCGTCTGAGTGAAAGTGGGAGCCCCGCACGTCCGGTCGCTGCGGCGTCATGTGCACTGCTGCCCCGTTGCTCGTGTCGCTGCAGGCCCGCCTGATTGATGACGTCAGCGGCACCCTGCCCCCGTACGACCAGTTCATCTGCCTGGGCCCGGTAAGCAGCCGTCTCCCGCCCGGCACTACGGCGGCCCCCCGGTAGGGCGCGCCATGCTGGGGTAAAGCTTGTCTGCTCTCGCTTCCGCTCTCGTTCGTGCTCTCTTGCTCGCTTGGATTCGCTGCGACGCGGGCGCCGTCGTGGTGAACCGATGCGAGCACTCGCGCTGGTGGCAGGTGCGGCCGCAGCAGACGGTGGACGCGCTGCGCGAGCGGACGGGGGTCGAGGCGGCCATTGTGGACGTGAACGACCTGCGCAAGTGCCAGGTCCTCGCGGTAAGGGCGCCGCGCAAACGGACCCGCCTGCGCAAGACGCTCTGAAAGGTCCTGACTTGACTGAGCGAAAGGGTGTCCGATCGACATGTATGTCTGTGAATTTTCTCCCTTGATTGGGTTTCGCTGGCTTCAAACATCGTGCCGGAAATTGTGAAGCGGGGGAGAACGCCTGTCTGCAGGCGTCCCGTGGAGTTGATCCTCAAGCGTTGGCGGCTGCACTGTTGGACAATCCAGCAGGTAAGAAGGACTACGCTGGTGTGCTCTGATCATTCTGCTGGCTGAGTAGTCTACGCTGAGCCCTCTTCCTAACTGCTCTTGTCCTCGCACCTTTGCCACGTCTCTTTTTGTCACGCGCATTTGCTTGGCCTCCTGTGCTGCAGCTCACTGCTCATGCAGCTTGGATGGTGACACTAGGCCTCTTCATGTACAGGCAATGCGGACGAGCAGACACCTTTGGTGCTGGTCCGTATTGAGCCTCAATAAGCAGGGGACTTGGGCTTGGGAACCAACTACCGTGGCTTCCACTTTCCCAAGAATCTTGTCCATCGTTGTCTGAAGCGCGGCAAATTTCGCTGTCAGTGTCTATGCACCAAGCCTGATTCGAAGTGGCCGTTCAACTGTAAACCTGCCAATCACGGCTCAGAGTATGCCGGGGCAACAGACTGCGGAGTAAACCTGCTTTGTCTACTAACCTTCTTTTCATACTTTTCCGTCGGTTGGGCTAGAGATGATGGGCCTGGGTTTATGTATTTCTTGTTTTTGAAGCTTCGTAGCGGACCGCGTCTCCATGTTCCGTCCAAACGTTCCATTGTCGGGAATAATATCCATGCGTCCATGATTCTTTCGAGTGTCATGTCAGTACTTATATGAATTTGCGGCCGGGGCCAAGGCTCCGCGGTACAACCGATCGTCGTTACGGTGCTCCAATTGATGAGAGCCTGAGCAATTATATCAGGTATATAGTGTAGGAGCTAGACATATAACATGTGCGGAGCTCCGACAAGCGCATGTGCGGCTGCATTCAAGCGCCTCACGGTCACGCGCGGCCCTTCAATGTTTACGCATGGAGAAGACTCTCTCTTTAATTATACACATTCGTAACCAGTCGAATCGATTGCATAGGTGCCGACCGTCTGATTCTTTGCACTAGGTTTCATGCGAAGCATTCGCAGGCGGCGCTGGCTGGTGCTAGCAACTGTCACTACCGTATTGCAGCAATTAGCAAAAGCTTTGTTTACAACAAAGGCTCACCAAGTCAACTTCAGACTGGCTGGCTGCAGTTCTAGTCCAACATGTGCATGCAGATTCAGCCTCCGATTCGTTCAAACATGCCAGGCCCATGAATCCAATCACAGAAAGCATCAATAACTGGCGGCACGTGGTCAACGATGTAGGTTAGCAAGCCATATGTGCAGTACCTTTTGAAGGCGGCATGGTGTTGTAGATCCCAACTAAGAATCCCTGCAAGCCAACTTTGTGAGTGGTTCGGAACAATACCTCGCACGTTGGGACTGCTTTACAAACCAGCTATAGCTAGCCAAACTCTTGAACACCTACTTGTTCTTTTCAGCTGGCAACGGTCGATTGAAACCTCCTGAAAAGGACAAAGGACAATAAAACCATCAGCAAAAGCAGAATATATAAGGAGTCTTGTTCACATGAACAATTCCTCTGCTGTTTTAACACTTCCAGTCAACGGGACCTCATTCGTTTTTCAAAGGAAAGAGCAGAGGCCGGACACAATCAATCCGCAAATGGTCGCATGTTCCGTTACCGAGTAAAACACCCAGACGAAAGGCTGTGGTTACGTGCACCCGACTCGAAAACGCACGCTAGAATCAAGCCAATGAGAGGCACTGATTATACTGCCCTACGAACCATTGGCATATAGGCTTCCATAACCCACGACATACGAACACGGGGATCGATTCAAATATCGATGCTTGATATTTGAGGGTGGTCTCGAAAAGCGAAAAGCAAGGAACAATTAACAAGCATCCTCATACACTCGAAGCAGCTAACCGCCCTGAAGCAGCTGAACCCGAATGCTGTTGTGGAAGCAAAGCCGGGTCCCACGTACACCGTAAAGTCAAGTTACCAACAACACAGAAGTGCAAAGTAACGCTTCGTCCATCAAGAGCGGAGTAGCACCGCAGATACGGGACCTTGGAGCCTCCGATCAGCTGGCACCAACTAGAAATGGATTCGTGCCTAGTACCCTTGAAGATCCGTGAGAAGAGCTGCATACGCCGAGCTCGATATTTCCCGTGAGAACGTGGAGAAGTTGCTGCTTTTAGCTGCCACACGCCCTCGATGCATCGAGAGTATGGCGCAGAGAGGCAGCGTGCATTAGTAAGAGACTGCTCACCTTTCCGGTTCATAAACTGTCGGGCCTGCCGCTTCGTTGTCACTTTTACCGCACTATGGTTGGCCCCTTCGACATACTTCCCCTGCAAGTTTCAGACGGGGATAGAAGCAGGTAGATTCTCCTTCAAACCTCTCCAAACGAGATATCCATCAAGCAGTCCAAGCTGCTTTTTTGAATGAACAAGGTCCATAGTGACTGACTGTCGAGGAACTGCAAAATGCTTGGTGAAAAACACTCTCTATCACGTTTCCTGACATAGGTCGCAATAGCGATATGTGCTCGTGGCGATGGTCAGACTGCGCCTCCCGTGTAAGTTGGAAAATGCTTCTGTCCCGACAATGCAAAGTATCTTGCTCGATTCAGGACAGCCGCCAAAGGAAGGTAATACCCCGATTCTCAGACGCCGTTTGCACTTGCACAGAAGTCCCGGCATCCAAACGGACGAAGCTAACTGGCCAAACAGCATATCCTGCCTGATAATGTAACAAGCGCACCACGTACACTTTATGTAGACTCTTGCAAGTCATCTCCAAGAACCTTTCTCTCCACAGAAGCGGATTCGCTCCGCTCACCTTGGTGGTATCGAAGCCCCCCGGAAAGCCCATGAGCGCCATCATCTGCGCCTCTTCCTGCAGTCTCCGCTCGACCTCTGCTTCTTGCGCGCTCTGCTCCCGAACCTCCTCGATAAAGCTCGCCACCTTGTCCCCCCCCCCAATCTCAAACACGTCCTGAAAGTCGTACTCTTCCTCAGCCTGCGGCCTTTCCGTTTTCTTCCCCTTCGGCCCCTCCCCTCCCGCGCGCCTCTCCTCCTCCCCCCGCCGCCTCTCTCGCTCTTTCCGCTCTCGTTCTACGCGTTCCCTCTCCTCCGCCTCCCGCTCCAACCGATCCTGCTCTTTCTCTTCCCTCGTCTTTTTCAGGTCGACCGAGACACTCCTCCGCCGTGGTGGGGGCGAGTCTGAGCGCGATCGGGCGCGACGCTCGGGAGTTCGTGAGCGCCTTTTTCGTCCTGGAGATGCATCCCGCCGTGGTCGGCGGTCCTTGTCCCGGTCAGTGTCCCGGTCCCTCCGACTGCTTCGCTCCTTCTCACGGTCTCTGCCGCGACCGTCATGGTCACGTATCCGGTCTGCACAAAAATTACTGTCATTCAGCAGCTGTTCAAAGACCATCAAGTGCAGCCCTTCTGGATAAGGTTGGTGGTAAGTGATGTGTTTCCATTGGGTCTATCGCCACTAAGACCTTCTCTTAAGGTAAGCAACAGACCACGAAAGAGTGCAAGCAGAGACGGACATGTGAGAAGCTTGCGTCAGGAGTCCAGATTTATCGCTTAACCCAGGAGTCCAGATTTATCGCTTAACCTCACTGAAGCACCCAACCCACGCAAACAAACTATGTCGTGCTCAAGTCTGGTGGCCTAGGATCTCACAAACGCAATTTTTGGAACACTGGGAGCAATATAAATGAAGCCTGTCGGTCAGCTGCGGGTGCATTTTTCATAGTCCACCTGCAAATGCAGAATCCCATGGGTGAACTGTTTCCGCTAAACAAGCCCCGGGTAATCAATCAAACAGAAAGCAGATGCACACTGCTTTGCTTGAGCGCTTGTTTCATAAGATTCATCAACCACAGGAGGAATCGAGACCAGATCAGCCAATCGCACCTGGTTCATGTGAGTTTTTAAATAATAACCTGCACAATTTCACCACCACCTTTGTTCATCACCACCATTGAACAAAAGAATCCCAATGAACGATCTCATCCAATGCTTACTCCCTCTCCTAAGACACTCTTGCATGGACCACATAATCAGCCCTCCCAAACGTTGATCGGCAGGACCTCAGTCAACCCCAGTTTTTTCAGAGCTATCAAGCGTCCTCACAGTCTGTTAAACCATGCCAATCAAGCTTGTGGCTGCCTTGCGCTGCAACATGGCAAACCCTAATGCCAGCCGACACCATCAAAATCAAGCCAATAATTCAACTCACCTCTCCTAGGAGAGCGGGACCTTGAGCGGGAACGAGCCATCTCTCAGAGCTTCTCAAAGCTTTACAAGTGGGTGCAGATAACAGCCAGAACTTTTTCGTCCAAAGCAGCAGCTTCAGGCAGATGCCCTCGCCAGAATGCAAATTGCAGGCATGTAACTTTGATTCCAAAGGAGACGACCATCCAGTGGTAGTGACCCTTGCACTGCAACTCAGAGCCCAGCAACCACCGGCGTCTGCATGAACTTTCTGACCAGCAATCTTGGTTCAGTACTGTTTCAACAAGAGTCGTTGGGCAACCACACCGGCGCCACGCGCGTCTTTCTAGGATACTCTTCTATCTCAGTATCTGCTAGCCCCCCTGATTAGGGCGTTCTCCTTTCTCGGCTGTGGTGGCGAAGGATGAGCTGGATGAGTGCGCTGCTTTGCTTGAAGTTGAAGCCCTGAGGCTGAGGCGGGTGCCGTGACGACGTCACAACCCACGGAGAGCCAACGTGAACTTGGAAGTGACCCTCGGATGATCACCCTGGCCCTGACACCTGAGGCTGGGGCCCTTCACTGTCAGATTTGACAGCGCTTCTGCAATTGCATATTCGCATGGTTTTACATATATAAGCGGACAGCTGAACACGTGATTGAGCACATCACAATGATCACATACCTACCTGCCTACCTTTCCCCCTGCTTCTGAAAGCATCAGGAATACCCGTACCGGCAAGGGAATTCAAGTTTTATTAACTATTTTGGGGTCAGTGTGAAAACAATAAAACTAAAGGTCACCCCGACTGTGAAAAGGTGATTCCAACATTTTCTGGAAATCATATCATTTCGGGCTGTTTAGAGTGTGGCAAAAGGAAAAAAAACCGCTTGTGTGAAATGAATATATAATGTCAACGCGCCCGGTGAAACCTCAGGACGAACGAAATTGAATTTTCACACCAAAAGGTGGTGAATTCCCTTGCCGGTACGGTAGTTGGACGTGTAACAATACCGCAGGCAATACACAGTGACATATGTAGCTAGACAATTGAGCTAGAGTTGGGAAAAATCTGCATAGGTACTCAGCTATCACTTTCAGGCCAGGGCTTCGCTTCGCAAGTCTTCTCGAGCCTTCAAGTTCAATCGACAGGGCTGGCTGGCTTGATACTTCGATTCAACATTTTTGTCCGCATTTGGAGAGGGTCCTTCGCCTCGAGCCTGGGGTTTCAAAGTAGGCTTTCATGCAGCCAGTCCCAGGAATCTAGACATCTGTGTTCTCAAGCTATGGGCTGCTTTGCGCTCAAGGGCAAGCCCTGTTAAGTCATCGCCCATGTAATCGACCAGGACGTAGAGCCAGAAGAGTGGGCAGAGGTATACGAGGCTTTGCAAAGCACGCATGTTGGTCGCAAGCAGGCTCCGCAGAGGGGAAGAGAAGGTTTGCAGGGCCTCTTTCCCAGGGGACAGTCACTTAAATACCAGGCCATGAGACAAGAGGTCACGGAATGGGCCAATGATGATGTCGCCACGGAGCAATTGGGGATGCATGAGGGGCGCGAAAGTCCAAACATTAGGGCCGGGAGGACTGGGGCTTCAGAGTCAGGCATACAGCTGCTCCTCTTGAGTGCACGACGGGGTCTCAAAAGGAAAGGGTAAGCAGAATTTTATCCCCACTCCTTTTGGCACATGCCCTATGGCTGAGCATTCGTACCTTGTTTGCATGCTTCCTGCATGCCGGTGCGGCTGGTGCAGATGATCATCATGCTACCAAGCAGAATGCAAGAGCGGGCTCAGACTGATGCTCTTTTTGGTATTGTCTGATCATTACGTTGCATTCTTTTCACTCATCTTCTCACCAAGCAGAGAGAAAGATGGGGTGCAAAACGAGAGGTTTGAATCCCCCGTGATCATATCTTGCGAATCAGCCCCAGCATTGGTTTCATTCCAGCAACACTTTTTCAGCTCACTTGACTTCCGTGCTGCTCCTTTCTTAGGGAGCTGGAGGTGTTCAACTGCGATTCCCCCGAAGCTGACCCCCTTTTGGAGCTCGAGAGTTTTAGCTGGAACAAGGCTCTAGGCCTGCGATTGCGCAGCACCAAGTCGGGCAAGCTCCTGATGACGCTGGTGCCGATTCAGCGGCCAACGGGCTCCCTGCCCGTGGACCTGCCCCAGGAGTGCCGCCTGCCAGGGATCGACAGCGAACAGCTGGAAAACACCTGGGAGCTTTGCAGGTGAGACTCTCAGTCTCTTGCCTTCCAAGAGATCTACCTGCACCTCAAATGCATGAGTGACTGCCATAGTATCGTCTGTCTCCCAAACTTCGAGTTTGGGGGAGTGCCCTCATGTGATGTTGTTTTGATGGTTTTCTTGGCTCTTGAATCCGGTGTCTTCTTTTGCCCTGTCCCTGTCTTTGTTACAAAGTTGATGGTGTTTACAGAAGATTTACTTCACTCTGAGAGTTGCTGCTGCTGTTTAGACTCCATGACCTGGGTGCCACCTCTCCAGTCCGGAAAATTGCGATTTTTTGCTCTGCGCAACTTCTGATATTTTTCTGGAGGCTAGGCGTGCCTTGGTAAATAGATCTGATGTCATGCACAGGGCTGGCCTCTTACAGCTGTCTGCATCAAATCTACCGCAATCTAAGTTTGTCTTTGAATGTCTCAGGTTGCTACCGTGCTAGGCCCTTAGCTTCTTCTGCTGAAAGAGTCCTTAGAATGAAAAGGTTTCTTTTCACCTTTTTACACTTCCGACCATTTTGGATTGGCCCCTTCTCTTCAATTGCATGAGAGTAAGGAACCAAAGGTGCCAGTACTCCTAACTTGCAGGCAGGCAACAGCGTCCACACCCCACTGCCCAAGTTTTCTTGTCCGAGAATATAAGACAAACCTCAGGGTTTTTGGCCTTTGTCTTTCTCTCTGTCCGCTTGCCCTTTCCCTCGGAAGTGATAACGGTTCCCGGGCCCAGCACATCGCTGCATCATTGATGCGGGTCATCTTTGATAGCATTCAGAGTGCCTTCGAATCAAGCCTTCCCACCCTCTGACGAGTTCCTTAACCACTAACTATCAGCCCCTCCCTTTTGGACAGAGTTTTTGACGCTTTTACCCCACCCTGATCATCTAAGAAGAAGCTTCACACTTTCTCTTCTTTCCCCCTTCTCGTCCGGCGCACTTGCCCATGCCTTAACTTACGCTTCGTGTCTTGCCAGAGTCTATGCCGACGGCCGGGTTGTGGCCTCCCTCCGCTGCTCCCCCCAGCCGAACTGCCCCCCCCGCTCCTGCTGGCATGACTTAGGTCACCCGCTGAGGCTTCGGCGGCGGCCTTGCCGCCAGAGCTTCCGTCTCTGGGTCGCTGCTGCGGGGGCCGTCGAAGCTGCCTGCTCTCGGTGCGCCAGCTTCAAAACGGACGACTCCAGCGGCCACGAGCTGACATGGGCGCTGAGCCGGGGTCTGGGCGTGTCGGTGACGCTGCGCGCTTCTGAAGATGCGCCGCGCAACGTGAGAGAAGAACTCGGAAGCCGCAAGGAGTCGGGTGTTCGGAAGGACGTGGCGGAGTATTGGGAAGAGGTTGCAAGTGCGCGGAAACGGTGGGAGACGGGGCAGGCGAACGAGAATAGGGAGACTGGGGGGGACGGGGAGGCAGTGCGGGCAGCTGATGGGGGAGCATCTTCAACGGAGACTGACAAAGAAACTGAGGTCAAAGGCGTGGTTGAGCGGGATCAGGACACTTTACCGAGTAGGACAGAACATACCAGAGAGCGGAATGGTGTGGACTCAAGAGTCAGCGATGCGGAGCCGTCAGGGAGAGGCCTGGGAGAGAGCATGGGGATAGAGTCAAAGAATGGCGGCACTGGCCCATCGGGAAGGGACCCGGAGGTTTCCGGAGCGGTTGCACGTGCAGACGCATGGGGGCACGTTCCTCAGCGGTCACTAGAGAGCGTCGACGAGTTTTTTGAGTGCGAGAGCAGGCGGTACTCCGAGAGCGGCTCGGAAGCGAGCGTTCGCGACATGGATGTAGGGGCCGGACGGCCCTCGTCAAAGAGCCTGAGCGGCATTGGGGGCCAGGGCTGGACTGCGAGACCCGAATCGGCTAACGGGCGTCAGCCGCACTCAACCGGAGCGTCGCATGATTGTAGCAGGAGCGTCGAGTGTTTTCGAGGGGGCGTTTTCCGAGAAGAGGGACAGTCAGGGAGCAGCAAGACTTGCCAGACAGACGCGCATCAAGCGGATGCCACCTGTCGGAGGGGAGACGAGGTTGCAGAGCCGCCTTTGAGGAGATTGGGAATACTGGAGTCATTCCTCTCGAGTTCGATGGGGAGCCGTCAGGAGTCTGGGATGAACGATCTCGAGCGACCGCTGCTCCCTTACCGGTCGTCGGGCCTGCAATACGACCCTGCTTCGGATATTCGGGCGTTGCATCCCCAGGGTTCGTTAGTTCCCTCGGGGTTCAACACGTCAGCAATGGTGCCGTTGTCGGCAGAGCTGGCACAGGCCCCGGTTGGCAAAACGGAGATAGTTTTCAGTGACGTAAGCGGCGGCGCGCGGTCGGGGGAGTCCGTGATTGCGTCAGCAAGAAGTTCGGGTTTTGCTTGTAGGAAACGGCTCAATCTGAGAGTGTCAGCGACGTGCCCCGCTGATACCTTGGCACTGACCATGCTCGCACATTATCTGTGGGAGGTGGTGGACGTAGGGAGCTAGTGCACTGGCCGGTATGTGTACATGGCGGTGTAAGATTTATTACCAGGTACCTTGCATCCTACTAAATGAAGAGAGATCACCACAAGACGGTACAGTTCGATTCATATCGAAAGCACTCGAATTGTGATCAAACAATCGTGCTCAGCAGTAGTTGTGTGTATGTTAGCAACTACGCTGTACATACGGATAGCATGGGTAGAGTTGATTTTTCACGTTGCATTCAACCAACGTTTGTTTGCGCTCGCTGGGCGGTCCGTATTGCAATTAGCTGCCCCCTTAAAGTTTGCGACCGACATTCTATGCAGATAGAGATGATTATCAACGTGGCATTCGTTGTTAGGACTCGCGTTTGCCATGCTCCGGCTTAAAACTACATTGATCGATTGCAATTAGAAATGTTTCATGGGCCCGACCATCATACATAGGCTGTGCCATTGCAGCCTTGCATGATCCCTTCATGTGTATAGGTGGTGAGTGAGTCCCTAGATTCTCCTCTATCTACCATACCAGTCGCTTAGGTTTCACTACTTCATATGCAATGTTCACTACTTCATATGCAATCTACATACACTTCGATTCACACACGGACCGCACATGATTGCTGCGAACTAGAAGTGGCCGACAAAAGCGCGCCTCTTGATAAGAGGCTGCAGGTTGTACGAATTCTTTGCTGGCCGCAATACTTGGAGGCGGGCGGAGCTCCCGGGGGCGACCTGGAGCGCGCTCGCGTCGACAATCAGCGCCCATTTGCACAGAAGCCGGAAACCTTTGTTCTACAACGTCAATCTGGTTGCTGAACGAGCCACTTTTATCAAGTCGTTGTTGAACAGCCAATCAAGCGGCCGCAAAGCAATCACAATGAATCAAGCTATATAATACGTCGCCATTTCTTTCAATCAGAAACTGGGTTTAAATAAGGGACGCTCGCACGTGATTGACAGCGAAGTTAGCAAGTCACCTGAGCCAAAAACTACAAAACAGAGAAAGCCGCCGTCAAGAAGACTAACACTAATAACGGACCACAGAACAACAGAAGGAGACTTCAAAAGAGGCTCCAGCCGTACGGACCCTGGTTGATTGGGCATCTGGCGAATTTCAAGGGTATATGACATAATTGGGCAAGCCTTGAAGCTGCAAAACGAGGACGAGGACTTTCTCACCAGGATGTCACGTACTACGAACTTTGTCGAAAGAAAGGCCACTATCTGAACACGGGCCTGGGGCCAAACGATTGCATGTCGAAAAACGTTACTCAAGTCGTCAAGAAAAAGAGAACACTTTAGCCAATGTCCCAAAAGGGAAGCCCGATTCTGAGTCGCCAGCCTAGATAGAATACTTGACGCAGTTTAGATCTGTGGATTCCGGATGCTGCCGAACGAGATTGAGGAGCTCATCAAACCAACGACGTCAACGCTCAGATGGTCGACAAGGAACCGCGGCAAAAATATACAGACTAACGAGATTTCAGATGTACCAAGGACGCGCCCGCAAAAGCACTCCCTACCCGGTCGATGAGGGCGGTTTCAACGCAGCGCGCCCCGGTACACCGGTACAGCCTAGCGGGGCTGACACCGATCGAGCTGACCCAGTATGGCGCCAACTGGCAGTGGGAAAAGGAGAGAGGGAAACAAAGTGGCCGATTGCCGCTAGCACATGTACAACCTCTGCTCGATGTGGGACTCAACACCAGTCTGCACCACCAGCGTCAGGAATTTCAGCTGAGCAAGAGTTTGGACCGGTGAGCAGCTTGTCACAGGTGCAGCCGCATCGCGGAGAAAAAATCGAAACATTGCTGATCGCCGAACCTGATTACAGATCATTTGGACCGAACGGCCCCAAGAGGGCGGGAATGCTCAGGAAGACGGCGAGTCGTCAAGGAGTCGTCATCCGTAACGCAGCTGAGACAGATCGGAAAGCTGGAGGTTCATTTCGCCCGATACTGCCAAGGAAGAGACGATCGCGGCGCTCACCCGGATTGCAAGCTGACTCGGTGGACTCCTTCTACTAGATTGACCCCTTGACGGACAGCCGGGCCTAGCATCATAGCATACTAAATGTCTGTGACAGCGGGGCAAACGTTGGAAGATAAGCTACGAGCGCTCGAGCGGACAACGATTGACGGAAAAGTAAACGTAGACGGCCAAACTCACTGGCGGCACAGCGGATCGGCAGATTATCAGCCGGCGAGATCGCGGGATGGATTGACATCCAAGTTGATGTGTTGATGGTTCCTTTCATCACTGTAGACTCGTCTAGAACTTGGAATACAATCTGACGGCGTCAGATCTAGGCCTCGACGTCACCAGCCCATATTCTCATATTCCAAACGGGTTCTCGGGTTCTAAACAAGTTACTATTTCTGGTGCTGGTGCAGCACCAGGCCGGCCGCCCTGCAGCCGCAAGCTCGCCGCGGCCGCCAGCGCGCGGGCCACCGTCCCTGCGCGGGCTGCGCGACGCGCACGGTCTAATTCGCAGCCAGGTGTCGTTGTACGGAACCAGTTTCGAGTTTCCGCCCAATCGGATGCCAGCTCTGGAGATTCTCTCCCTGCTTGGGTACCAGGCTAGTCCGATTTTGTTCTTCAACCTGAGGTCCCGAGTGCAGTGGCATGCACACAAGCCGGGCAGTACATACGGCCATACCGTACTGCATGCAAGGTATGAGGCCTCTACCTATGTATGTACGTCAGCGTCGGCATCAGCACCCCTCCCTTCAGAGCAATTCGCCGAGCCGCGCGGTCTGCTCTTGGATATTGTAATAGGTAGGCACCTCAGACACAAGGGCCTGATCAGATTCCCCAGAACTTTTGAAATAGGTAGACCAGATAGAAGTCGAACCAGCTTAATTTGGGTCCTCGGAATCACTCGCTCGCCAAGTGATTGCTTCAAACAACATTATTGTGGATCCGGCATTTGCTAAAACAACGCAAGCCTTGAAATACCTGTTGCACCATCTAATCTGGTGCGCTGAGCTGTTTGCATTGCTAGTTTGCGAGTTGCACCCAGCTTGTTGAGCTCGTGAAGCTGCAACCATGGCAGCCGCGGCAGCTGAGACCTTGAACACGACGGCGCACCACAACAAGGGCAAAGTGCTGGTGGGCATGAGCAGTGCCGATTACATCCGCACGAGCGACAACAAGAAACATGCGACAGGCTTCTTCTTGAGGGAGCTCGGGCGGCCGCTGATCAAGCTCCTGGAGGCAGGGTATGATGTGGAGGTAGGTCCGGGGGGCAAGGCCAAAGTGGAGCCATTTTTCCTCTCAAATTGGGACGCTGATTGCTCGCTAGCGACAGCTTGTGCAGAAAGGTCTGGGCTTTGTATCGACAATGTCAGCGGCATGTCTGACAGGAAGCTGTGCTATGCATGCAAGCAGCATAGCTCAGATGACAGGGTTGAGCTTGCTGATCTTGGAAAGTAAGATGGAGCAGGGGTCGTGTTTTGCCTGAGATATTCTACGGAGTGTAGCTCGCGAGTGCAACTGACTTACTTTTAGTAGAATCTGCGCCAAGATTGGTGTTGTATGGTTTGCATGCAAAAGTGGCCCACCACAGTGGGATAGACAAGTAGCATCCTTTTTGAGGAGTTATGCGAGCTCTGCTTTGGGTTGCTGTGCCACAAGCTCTGAAAGTTCAAGACTTGCATATGCAACCCGACAGGTGAGAAATCTTGTGGGACCACTGCGTTGACTTCGTAGTTTCACCAGCTCATGTTTCAGTTACTTACCTACGTAAAATTATGTGAGATATTTTATCTTCCGATTGTTGCAGTTTGCCAACCCCCAGGGCAACCCGCCCGCCTTGGACCCCATGAGTGACAACAAGATCTGGTTCCCCATGTCTTTGGGAGCGGAGAAAGAGCACGAGAAGCAGCTGCTCGAGCGGCTGGGGGTGGAGAAGAACTTCAAGAACCCGCGCCGATTTGCTGATATTGGCGACCAGGAGCTGGTGGGATATGCGGGCATCTTCTTGCCGGGGGGTCATGCGCCCATGACGGACCTGTGGAACGACAAGGATCTGGGCCGCATCCTCATGCACTTCCACAACAGGAGCAAGCCCACAGGTGAATGCGGGCAGGGGGGGGGGGCCTTGTCGTTGCTTGTGCATCAAGGTCTCAGTTTTTGTACACGTCAACGACCTGAAGCGTTGCAACAAAGTCACTGAGGATAGAGTAGTTTCTGTGCTCGAATGAGCCGCTTCTGATAGTGAGTGTTCTCTGCAGGCATCATCTGTCATGCCCCGGTTGCCCTCTTATCGACGACGCTGGTACAGCCAAAACCCTGGACATATGAGGGCTATCAGATGACGTGCTACAGCAATGCAGAGGAGAAGATGAACGAAATGCTGTGGCGCTCCAGTCTGCAGTTCAAGGTGAAGCCTATTACAATTCGGACGTGTTTCCTTGATATCTCATCGCAAACTTTTGGCGCAGCTAAGATCATGAGCAGCCTCAATCCGCCCTTGGTCAAAGTTTTGATGTCTGCAATAACCATTTAACGAGGTTAACTCCATTTAAACTGCCAGACAAGCGGTTGTTCCTCAACGAACAGCTCTGTGGAAATTTCGCAAGATTTGGAAACTATGGTGCAGTCAACATCCAGACCGGGTGACCTTTGCAAAATTGCAATCGATCCTGACGGCTCTTTCTGTGATTAGGCTGAGGATGCTCTGCGGAACAGCGGCGCCATCATGAAGGAGGCGCTGCCAATGATGCCCAATGTGGTGGAGGACAGGGAGCTCATCACAGGACAGGGGCCCACCTCAGCGGACCGCCTCGGCGACGCCCTGGTCAAGGCGTTGGATCAGAGCTTGGGAGCTGTTCAAGGTCTAGCAGGGGCGTGAGCGTGGCCATGTACAACTGGACACCGACCCAAGGCAAATACTCGAGGTCTTTTTGATGGTGGAAGTTGTAGAATATGATTCGATACGCTTTTCCTTAAATCATTAATGTCACCATTTTGATTGTATGAAGGATTTTGGAGTGCAGGCTGGCCTCTGGCTGGATGAGTTATGCGATGGAAACGGTTTTTTCCAAAGCAAGAGGATCTACAAACGAGGATCTATAATCCGAACATAATCTATGTATAATTTATACGATCGAGAATAGAGTAACATAGCAAGAATCGTTGATTAGTAATATAGGTCTGCTCAGATTTTGGCCTGTCTTTAAGTGCGACTTTGAGCTTTGCTTTTTGGCCAGCTCGACTCGGAATCTTGTTCTTATCTGTATTTAGATTCATAACTGTCTCGAAAATGCTGTTCTAAGAGTGCAATCTGCTCAATGTGCGCTGTCTATCCAAACATCGGTTACACTCCATTTCCAATATCATGCTGCCTGTTGATTGGTGAACATTAGTAGCTCCGTGCATGTCCCGAGTGACGGTACCTAGGCAAAGACGATGCAGCTTGCCCAAATCGACAATTCAAATAATGGCTTACCCTATATGGACTATAGCAAAGATTCACCTCGCACCCGGGCATATGTACTTGAAGTATCGTTGGCCAAATCCACAGTAGACTTTGTGAAAGGAGCAGGCCAACCCCTCCGACCGTCTAGGTCCTATAGAGAAAGTTGCAAATTTCCGGATTGAACCAGCGGACCTTCGCACCGACCACAACGGGAGGCCACGTGGCAGTTGCATCGAACTGCACATAGCCAACCGAGCTAGCCGAGCGCGCAGAAGGATAAGCCGAAGTCACCACTCGAATATATGCGTACTCGGAGATAGGGGAGATAAGGAGTTGAAAGCTTAATGCATAGAGGACAAGTATGCAGTTGGTAAACTTATTCTTGCATCTAGCTTTGGAGAAAAGAGCTAGCATGTTGTAGAACAATTGATCGTCGACTTAGCCGATCGCGGCTCCGAAACGACCAATAAATTAATAACACTAGTAACTCGAGCTGCTATTTCTGGTTGCAAGAAAGCTGATTCTTGTGCCATTCCTCTGGTGAGCTCATCTAGCTGCGCCTTACGACATGTCTCATTATATAGGCGCATTAACTGCCTGTTGCGCAACCAGTGTATTTTCGTCATGGATGACTCGTTGTTATGAACCATGCAGTACTGCCCATTTTCTCCATATGTGATCGCATGCAATCTTTTCTCCGTCTGCCGTAATGTACCGCATGGACCATGCTAGCTGGCCCGTCGTACTGTATGCACTTTCGCAAGATGGTGTGTATTTGAATGCATTGCTTCTATGTTGAAGGATGTAAGCCATTTGGATCTCATTGAACACTACCCATGTGCCCGACTCGGATAATTACTGATGACGGCCTATTTGGTCGCTTGTGCGCAGATTGCGAAGCTGCGAAAACTCACGCCCAGAGCACCGGAGGCAACCAGACCAGATGATTCGGCTCGCAAGGGAATAGGCGCGAACATATCGTGACGAGATACAGGGAGTAACCCCCTGGACAACATGCCCGGCGTCTCTCATTTGCCCTGATCAAGCACTACGGCCGGAATGCATAGCAGCGCAACCATCTGGAAGACGGGGATATGCACTGTGATTCGGCAGGGTGCTTCCATTGCCGCCAACGAAGACAGAGCAACCAGTTGGACAGATCAACGCGAGCAAGACAAGCGTGCAACATTCATTACATAAATCCTAGTACAGTACAGTGCTCAGGCGTCCTGTCTCTTGGCTCTGTAGTACTCGGGGGCCTCCTTCAACCCTCTGGCGTGCAGCTCCGCCAGCTCTTGCGTCGTGAGCAGGCGCTGCCACTTTGGAGCCGGGGGGCACTCGAGAGACCGTAGCCGTTCGATCTCGGCCGCCATGCTCCCCGCGTCCACTCCTTGCACCATCAACTTGGCGGCCAGAAGCTTGCTGTCGGCTGCCCACCGCTTTCGGAAAGCCTGAACGCACACGTTACCAAGGTTCGCAATTCTGCGGTGGCTCCTGGCTCATCACTGCCCAAAGGCCGCATTCGATGCTAACGATGGGATTCCGGCTTCGTGAGCTGTGAAATCTATAGCTTTGACTGGTAGCCGAAAGACAGCCTACGCTCCACACGACAAGTCGTGGCAATACTGTTAGAACCTGTACAGCACGTTACTTTCCGGCCCCACTGCGACAGCTTCCAGCGATGATCTGATATAGCAAGTTGGAAGGAGCGCAGCGTACCTGAAGCGCAAGCTGATGGGCCCGCATGCGCTCGCCAAACCGTCGTCTCTCCTCTTCGATGTATGTGACCGCAACCTGCATTTTGACGGCCCTGCAGAGCAGCAGCGAAACTCAGGTCAGTCCAGTCCAGAACTTCATCTAACCGACACCCTACGCGAAAAGAAAGTTAATCAAACATTGCCTATCCCTAACAGCAAATCTGGAAAGCAACCAATATCCCGCTTAAGAAGGTATCAGGAACCATGCACCAAGTACGACCCTACCTACAAGCAGCCAGCCACTACAAGACCACGATTCGTCCGCGGCAGAAACCCCAGCAGATCAAGTCGATCAGAATGGTCTTGTATCCCGTATGCTTGCAATACTGAACAGCCGCAAGAAGCGGACAACTTCCTCGAGCCTCCGCGTCGTCTCGACCTCACCGTGGGATGGTCACTCCCACATAGGCGTCCGCCTGCTTCTCTGGCCCGGCCTTGCTCTCCGCAGCAGCCACGGGCCCCTCCTTGACGCTCCCGCCCTTGCCGTCCTTCGAGCCGCCTTTGCCGGCCGCTTCCCCTCCCTCGAAATGCACTCGCGCCGCCTTTCTGCGCAGAATCAAAGGAACGAACGGGCTCTTAGTACGGGCGCTGATTGCGTGCAGTGGTTCTTAAATTAGTAGTTTACACTCGTTTGCACTCGTGCCTTTTGCTATGGAGCTTCGATCGTCCCTCAAACTTCAAGAGCGATGCGCAATGCGGAGAGCCGACCAGAGCCCGCCGTATGGTGCCAGGCTGCGACGGCCCGCGGGCGTGCGCTCTCACCGTTTGCCTTTGGTCGCGACCTGTGCGTGCAGCGTGAGGTCCCTCTCGTACTTCTCCCACAGCTCGCACACCAGCACCTGTCGCGCCGCGCTCACCGCGCAGTGGTCCTTGAGGCACCGCTGCAGCAGCACACCCGCACAAGCGTCAAAAGGCACCTCGATAAGGATCTTTGACTCAAACAGGACCGCCTTCACCTCTGAGACACTCAGCGGCGCTCCTCTCGCAGAAGCATAGGGTGAGGCTTCAGAATATTCGTCATGGTATTGTGACGCTTGTCCTGGTCGAAGAACGAGGCAGCCTGAGGTAGGCGGCCTCGGCGTTTCGGGCTGGTGGTCACCTGGATGAGGACCACTTTGCTGCGGAAGGCGCGGAAGGCCGCCGCCACCATGTTCGCCTTGCTCACTTGCCGCAAGAAGCTCAGGATCGCGCCCGCATTCCGCTGGCGAGCCCGTATGCCGTGCACGAACGCCCAACGGCGAAAATTGCTGCAGAGCACCGAAGTAGGGCCAGTCATTCAGAGCACCTGCCAGCCTGGCCAAAAGCACGCAAGAGTACTTCGAGAAAGCGCGTAGACGATCGTGACAAGCAAGGCGGGCGTTAAATTCATGTGGGCCCTCGCTGGGAAAAGCGAGGGCGCTCACCGTTGAATAAGAAGAGCACTCTGATTCCTGCGCTCTTGGCGCCTCATAACGAGGCCAGCCCGATACCACGTCTGGATCGTCCGCGCAGCCCGCACCATGCGGTGGCGCTTGAACTCCAGCACTCGGTGCTCCTGTTCCAAGGCACAGCCAGGCGGGTCAGGCAAGCGAGCGCAGCAACGGTGGGCAGAAAATCACTTATCATAATCGACACTCATGGCGATTCACGGCAAACCTGGCTCCAATGGTTCTCAGCCCTGTTCACTTGCCTGCACCCTCTCCCCCAGGAGGCTCAGCCGGCTGATGAGAGCCACGAGAGTCAACCACGCTTTCGACGTTGCCTCCTGTCTCTCTCGCGTCTGCCGTTTCCGCCGTTGTTCCTCGCTCTCCTGCAGCACTCGACACAAGTTTGAGCGCATCTCCTGGTTGTCCTCGCGAAGCTTCCATTCACAGCAAGCGACACAGAGAGAGCCTTTTGCAAGGAAGAGTTCAAACATACTGCTCTCCACATACCCAGCAAATGAAAGTGTCCGAAAGAGGGCCCCCAGCCATGACGACAGGTGACGGGAGCCGGTGCAGCTTATGTTGCCAAGAATTAAGGCCCTCTTCGTTTGCAGTGCGCACCATCGGTCTTCCCAGAGCAAACGCCATGGCATGGCCGTCGTCGCCTTTGACCGAGCGGGCCACGGTCTGCCGCAGCCGCTCTTCATGCTCGGCCAGCTGCAGGAGCCGCCGCTCACGCGCGCGCTCTAGCCGCTCCTGCTTCTGGGCCATCTGCTCGTGCAACTGCAGAAACACGCGCACAATGCTTTCTGCATTCTGGCTTCGCATTGGCAGCTTCATGTGAAGGGGCACCCTCTGAGCTCGACACTTTGCAATATCCAGTTTTTGGCATTTGAGACAACTCCTCAATGATTGAAAAACGGATAGAGGTGAGCCGTTACTTGGTCCTTGTTCGTTACCTTTCTTCGCCGCTCCTCGAGCAGAATGTCTGGACTGAGGTTCCGCACTGACTCCTTATTCTTCTCTACGATGCCGTGGAGCTCAGCTAACACGCCCTTCCCTCGGGGATGCTGACTGTCGTAGAACGCTGCGAGAGTCGAAAGCCAGCTTCAGGATTATAGTTAAGCCATGTCGCTCATGACGAGCAAGAGGCTTCAGCCTCCCCTTCCGATCTGACAGACACCTTTTGAGGTGAAGCATTCCGGCATTCGACGATGAAAGTACGGGGCCTCCTCAGAGCAGAAGCATTGACACTTGAGAGCCGGTCTCACCTACACGCTCTTCCAAGGCAACCATCTGTTCCGGGTCAGACCTGTACATGGCCAACCTTGCGCGGAGCTCGTCGGGGATGGCTGCGGGATGTGGCGAGCCAAATGTGAGGCGACAGGGTAGCAGAGCAGCTGGACCCCGGAGCTGGACGGCTATCTGTCCCCCGGCTATCAATGCGTTTTCATTTCGAAACAGAGGCCAAGCTGACTGTGGCTTAAGGACAGCTCAGCAAGAAGCGGGGCCAATCCCCAACTTATGCATCTGTCATTGTCATAGATGCTTCTCATCATCAAAGGTCACGATGTTTTCCGGCACACAGCAAACGTGGGGCATAAGCTTCAAAGATGGAGTACTCCCCACCTTTCTCCAAGTGTCGTAGTGATGGTGTCAAAAATGACAGGGCGCTCGATGATCTCCCCCTGCCGCGTGCATTTGAGGCCTCCCAAGCCCCTTCGACTGGATGGCTGCGGGGGGCACCAAACACTGCGAGAATACACAATTGGAGACACGAGTTGAGTGTCCCGTAACTCGTTGTACTTTGAACGAATTTTCAAGCCCGAGCTAGGCTGCGCATCACATGTCAGAGAAGAGACCCTTGGCAGAGAGGAAACTGTTCTGAGTGTTGAATCAGGAACCATTTTTCTGCAAGACCTGGTCTCCTTCAGTGTGCTCGCAGCTCACTCTGGCCAGCTTCAGATGGCCCGGGGCTCTTGCTGCTGTAGTGGTCCAGAGAAGTAGGCAGGCGGAGGCATCTTTCCAGTGAGGGAAGACGCAGGAAGGTGGCGCCATCAGCTTTTGTCCTGAGCTCAGCTTCTGCTGCCTCCCAGCGGATGCGGGCCTGTTCTGCTTTCCTGTAAATCTCATAGACCTCAACATCTGCAGCTGCGATTATCTCCTCCAATGCAGCATTTGGTGCTGAGCTGGCATGGCGAATGCAACGAAGCTCCAGTTCCTCCAATTGTGCAGTTGCCGGATTCAAATCGAAAGGGTGAACTTTCTTTTGGCTGTCTCCTTGCCCTGCAGACGATGGTGATGTAAGACAGCAGCGACATGGAGAGATTATGGGGCTCACTTAGCTGAAAACTAGCTCAAAAGCAAAGCCAAGGTCTCACTGGCTGTCTGAACTTGTGCCTGAACTACCACCTGAGCTTATGTGATATTAAGTTCACGAGAGTGTCGAATCAAGACTTGACCCATCTGGAGCAGTTGCAGTAGAATAGTGTGTAGCATGAGCAGGCCACCTTACCATTTGCGCCAATCCCCTCATAGCGGTGCCAAGCAACTGAAGGTGGCATAGGAGAAACTCTTGCAATGCCGGGCAGGGACGACAGCTCAAAGTTTCTTGCTTTGCCAAATTCAGGACCTGCCATTGCTTAGGCAGGGTTCGCCCTGCAAACTCTCACTTAGTACCGGTGGTACCTTTAAAAGTGCTTTACACGTCAATCCAAATCATCCTCGCATCAATAGTATCAGAAGCCTTATCAAGTGATTTGCACAGCTCTCAAGCCAAGAATGCGAACTTCCGGCCTGGCATAAAAGCATCCATAGCCTAGCTTCCTTTCTCCCTTCCCCTCTTCTTCTTGCCACCACGGGAACTTGCCAGAATTAGGGTTTTGTCCCTGTTTTGTCAACAAGACGGGTTTGCAACTCGCAGGTCTGAGCACATGTGCTCAGCTGGGGTTTTCCTAGTAGGTATAATACTATGATTGTCAAGGAGATACGGGCTTCGTTGGGTAACTTCTCCCGCTGATTATTCAATTTCAAAATTTCACCCGAATTACCGGTTGCAGTTCTATGAGAGGATATACGGAGTGGGCCCCAGAGTTCGATCTTTTCCAGAATGTATTTCTTCGTCTATCCAGGCAATAAACGTCAATGCTGCACCTGCCTAATATGAGGCTCTGATCAATTTGTCGATCAAAACGAGTGAGCTGTGTACAGCTGTGTCCAGCGTTTTGCAGCAAACCTCTTGCTGCATGATGAGCGAGATGGGCGCTTGAAGTTGCAACGGGTTGCTAGGAAGGAGCCTAGACATCCTACTATTGGAATACTGGGGAAGTTTTTACTTTCCAGGTTTGGCATCTTCAAATCCTAGCATCTAGCATCTTACAGCACCTTCTATCGTGCCGCCGCCAGCCGCTTCTCCTGCTGCAATCTCCTCCTGCCACAAGGCCCATGGTCGACTCATACGTCCTGTAGTCCTTCACTGCTTCTCCAAGTCAATTCGGTGAAATCTCAATCAGGAAGTACAAGCAAAGCATGACACGAATCAGTCCTCCGGAGGTGGGTTTTTCCAGCTACTAGAGACTTGCAATGCTGACTGTTCACTTTCTTTTCTATTGTTTGCAAGTCTGTGCGTGCTCTAATAGTAAAAGTTCTGGACTTGAGGTTGCACATATTCCTCTTTTCGCCAAATTTTCATATCTGCCAAGATGCCGGTCAATTTCCGACAGGGCGATCATTGTTCAGAGGAAATGCTCTGCAAACTTGTCGCCTGCCCACTCTGCAAGGCTATGGCTGACCTTTTGTTTTTGGGGGTCAGGCCCCCCTTGCGCAGGACGGGGATGCCGACGAGGCGATGGACCCATACAGCAGGGTCATGGACATTCCCATGCCAGACGCTGCGGATGGGACAGAGGCACCGGACGCCACGTCCCCTATGGAAGGTACACCCTCGAGCCAAGCTCCTTATCTTCTTGCACGTGGCATAAGACTCTTCGGAGAACTGCAGCGCTAGCTGGCATCTTTAGGGAAGTGTGGCAGACAGCAAACCAATGCTCGTCTCCCTTGCTCTTGCAGTCATTCAAGCAGGCGACGGCGTCCCAACAGTTGCCAACAAGGACGAGGACGAGGACAGCTTGACTGGGAGCTTCACCTGGAAGATTGAAAGTTTTTCAAAGGCCGTTGGTCCAAAACTCTACTCAGATCCTTTTACTGTCGGCGGATACCACTGGTGAGACATGGTCTGCGTGACGAGGGCTTTGACTTCAACATCCTGTTCATATCTTGCACTTGGCAATAGGTTTTCGGTTGCTCTAGTCCAACATCTGTGCCCCTGAAATCCAGCGGTTTGGAAACTCGCTGTGCAGCACGCCCTTCCTTCTTGCATGCCTACTAGTTTTGTTGCCCCCAAGAATTGCCCTTTTGATTGTAGTCTATGTTTTGCCAGGCGCGTCCTGATCTTTCCACGGGGCAACAACTCGGACAATTTGTCCTTGTATCTGGACGTTCCTGAGGCTGCAAAATTGCCATATGCCTGGCAGCGGCATGCAAAGTTCAACCTCAAAGTGATCAACCAGGTAGACGAGGAAAAGACAATCCGGAAAGGTGAGCCTTTAGCTGCAGCGTTTTGGCGGCCAGGTGGCATTATTGCGGGTAGGGTTGTTCTGCTTTGTATGTTTCTTCCAGACAACTGCCATGAAGGAGCTACATCTTCTGATTCTACCGGATTCACGGGACGCTTCTTCGTGGTCAAAAGAACGCATCGACGAAGGGCTTCCCCAATTATGGGATTGGCTTGGTTTGTGGATATTTCTTGTTGGTTCCAGGAGCTCTGTTCCTGAAGCAGACAGCACTGCCAAGAGCTGCCTAGTTAAGTCCAGGCGAAAGATCTAGGATGCAGCATTGCTTTCTGCACTGGGTTTTGCCCTGATCGCGTACACACGTGCTGCAGAGACGGACCACATGTTCTGCGACAAGGCTAGCGACTGGGGCTTCACAAGTTTCATGCCCCTGGCGGACCTGGTCGACCCGGCGGCTGGCTTTCTGCACGACGACGTGGTGGTGGTGCGCGCCGACGTGCAAGTGAAGAAAGTGGTTGACTACTGGAACTGGGACTCCAAGAAGGAGACCGGCTTCGTGGGGCTCAAGAACCAGGGGGCCACCTGCTACATGAACTCCCTGCTCCAGACGCTGTACCACATCCCCTACTTCCGCAAGGTTAGGCAAACACCCGGACCCGGGCGTCAGTTGCCCGGTCAACGTGTGTCGTGTTGTCTTGATTGCGCGATTACTTGACTGCAGCAGCGATGACAAGCGGTCATGTTGATGCGGGGGACTGCAAAAGGTCGTGAGAGCATGGCGTGCAAAAGGTCTGCAGGGCCCGCGTTCTTTTCGAAACAAGTGGCACTGCCTGTATCAGAAGGGCCATACTTGTGAGTCAGATTGTGCGGCGTCGTTGATGTCGCGTGCAGTCGGTGTACCACATGCCGACCACGGAGAACGACAGCGCGGCGAGCAGCATCCCGCTGGCGCTGCAGCGGCTGTTCTACAAGCTGCAGTTCAAGGACACCAGCGTGTCCACCAAGGACCTCACCACCTCCTTCGGCTGGGGGCCCACCGAGTCCTTCGAGCAGCACGACGTGCAGGAGCTCAACCGGATCCTGTGCGAGAATCTGGAAGAGAAAATGAAGGTATGCTTCTCATCGCTTCTGAGGCTGGCCGAGATCTTGCGGTGGGCGAGGTCTATATGGTTCTTGTCAGGATGAGGGGCTATGTTCCCATTGGTCGAGAACGCTCTGCTCAGCTTTATGGCTCTTCTCTGTTTGCCGAGAGCGGAGATTCCGGCTGATAATCGCTTAAGTCCTCTTCTTCAAACGTAGTAGCGTGCGTTCTTTTCAGGCAGAAGTGTATGTTGACAGACCCCGTGGCAGGAGAACGTGAGCTTTTGGGACCCCCCTTGGTTTATTCCCCCCAGTCGTTGGTCCAATCTGCATCAGAATGCCAGATTCAGCTGTCGATCCAGGGGCTGATATGCAACGGGTGGTCTAAGGAGTCTGCCGAGAGTCCGTGTTGTCTTTCTGCGACTCTTGACAAAAGAGAACGGGGCGTCTTCGTGGACTGTCCGCCCCTTCCGAAGGGGTTTCCTTCATGAGCATTTTTTCAATCAAAGTATGGTCACGCTTTTCGAACAAGCTCTACGTGCATGACCGTGTTTGTGATGTCCTGATCCCTACGTCCTCTTGTAATGTCTCAGGGCACGGCTGTGGAGGGCACGATCCAGCATCTGTTTGAGGGGCACCAGCTGAGCTTCATCGACTGCATCAACGTGGACTACAAGTCGGAGCGCAAGGAGGCCTTCCTGGACCTGCAGCTCGACGTGCGCGGCTGCAAGAACGTGTACGAGTCGTTCGACAAGTACGTCGAGGTGGAGATCCTGGCCAAGGAGAACTCGTACCAGGCAGAGAGCTTCGGCCTGCAGGTCAGCCCACAGCGACGCTCGGGGCCGACAAGGAGGGGTCCGAAAGTGCCTCCGATCGGACAGCGTGCCTTGCCCTCGGACCAGTCAGGTTGCCTCTCTTCGATCATCCTGCACGTGTGCCTCTGCTTATCTTCTCCTGTGGTCCTCTCTTGCACTGCCCCAAGATGTATTAAATTCGTTACGTCTTGGTCCTGGCAGCCTGTGACTCGTTGGATGCACGCGGTTGCAGGAAGCGAGGAAGGGGGTGAAGTTCGTGGACTTTCCCCCGGTACTACAGCTGCAACTCAAGCGTTTCGACTTCGATTACGAGAGGGGGATCATGACAAAGGTGAGGGATACGAGAAGGCCATGTTTTGTGCAAGAAGGCTAGGCTTAGGTTTGAGGTCTCAACGCCATCTTGAGAAGCAATCTAGTGCGTAAAATTGCATCAGGGGTCGTTTTCCGGGTAACAGTCTTTTTCGCCTTATCCTGATTGGTGTTTTTGGCTATCTGCACAGAATAACGACCGGTACGAGTTCCCCGCGGAGCTGGACCTTGACCGGGACGACTACAAGTACCTCACCGAGGATGCCGACCGGAGTGTGCGTAACAAATACCTCCTGCACAGGCGAGCCATCCACGCAGGCCCTTCACCTAGCAGAGCATGCTTGCTGGGTTGCCGTTCATTTCGAGCGCTTTGTGTTTGAAAGTTGCAATTGACTTCTAGGGGCAGGAGGTATTTGTCGAAGTGGGACGGCCTGGTCGGGTTGTCCATACCCGCGCTGAGGTGCCGTGTTCTCTTTGTCACCGAGTGGTCTGTCCTCTGCTCACTGTCTGAGCGGCTTTTGTGCGTGGCGCAGCGTGCTGGTGCACAGCGGGGGCATCCACGGCGGGCACTACTACGCCTTCATCCGGCCGCAGCTGCGGTCCAACCAGTGGTTCAAGTTTGACGACGAGCGGGTCACCAAGGAGAGCGCCAAGAAGGCCGTGGAGGAACAGTACGGGGGCGAGGAAGAGGTACGCAGCGTGGCATCCTCTCTCGGAAGAGGCCCAGATATCCTGAATGCATACAAGAGAACAGGGGCGGGTGCAGAAGCGGAGCCAGCAGATGCCATGAGGGTCGACCCGGAAGCTATTTTGATTGTGGCCTGTCCAGTACTAGAGCGGGGAGAGTGTCGCTGCTTTCCGTCTGACCCTCTTGTTTGGGTCCACCGCAGCTGCCGTCGCACGGGCTGGGCAACCCGCCCTCGTTCAAGTTCACCAAGTTTTCCAACGCGTACATGCTGGTCTACATCCGCGTCTCCGACATCGAGAACATCATGTGCGACGTCACCAAGGATGACGTGGCAGAACACCTGCAGGCAAGTGGGGTCGAGCGCCTCTGCTTTCATGCTTCCGCCTGGTCCGGTTGTGCTTGTTGTGAGGGTCTTCTTCCTTGACGTCAGCAACGATTCTTGCATAGCGTGGGTAAGGTTTAGTGTCGGTCCCGGCACTGGGTTCTCGGCGGGCATGCTGACCGGGCTGGTGCTTGGGCGTGCAGCTGCGCGCGGCCAAGGAGGAGGAGGAGAAGGCGATCAAGAAGAAGAACAAGGCGGAGGAGCACATGTACACGCTCATCAAGGTGGCCACCGAGGAGGACATCCGGGCGCAGATCGGCACCACCACGCACTTCGACCTCGTCAACTACGACTCCATCAAGGTGCACCGCGTCAAGAAACAGACGCCCTTCCAGGATTTCAAGGTACGGCCCTTGCGCAGCTGCGCACCAACGCCGACTCCGGCTGCTTGCATGGCCTTCACAGTGACTCAGCCGCACTTAAGGTCCCTTCTATGCAGAATTTCGACAATTCTTTGCGCCCGGCTTCGGACCTTCTCGGTTTGCAGTTCTGCCAGACCATGTTGTGTGCCGGAAAGTGGTCAAGTACTGTCAAGTATTCTGTGCCTGGAGATCTGTGCGGTAAGCACGACGAGTGACCTGAGACCCTTCGCGGCACGGTCTGGTGTGCAGGCGCAGATCGCGGAGGAGTTGGGCATCCCGGTGGCGCTGCAGCGGTACTGGGTGTGGGCCAAGCGGCAGAACAAGACGAATCGGCCCAACCGGCCGCTGACGGCCGTGGAGGAGGCGCAGACGGTGCAGCAGCTCAAGGACAGCCACATGAAGATGCCGCTCACCGAACTGCGCCTCTTCCTCGAAGCACCCGTCCTGCGCGAGGTGAGGCGCAGCTGATTCTCCAGGCACGGACCTACGTCGGCATAACCCCAAGTAGCAGGGAGGGCATACCAAAAGCTTGGAAAGGGTTTCTGACGCGCAAATCTATCCTCAGCCCGTCCTGTTGGCCACTCTTTTGAAGTTGCTCTGTGTTTCTTCTACCCCCTCTCACGCTCCGTGTGGCTGCTATTGGCAGGACCTGAAGCAGCTGCCGCAGGCGCTTCCCGAGCGCACCAAGGAGGACATCCTCATGTTCTTCAAGCTGTACGACCCCGAGAAGGAGACCCTCCAGTAAGCCCTGCTCCGCCTCCTGATCCCCGTTCTGACAATGCTGATCTTGTATACGGCTTTAACCTTTGTTCCGGGAAGCAACGTCGACCCCGCACCTCAGCACAGCAAGCGACGCTGCGACGTAGTCGGAGTCACGTTCAGTCATAGTCCATTGTCATTCCGGTGACGTGCTTCTGCTCTGCTTGCGCTGTGGTCACCCCGGGCGCGCTGCTGTGGTTCAGGTACGTGGGCAGCCTGTACGTGCGGCTGTCGAGCCGGCCCACGGAGGTGATGGGGCGCATCAACCGGCTGGCGGGCTTCCCGGAGGACCAGCCCATCAAGCTGTTCGAGGAGATCAAGTTCGACCCCAACGTCATGTGCGAGGCCATCGACAAGAAGCTCACCTTCAAGGGCAGCCAGGTCAGCCCCCACACGCATCACCGTGTGGCTAGAACGGTTGGAGGCAAATGCCGCAGGCTGCAAACAACAGGGTTTTGACATTGCGACCTGCGATGATCGAAGCAAGAACAGCCTGGAGTTCGCCAGTTGAGAGCTTATCAAACTCCCTAGTCTGCGAGCCTTGGATGTTTGGGCGTGACCGCTGTTGGCGTGGTGCTGCGCAGCTGGAGGACGGCGACATCATCTGCTTCCAGAAGGCGGCCCCGCTGGGGGTGGAGTCGCGCCACCGCTTCCCCGAGGTGCCGGCCTTTATGGAGAACGTGGTCAACCGGCAGGTCGTGCACTTCCGCAAGCTCGAAAAGCCTTCCGCGCCAGACTTCGACCTAGAGCTGTGAGCCCCGTCTTTCTAGCTCTTTTGGTGCTTGTTTGGAATTTGGAAATTAGACACATTCGCGGCATGGTCCCCAGCGTTGTTTCACGTTCTTGTCACGCATGCCGAACCTTGCCAGATTCTGGCATCGTCTTCCTAGCTATACCAGGTGCTCATATTGCCTCGTGAACCTTACCAAACCTTCCGCACTTCTCCTTCGCGGTGTCGGAAGTCACTGTTTGGGTCATTGGCCCGTTGCACGCTCGCAGAGTACATGCATCTGGGCATCTGGTGCCTTGGGTCTCTTGCGCGCCGAACTGAGGTCATGCTGTTGGTGCGCAGGTCAAAGCAGCACTCGTACCTGGACGTGATCTCCGCGCTGGCGGCGCACATCGGGCTGGACGACCCCGCGAAGCTGCGGCTGTCGCAGCACAACGTGCACACGCACATGCCCCGCGTGGCGCCGTTCAAGTACGCCACGAACGACAAGCTGTACGACATGCTGCGCGGCAACACGTCCTACAGCGACATCCTCTACTACGAGGTCCTCGACATCCCCCTGCCCGACCTCGAGAAACTCAAGACGCTCAACGTCGTCTTTGCCAACTCCAAAGTCGAAGAGGTCAGCGCCCCGCCTTTTGCTTTTATCCATCCACTCAAATTTCACCACCTCTTCAGAACGCTCGCTTGCTGATTGCTTGTATTTCGGGCAGAGGTGGACCAACAGTGTTAGCGCCTGTGGTCCCTTTGGTGGACCCCAAACATGGTCACAACGCGTACCCTCTCGTGCTGCAGGTTGCATCGCACCAGATTCGGATACCGCGCACCGGGACCGTGAGCGACCTCCTGGTAGAGCTGCGGAAGAAGGTGGAGCTGTCACGGCCCGACGCCGAGTTGCGCGTAGTGGAGGTCATCATGTCCAAAATATTCAAGGTGCGCGCCGCCAGCCACCGTATCCGCACAACCGGTCTGGTATCTGGTGTCAGGCGATGCAAAAGCATCTGTAATCTCAATCGTGACACAGTCCTGTTGTTTTCCTCCTTGTTTTCCCGTACCTGCGTCGTTGTCACGGTCTCCTTTTGAGCCGTCCCTCCGTCGGAATGCAGATTTTGCCGCCGGGGGATCCGGTGGACAAGATCAGCGACCAGTACTGGAAGATCCGGGCGGAGGAGGTGCCCGAGGAGGAGCTGCAGGCGGGGCCGCAGGATCGCCTTCTACACGTCTATCACTTCCGGCGAGACAAGCTCAATAAAGACCAGGTCAGCCGCTGCGCCACGTGCAGTCCACAGGCCGGATGCCCCTCACCTCCTCCTGGCGTGTTGCCGCATGCCGCTTCTACTGTCGTTCGTCGACCTCAAAACGCTCGGCTGGCTGGTCTCTTTCTTATAAACAGGAGTCACCGCGTTTTCCGGCCTGTTGTCTTCGGCGTAGCCAGTTGTCTCTGTCGTGGTTCTTAGCCTGGTGCGTGGCTGACTGGGTCATTTCCTTGTGCAGGCCATCCTCTTTGGAAACCCGTTCTTGCTGGTTGTGCGGGAGGAGGAGACGATGGGCGAGGTCAAGGCGCGCATCAAGGCCAAACTGGGTGTCAAGGACGAGGACTTCGAAACGTGGAAGTTTGCTTACGTCAACAATAAAGCCAGTCCAGTCTACTACGAAGATCAAGACCTGGTGCTCGGTCGATTCCCGGTACGTGTACGTCACTGCTTGTCGTTTACCTTTTGCTGGACAGTGGGAGCGATTGACATACGGTCTGCTGCCAGCGCCCATCGTGAGGAATATTCAATCGGGGTTATATTGGGGATGTTTTGATTTGGCATGTGCTTCTCAGAAACCGATCGGCACTTCAACTTGGGCTTGCAGATTGAGACTGCTGACCCCTGCATGTCTTTTCTTGTCCAGCGAGCGGGCAGCATCTTTGAAGCACCTTTCCTGGGGATGGAGCACGCAGACACGGGGCCGAAACGAGCGCACGTGATGAACTCGGTCAGTCTTCAAGCCTTGCAAGAGATGCTTCGGACGAGAAGCTCTCTGAGTGACGCTCGTGAGTTTCTTATGATAAAAAGAAATGTTCTGCTACATATTGTTCTCTGCTCGGTGCCTCTGAAAACGTTCTTTCAGCTTATGCCATTGCTCGTATGTGCAGATTCGTGAACGTCCAGTTAAGATCTACAACTAGGGGATCCGCTTGTTGCAACGGTTGGTAGGTAGGTAGGTGTCTAAAATACTCGAAGATATCGCTTTGATCTGTGTATTCGCACACTGTGTCTGTGTCTGACTTCGCCTGCACATCATTGGCGGAGAATGGGCTGCGGCATCGCTAATCTAATCCGGAGGTGATCAGGCAGTGTTGTGCGCATGGATCCTTGCTGATGCTGCAATGTTGGCAACTTTGGTATGTGCATTGGTTGGCAGCCTGCTATTGCTCTTGGGATAGCTGTGCGAATTTTTGCCGCCTGGCAGCCTCTATGTTAGGAAGCACCAACATTGAAATCCAGGTCACTAGTGCAGTCAAATTACTAAGGAAGAGTCTCAGGCTCAAGCTAGATATGGGTGGTGCACCGACAGCACTGGCACAGGCCCGTTTGCAGTATCCGACTTCGTTCACATGGCTTAGGATAGACGATCGCATATACTGTGCCCATAATATGTCGCAAAGACGGGTGCTATTGAGATTCACACCATGTATATGTACGTATTGCTGCACACAATTAGCAGATCTGTGCTAGCTCTATCATACACCTCATGATCAGGTCATGATCTCGAACGGAGATTATTGCCAAGTACAGGATTTACAACTTCTGAGACCTGTGGGCGCATATGTTGTGTCAAGCTGCGCAATTGTAAATGATGCCGGGAAGAAAGTGCCGACTGATTCTTCTCAATAAGAATAGTCAATGGGTCCTTGGGACAAAACAATTTGGCAAGTGGACGTTCAATGTCCAGCTCATCTTCTACCCATTCATGGGTGAGTAATTGCATTGTATGCTGTCACAGGGATGACCCGATACCCTGGTCTCCAACATGCCGAGCTTACATGCCTTGGCTCATGGCCTCCCGTCTCTGCAGAATTGGGGGATTGAAAGCATTTGGCAAGATGGCAAGACAATTGTGAAGCATGTTTCCCATCAACGTCGGAGCCTTCTTCAGTACTCTGTGGTATCCAGAGATACCATTTGTCTTTATAAGGTTAATCCAGAACAGAATTATAGAGATGCTGTAGCCGGATATCAATATTATCTCAAAAACCCATTCTGCTTACTGCAAAGATCTTTTGCAAAAAGAGTCACAGTAACTTGCCCTCTGACGAGTACTGAAAAATTACCAATGAGAAACATTCGCCACGTAGGCTGGCGGCAGCAGGCAGCTACACTATTGGGCTCCTCCTGCATCTACGAAGTATTTGAAGTGTCGAGGAGAAGCATTGTGAAAGAGTCCTTCACAGCCCACCTTGGTGTTTCCTAGCAGCTTGTGAAAGCTGCAACTTGTAAGGTCGCTAACCAGGGCCCACTTTGGGGATATCATAGTGCTCTGTCAAGCTGGCTAATCTTTCATTGAAGTTCTGGACCCGCTCCCGATGGGACATCACAGCTTCTTTTTGCAACCGCCTTGCTTCTATTTTCCCCAGAGCTGCATCGTACTTCTTCTCCGCTGCGGTTCTGTGATCCTCGTCCTGCCCTGCCTCTGCTTCATCTCCATCGTGCTCTAATCTTTCTCCGCCGCTGCCTGCCCGCTCCTCAGCCACTTCCTTCAGCACCAAAGCAAGCTGGTCCTTGGACTTCTTCTTCTTCTTCTTGATGCCCCCCTGCGAGGGGAGCTCCTTTCCTTTCAGCTTCAGTTTGCCTTTCACCACATGTTCTAGCGACATGTTGAAGCTCTGCAGGCGCCTGTAGGCTGTGGTTGCTCACTCAGGCTGTTCCATTGGCATCATGCCACATGTATGGCAAACCTGCAGCTGCCTAGCTGTGATTTCAAGTGAATTCTACCCGGTCGCTCCAAAATTAACACCAGGTATAGGATCCTTTTTAAATTTCAAGTTCTTCGCAGCAGCCGGGAAATGCCAAACCAAACTTGACCGATCAAAAGGAAACCCGTTCTTTCAAAAGCGAATTGGCTTGCAGCCCTGTCGCTAATCCAAACCGGTCAATTTCAGGTTATAGCCAAACCGGTCAACTTCAGGGCATAGCCGGACCGAATTCTGGCCCCGTATCTGAGGCCGAACGCAGAACTGAGCAATGTTGAAATGCGTATACCGGTAGGTAATACAGGCTACAGCCTTGGCCCTTGGGCCTTGGGTGCTGGAGAGCGCGTGCTGAAATTGAACACAGTCCTGAGTTGGAACAGCTGCCAGTGCCAGGGCGCTTGCTGCTTGCTGCCAGCTGCCGCCATTGATGCAAGGTATGTGAGCTTTCTCGTTCTTCAATCTTCCTTCCTGCAGGGCTGGCATGAGAATATGAAGAACTTGGTGGTGCTTTTGAAGAAGCTAATTGAATTTTGCTCGTATTGCCCTGAACTCCAAAAAGGTGCGCCAAGATTCCTTCGGATTGCCCTTTCAGCACTTTGAATAGATTATCACTCTCAAGCCCCGCTTTTGCAGATGATAGACGACAATGACCTTGGGTTTTTCACCAATGTTTTGGGATCTTTGATCTTCATCCTGGTGGTGGTCTACCACTACGTTGTTGCGGACCCCAAGTATGAGGGGCCTCAATGACCTGGTAAACTTTGCACGAGCAAGATAAGCGGCGGACATAGCCAATCTGCCAAGTACTTCAACCCTGAGAGCAGGCCGCCATGATGCAGCTAGAAATTGCGGCCATTCGGTCACCTATTACCTTGAAGGCAGACGGTTCTCAAACATTGGACATAACCACCAGGCTTTTTGATGTTCTTTTGTAAGTGTATAACACTTCCGTCTTAAGGATTTAAAGATCTGACTCTCAGCGGATGAGGAAACATAGATTGCTCGGAGCACAACCCCGATGATTGTCCTTCTTCCACCATTTTCTATTCCCCTTTTGCTTGTCATGGGATCCTGGTTAGTAAACATCTGCATGACATACCAAAACCTTGAGCCCTTCTGGACTCTTGTCAACGGAGAATTGCATGAGTCTTTCTGAATGTGCCATTGGGCAAAGCTACTCGGCTTGTTTTTGCGTACACTTCCACTGGCGTAATAGCGGGTCCTTAATGTGAGATGCGCTGGTTCTTCACCAGCATCTATTGGGCCAGGAAAGTTAAGGAGGGGCTACACAGACAATCAAACCGCGTGGGGTCTAAGAGGCCACTGAAAGGTAAGGCTGCATCCTGACGACCCTGGCGAACAACACGATGTGACCCCATGTTTCCAGAGTCACAGTCTGGCACTTTGACCAACTGACTCACAAGTATGCACCAGGCTTAGGACTTGGCGCGTCATCCATGGGGGTTCGAGTACGAACCAGCTTTATGGCTACGTGTACGTGCGGTATGTGGCAGCACGATGGGGTTGAGATGCACCATGTTAGCGGGCTTTAACTCAGTTATTTGCTTCAAGTTCTCTTTGACTTCTATGCTTACCCCTCAGAAGCATTTGATTGGTTCGGCCTTGATTGACTGCAAGACCTGATGTTTCCACGCCCAAGATCGACCCAACATTCCGTCTCTCTTGCAATTCCCAGAGTTACAGTTCTGTGACGGTTGCTACTTAACGTAGTCACCATGCCAATTTTGGTTCGAGGCTGAAGCTACAGAACTTCATCAAGTTAGCAAAGCTGCTGCCGGATGAGATTGAATGAACCGCGTGGTGTAATTTCACCGTATGCATGGGGCCAGACAAAATGACTATTATATCATGACACTTGGGAGCACGCGTATGATGACCAGCAGCATATGCGGTAAACGGTGCATGCTGCCTAAAGTTGTTTTGCATAATCGACATGTTACGGCCGGTCGCATGCACATCCGGGCAATTCAGGTGCATGATGGCACGTTTAATGCAATATATGTATGTCCGGCATGCTTCATTACCCATGAAGGCTTCATGGAATCATTTGTATGCACGAACGCGGGCTGCTTCGGAAAACATCGTATATTAACTATACGTGATTATTATATTCTGTGGCTTGTGTATCATTTCCCATGTGCAGAATGCCCGTTTGAGTCAATTCCTATCCGCAACGGGCGAATCGATGCGCCGCAGGGCCTGTGATCTTGATTACTTTCAGGGCCTGTGATTGATTCTTTTGTCGCAGCGACTCTGGCAACGAAGTTTGCCAGGCTGCTTGCCGATTTGCCTTCTAAACAAGCTGCAAGGCGATCGCAGCTCGCACACACGAGCGGGGAAGATTCTCGTGGGTGCTTTTCCTCAATTGGTTCGTCTACTCTAAATATACAACGTCCTGAAGCATGTATACCACCTTTGGCAGAGCTTGTATCCGCTTTCATACCACTTGTCAGTAGGGCAAAACCTGCTACTTCAATTGTGCGATTGTGAGCCCCTGGTTGGCTTCTGATTCAAGAGCAAAGCTTTCTACGTACGGATGTTTCTTCAGCATCTTCTCCACGGCCTGTCGGATGGCCCCAGTCCCGACTCCGTGAATAATATACATCTGGTCGCCCCCACTCGAATGCATCAGGGCAGTCTCCAAAGCCTGTGCGACAAGGACAGCAATCAAAATCTGAATGGGAAAGCAGTACCGAAGTGGGCCCGTTAAAATGGGCAGAAACCTTTCGCCTTCATTGCCTGCGTGCTCCCGTGGAAAAGGTTTCCGCTGTAGAAAGACCGTTCCCAGGTGGCTCGTAATTGTAAGGTGGCATTTAACGCAGGCGCAACACTCAAGCGAATGACAAACATAACAGAGCATCCCAAGTCCGCTGGAGACGCCACCTCTGGTTTCTAGCAATTTCCTGCATTAGCTGGATCGGGGACCCCTAACATACACCACCTGGGGGCTCACAACATCCATTTTGTCTCCAAGGGACACCCGCCCTGCATTCTCACCCTGGTAGCCTCGTCCACTCGCATCCCCCGCAGGTCCACCGTGTTGCCTGCCGTCTGCATGGCGGGGCCAGCCTCCGCGGGCCCCGTCAGTACGTCCACTCCGCTCACCCCCGAGATGGCGCCCTCTGACGTCCCCGCTTCGCCTTCAAACGCGCGCTGCAGCAGGAGAGAAACGAGCTCTGTCTTCTCGGAAGCGAGCGGCCAGTGAGCAGACTGTAGAATGGTCTCTTGACTCCTCTGATTGCACGAGGGCGGGTTTTGGGAGACAGCCATTCGCGTATGAAGACACGTGCAGCATCAACGTTCGTGCCCCTCACCTGCAGCTGGCTAAGCGAGGAGGGCCTCTTCTGCGGCTGTGCGGGTCCCCCCCCCGCGTCGTCGTCCCTGGCGAGGGGCAGCACCTCGTCCCGCTTGACGCGCAGCCGCAGCTGGCCCAGCACCACCACCAGGCTGCCCTGCCCTGCGAACGCCAACGCAGCACGCTGCTCAGAGAAGCAGGGCGGGGGACCACCTCGGACCACCTCTCAAGGGAAGTGCAAAAAGTAACGGAGGTCATTGTGCTAGATCAGAAAGCACTCAAGTATTGCGTCAGAACCCGTCACTGGCCCGGCATGGCAGATCCGCATTCCGGCATGTGGTTGGAAGGGCCTGGATTTCACCACAGGTCGCCATGCCGCAAGAAAGAGGGAAGCCGTGCTGGGGTGGCGGCCTCACTGTCGGTTGCCTCGGCGACTTGCACGGGCTTGGTACCCAGCCGCCGCACCAGCACCAGGTCGCCTGGCTCCGGCTGCCACGTGGCCCCCCTGGCACGGTCGACCCGCGCGCCAGCTGTAGCGGCAACGTAGTCTTCGAGCTGCAATCACGGTAATCAGAAGTTCCGTCAGCTCCCTTCAGTTTCAGTCATTCTGTACGGGGCCATGCAGTATACCAGCCGGCATGTGAGAAGGGGGAAAGCAGTGGCATAGGCTCACGGCCTAGGAGATGCCTTTCGTTGTCGGTTCAGCGAATTGATACGACGAGGACCAAGGCGCAGGTTCGACTACCAGCGGCTGGGCTGAATTGCCGCTCTAGTTTTTGACTTCCTTCGTGCTTTCGCTCGCTATTGAGGAAAGCAAACGCCGATCACTTTCCTCAACCCCAGCATGCTCCTTATCCTTTCCACTCAGTCACATCGTGACCACTCGGTCTTCATCGCAGTTTGCAGGGGCTGTGAGTGCCGGACCTGCTGGCGGTCAGGCGAGTAGGCCGCCGCGATGTCCTGGAGGCGCGTGCCGGCCTCGTATGGGTCCACGTCACCGCCCCCTGCTGCCGAGCCTCCCGCGTTGGCCTGCCTCTGCAGCTGCTCCACCACCGCGCGCATCTCGCGCCGCGCCTCGGCAATCAGCTGCGCCACCTCCTCTTCCTGCAGCAGATGCAGCGAACAAAACGTGAGGCCACCTGTTTGGACGTGTGGCACAGTCATCGTCGAGCAATAAAATGTGCTAGCTGGATAGCGGATCTCAATAGACATGATCCTGGATTGGCGGCGCCTCGAGTGCCCAGCAGTTGCTCTGCAGGCACCCTGCAAGCAACCAGACCAGCCCTCTTTGCCGCCCAGCAGTCCCGTAAGGCTCCGTGCCTGACCTTGGCCTTTTGCAGCCGCCTCTCCCGCTTGGCCAGCCCCGCCGCCTCCTCCGCAATACTGGCATGCACGTGCCGCGCCTCAGCCAGCACCCCCTCCGCCGCTGCCGCCTTGTCGCGGAAGCCGTCCGCCTGCTGCATGAGGGGCCCCAGCAGCGAGCTCGCGCGCTCGCCTGCGCCCGCGGGCGCCAGCTGGCGGAGCAGCAAACGCGCCTCGCGCAGGACGTCAGCGTCGAAGTCGAGGGCGGACGCAATGTCGAGAGCGTTGGACTGGCCTGCGGGCCAATCACAACGGATATGACTCAGGAGGTCAGCGGTGAAGGGAGGTGCCAACATCCAACATTGAGCAGGCTTTACTGCCGTTCGCATTGCTGGTCACAACGTCAACTGATGGTGACGAATGTCTCGGCTGCCAATCAAAGACAAAATGTCCACCGAATACACCACCCTTTTTCGGTCAAGGTCTCCAATGTTCCATGCGCTGACAGCCAGGGATGCACACCCACGAAGCGCTCTTCAATCAGCATCGCACTTGGCCTTTGCCCTTCGCAAAAAGGGCGGCTTACCGGGCACTCCCCAGAGCACCTTGTAAGTCGGTCGCAGAGTGGCCCGGTCGAATTCGACAGAAGCGTTTTCGAACCGTGAGTCCTGCAGAGGAATTCACAGACAGGCGCGTCAAAAAACCGGCCTAAGGGACCTTGCTGGCCCCATCTCTCCCTACTCACGATATCAAGAACGCAGACATAGTAGTTCTTCCAAGAGTGACTCCAAAGGCGACAATGTGCTTATCACCGGCTCGTTCCATGTCGAGAGCAGGCCCATGATACGGCCAGTGGAACAGTCAATGGTCCGACAGCCTCCGGCAGCTGCCCCACCTGTTCCTTGAGGGCCTTGAGCTCGGAGTAATGAGTCGTAGCGACTGTGAGCGCGGCAGTTCCCGCCAGGTGCTTCAGCAGCGCAGTCGCCAGCGCGGCGCCCTCAGACGGGTCAGTGCCCCCGCCTGCCTCGTCCAGAAGCACCAGCGAGGACGGGCCACACGCCTGGAGGGCAGTACGAAATCGATTTAAAAAAGCAATCACGACAAGACAGCGACTTGCGTACAATGCCTCTCCGACTCGATAATGATCACATAAGAGTAGCAGTGCTTTCAAGCCAATCGTCATGCTGCTGGCCAAAATTCGAGATAAGCGACCAGACACTGAGAGGCGGCGTTTTCGTAATCCTGGCAATCATGGCGAAATTGGAAAGAAAGACGTCGATGAAGTAAGCCCCGTCCCCACGTACTGACCTGCAGGATCCTGGTGAGCCTGCGCACGTGGCCGCTGAAGGTGGACAGGCTCTGCTGCAGGCTCTGCTCGTCGCCCACGTCCGCCAGCACCGCGTCGAACCACGGCACCACCGGCGCGCCCTGCGCCGGCACAAACAGGCCCGCGCGCACCATCAGCGCGGCCATGCCCAGCGTTTTCAGGGTCGCCGTCTTGCCCCCCGTGTTCGGGCCCGTGATGGCGACCACCCGAACGTGGGGGTCCACCCGGATGTCGATCGGCACGGGTAACCTCTCCGCCGATCCGTGCTCCGTCCGTGGATCCTGCTTCTTGTTCAGGGGCCCAATGGCTGCGGCCAGGAGCAGGGGGTGCCTCATTTGCTGAATGTCCAGCCACGTGGAGGTCTCGTCCCCTCTTCCGCTGCTGCTAGCCTCGGTATCTACGCTCGGTGGGGCAGCGCTGAAGGTGGGCCGCGTGCCGTGGAGCCAGGCGGCATGGGCGGCCCGCGCAACGGCCAGGTCGAGGGCCGTGATGCGCTCCAGGAGGAGCAACAGTCCGGCCGCACGATGAGCCACCTGCAGGGCGGGATCTACGGACTTAGCACGAGGCTGACAACTGTGCGAGGAGGAGAAACGGGGTTGTTTGGAATGATCCATGATTCAGGTCACACCGTTATGCACAGCAAGCTAAGAACCCATCGTTCATCTTATCCAGAACCATGCAGCGATGGCGCTGTATTTGGAACATATTTTGCAGGAAATGCTTACCTGGCTGCTGAGCTGCTTGAGGATGCGCGTCTCCTCCTCTGCCTCCTGCCCGGATAGCTCCATCTCCCGGTTGTTCAGGGCGATTGCTTCCTCTGGCTCGACATACACTGTGACACCCGTGTTGCTCTGGTCCAGCGTGATGCCACCTGCACACGAAAGAGGCACTTCTGACTGCGGACAATCTGGAAAACGAAGTGGACACATCGGCAGAGTCGACTCTGATCCAGGTGCACGTGCCTGGAAGTGGATGCTGTCAGGGAAGGTGCTCCTTCTTATCACCTCTCGGATTCCCCAACACAGAAGCAGAACAACTATGAGAGATGAATCCAACTGAAATACTGGTGTTAGTTCAGAGACAAAGTGATACTCCCAGACCCCATGCACCAAACAAACAGGGCGAGCGAAGTGGCGCCGTACCTCGGATGTCCCCCCGTCGTGCTGCCTTGACGGCCACGCACAGCCTGCCCCTCCTGGCCACCACCATGCCCTGCTCTGCCGCGCCGCTGGCCTCCAGCTGCGCCGCCAGCGTCCCCAGCAGCTGCTGCAACGCTCGCATGTTGTCCCGCCGCTGCGACCGGATGGAAGCCAGGGCAGCACTCGCCGTGTCCAGGATGAGGGGGGGCCTGAGGATGAGGGACGAGAGCCACTTACAAAGGGCGAAAGAGCGCAGCGGCCTTAGAACTTTATGAGTGCCCCCAGACCCAACAGTCCCTCAGCCCTGAAATTGACTACGATGAAAGTATCCAACTCATGCAGTCATCTCCAAAAAGATGAACATGCATGATTTATTGGACTCACTCTGCAGAGAGGCAGCGCCTGATGTCTTGCGCCAGTTGCAGGTCCACTGTGACTGGCTCCAGGATGGTCAGCAGCGGGTCCAGGGCCCCTGGCGCAGCCTTTGCAGCAGCAGTGCTCGCGGCCACCAGCCCCCTCTGCACGACAATAAGCTGAACATCAACGGCGCTAGCCGTGATGCGCCCCGTCGCCCATTCCTGACAAGTTCTCTGCTGTGCTCAAGGTCTGTGCCATCCGTAACAAGGAACAACTGTGCCCTGAGAATAAAACCTGGCACTGCTAGTTAATGGTACTCTCCAGCCAACGGACCCATCACTGCGCACCTGCAGCCTGTCTGCGGCCTCCAGGCTGGCCCCGACGTCGGCCAGCTCCGCGATCTGGCAGCACTGCCCCGCGGCCGCCTTCTGCACCACCTTGCGGATGTCCCTCACCCCCTCAAACGTGAGGGTGCAGTGACGCGCCGCCTCCGTCTCTGCGAGCAGCTGCACGCTCTCTGCTTGGGTGCGGCCAATGCGGAGCTGGCCAGCCTGCGCCATGGCCACTGCAATGGGGGTGGAGGCAAACTCAGCAACCTGCAGTCGCCACAACCATACGCAGTGTCGGTCAAGCTTCGCAACTCACAGGCTGGCATCGGGGCCGGAAGACTGCAGCATTGCTGATGGAAGATGCGCGTTCACTCTTGAGCTTTGTCAGGTTGACCTCAATCAAAAGGCTGAACTTCAGCTCGGAGCTGCATCAACAGCAAGACTCCTATCTGCCAAAGCGAGGGCAGGGCAGGGTGTGTTAGGAGCAGGCTTCACTGTCCTCATGTTTCTCTTTCAAAAAGAGTGACTATGGCGCACCTGCTTGCACAAGGCCGGCCACTCCAACAAGCGCAAGGCTTCCTCCTGAACGCCTGCACCGGGTTCCTCGACCTCCGGCTCAATGCTAGGAGCGTCACCTTCACTGTCATCCTCAGTGCTAGAGTCACCTTCGTCAACACTTTGCGAGGCCGGAACCGAAGCAATAGCTGCAGAGGGCGTCGCTCTTTGTGGCTGCCAACGCAAGTGCTGCCTCCCACCGCCCTGCCACCACCCGGGTCTGCACCTCGAGAGGCCCGCCCTCCCATCAGCATTGCTCTGCAGAGCTGTACTCCCGTGCTGTCCCCTTGCGCGTAAGGGCAGAGCAGTCAGCCAACCAGGAACACGCAGAGCGATGGGCGAGGGGCGAGGTCCATGCGAAACAGTTCGCTGTCCCCCACACTCATTCGAAGCGGCTTCAGCGATGGCGGTACCACCTAAGGGCCTCCAAACTGGTGCCCAGCAAGCAGAGGCAGCTGAAACCATCGCCTGCTGTCCTGAGGGTCAGAAACCTCAGCTCAACATGTGAACGCCCCCCCCAACACAATCGCCACATCACTGAAAAGAAGCCCTGCGCGAATCAATTTGACGACGCCCAGCAGCTTGTGCAGCACCTTGCCTAGACACTATGATGCAGAGTATATTTCAGAAACATAACCGGGAAACATTCAACTGGGTTTCTGTTGAATCAAAGATATTTCTTGATAATACCGGTTTCTTGTACCACTACAGCTTTGCCTGTGGGTGCAATAAAAGCGCGCAGCCTTTAGATATTCTGCAATTTTTCCCCTCCAGAATCTCAATATATTAGTCCAACGGGTCAACCTGATTCCTGACTCTTGAAGTTGCTGAACTGTGTCCAGATTCCTTGCACAGCGCCGACTGGATATTTAGGGTTTGCAAGCAAGGTGGGGCGCCAACATGGCGGCCATATGGCGTACGTGAATGAAGGAGAGCACTCGGCGCCATATGGGGGCAGTTGATCAAAGTCTGCCCGATGCATTTCGCTGGCCATTCAGCGCACGGCATTTCAAAAATAAGTCCTTTGTGGAGACCCGTCCTTTATTGACATTGAAAAGTTTGGGCCAGGGAAGCGTGATGCGCTGTCCTCCTTAAAAGGTACTGGTTCCTTGATTTGTAACAAACGGGTCATTGCAATCTGGGCAGAAGTAGCACCTTAGAATTCATTCATTGCAGGTAGATGCCGCACGTTGGGCCTCCTGCCATTGGGTTGCACAGAGGGGGGGCGCTTCCTTCAGAATCAGTCAAAAGTAGATCTGATGCCCTATGTTCTCCGTAAGTCTGACACCTAGTTTGTGTAGGGCCCTATCCCCGCTCATCTATGTCCGTCGATGGTGCGATACAAGGGTTGGGCGGGAGTAGCAGCGGGGACTCTGGGGCCATGAACGATAACAGCAAGGGGCTGGCGCTGGCCATCAGCTCCAGCCTATTCATTGGGGCCAGCTTCATTATCAAGAAAAAGGGGCTCAAGAAAGCGGGCGCCACGGGCATGAGGGCAGGTGCGGCGTGCTGGAGTATTCTGGTCCTGTTCAAGCCCTCTCTGGGAAGATGTTTGGATTGCTTATTGCCGTTAGTAGTCTCTGATGATATGCAGCTGCTGGTAACTCAGGACGAAGTTGCACCAGCGTGGTGCTAGGTGGCATTTGCCTGCTTGTGTGGCACTTGTGGAATGCTGATGGTTTTGCTGTTTGCTTTGCAGGGGTTGGGGGCTACTCGTATCTATCAGAGCCGCTTTGGTGGGCTGGTATGACCACAAGTGAGGGCACTTTAAACAAAAGGTTACATCCCTAGGGAGTGCAAACCCGTAAATTCAGTTGCGCCCATGGTCAGCATCTTGGTGTCGTCTGATTCCGGATGTGAGCAGCACTGACTGCTCGCGACACAACCGGTTGTCGATTGCTCCTCTGTTTGTGGCACTACTTCTATCTGTCATGGTCGTTGCCACCCTGCATCAATCAGGCAACCAACTCTGGCAACGCCCATGAATTGCGCTGTCTGTGTGCAGTGATTGTGGGGGAGGTCGCAAACTTCACGGCATACGCCTTTGCACCTGCCATCCTTGTTACGCCATTAGGTGCTCTTAGTATCATTGTAAGGTGAGATCCAGAGCTTCACCCACTGATTACACGGTCCGGGGGGGCCACACGAAGCAACGGCGAATCAGCCAGCTTATGTTTGAGATCTGTATGCCCAGTTTCGCGTCGACCCACTGTGCACACTTCTGATGCCAGCCCATTGCTTATGAGCTAGGCTTTGCAGCCCAGAGTCGGATGCTGTCAGAGTTGTCTCGTTTCTCTCTGTGTGGCAAGGCATCCTATCGTTGATAGGGCAGCCTGTTGTATCCACCTGGTTGCTCCCCGTGCGTGCAGCGCAATCCTGGCGCACATGCTTCTGAACGAGAAGCTGCATGTGTTGGGCATCCTGGGGTGCGTCCTGTGCATAGTCGGCTCCACCACCATCGTGCTGCACGCGCCGGAGGAGCGCGAGGTGCAGTCGGTCAAGGAGGTGTGGCACCTGGCACTAGAGCCAGGTGAGCGTGCAAGGGGGACCACTTTGGGAAGATCTACACTTGGGGCAAGCCGTATCACTTGGTTCGATACTTCAAAGGCCCTACAAGAAAGATTGATTGACAGATCGATCGAGACATGAACAACATCTGTCAAACGGGCTCTCTATGGATCGTGGAAGATGACCGCCAAACTCCTGTTCTGTTCCAAATGAGGGCATCTTTGGCCTTGAAAATCTTAGGCCTGCACGTTAACGGCCAATCGCGACGCTAGGAGGGAAAAGATAGAAATAAATGCATAATTTCGGAGTCACTCAAATCCGCGTGCTGTCCGGGTACGGGTGCAGTACAATGATGCTCTGTTACTGCTGCAGCGTTTGTTCTGTATGCGGTGACGGTGGTGTCCCTGGTGTGCACCCTCATCTTCCACTTCGCCCCCAAGTTCGGCCACTCCCACATCCTGGTCTACATCGCCATCTGCTCCCTCATGGGCTCCCTCTCGGTAAGGGCCATTTCTCTTCTGAGACAACCGGCCAGTTACTGGCTTCCGCAGGAAGCTGGCGGTGCCACGTTCTGACCACAGTTTCAAATCAAAGGCGGTTCATGAGCCCAGAAACATGTGCAGTGACCAGGTCTCCTCAAAGATGGATAGCATCCCGCCTTTGAGTATCTGATTGTTTTCAATGCTGCTGGTTGGATGTGGTTGCGATGCCCAAAAAATTGCTGTCACGTCGCAGCAACTTCGGCACGATCTGGCGTTTCGGATCGTCAAAAGCTGAGCCCATGAATCCAGATGTGGCGGACCTGCAGCCCCTGCTTGCCTTGGCTCGCAGGTGATGAGCTGCAAAGCCCTGGGGATCGCCCTCAAGCTGACGTTCTCCGGGGACAACCAGCTCTTCTACCCGGAGACCAGCGTCTTCGCAATCATTGTTGTCACCTGTGTGCTCACGCAAATGAATTACCTCAATAAGGTGAGCATTGTCTCAAGCTCTTGGACAGTGTGTTCAACCGTTTGATTGCATACGCTCTTGGCGGATGGCTCGTGCAGTCCGCATTTGTCGTGATACGTTCATGATGTCTGAAAAGCTGTATCTGTTTTGGAGGCAGAGACAGCGGCTGCATCGTTTCCTTACATAGTAAAAGGATCAAAGCGTTGACCAAGCCAATGATCTTGACCATGGCTCTCGTCTTCGGACACTCTTCGGACACCGGTCCCTACTCGAGTCAATGGCGTCACACCTGGCCGCATTTTGAAGTTTCTAGCAAGCTTATGCCGTTCAACAACTCGATTGAGCAGTCAACACATATCTATTGGTTCAAGTTGGGGAGGCGGTCAAGATCGACGAGTTGTGATATCACGGTCGTTCTTTCTAGGGATAACTTTTTGCTTTTTCTACTATCTGGCGCGCCCTGACTGCTGGTCCTGGCCGCGTGATGTGCAGGCCTTGGACACGTTTAACACGGCCATAGTGTCGCCCATCTATTACGTCATGTTCACCACGCTCACCATCCTGGCCAGCGTCATCATGTTCAAGGTGAGCCCGCCAGTCGCCATTCTCGCGACGGAACAGGCGCAAGCAAGCAGAGCGATCGCAGTACCTTCCAGCGCTCCTTAGCAAGCTTTTCTCTCATCTTTTGTTGGAAGGGAGATGCTTCTCTTCAGCAGCCCGGCTCGCTTCTGCAACAACCCGTCAGCTGCTCCGAGTTGTTTGTATGATCTTGCTGATGTTGGCGAGGGACGAGTCCCGTTGAGGACTTCAAAGCTATTCCAGGGGTCGACTCCGTTCAAGATGATTATCTTGCTATAACATAGCTCGTTCCAGGAGTCTTCTCGGAGTGCTGCTTCCTGGAATTACAAGCTTGCTAGCATCCTCGAAGGGTGCAAATATTATCATATCTGTGCTATAGGAGGAACGGTCCTGTCCTCCTATGTGGGTCATGTTTCAATGCTTGCAAAAATTTCTGACTTGTGTCCAAACACCTGTTAGCATGCACTTGGTTTTCCAAAGGTTGTTCGATCCGGCGATCACCCGCGTGCACGTTACAGAAACACACCCTGTCCGCTTGTGTTCCTGACGGCCATGCTAATTGCGCGCAGGACTGGAGCCGCCAGAACGCAGCGCAGATCGTGACGGAGCTGTGCGGCTTCGTGACCATTCTGGCGGGCACGTTCCTGCTGCACTCCACCAAGGACATGGGCGACATGGGCTCAGGACTGCGTAAGTGGGGGACCCTCGCGTTCCTAAAGGTATTGGCGACCTGGCGTGTGGGCTGCAGCCGCGTCCGGTCGCCGTTATGGCCAGCCTGCAATGCTTGTGTACGCAAAATAGTCCAGACTGGCCAGCTAGACACGTTATCATGCACAGTCATCTAACGTTTGGCAGCAGTCAGTGCTTCCCTGCGGGTTTCAAAGCTTTTCCAATGATTGAAAGCGTGTCGTCGACGTCCGCTGGCTGTGGTGCTTTCTTTGCTTCTGACTTGAGCTCCTTCAACTCCGTGCAGCAACGGTCCATTATTCGGGAGTGGTGAACACGCCGCCCCGGCTGAGTTTCTCGGGCAAGAGGCCCGAAGATGAGGACGAGGAGATACCCATGCGGCGACAAGACACGATGCGAAACTCAGCCAATTCAAGGGATCTGGCGGTTTTAAATTAAGATCGGAGAGAAATAACTCTGTCTAGAAATAACACAAACACTTTGATAAAACTGATTCTATAAAACACTGAAGCTGCAGGCAAGCAGTATTCCAACCTTTGTCCTCATTCCGTGTTCCATCGGGTTCAGTCGTCATAATTCCTGCATGAGCTCTTGCAATCGGTGTCTTACTTTACCCTGTCAATACAGCCAATCACGCGTATGTATGCATTACTGGAGATCTGCTACTTATAGCGTGAAGTTTGAAAGGACGGAACCTTCTGTAAATCAACATTGCATTATCGCGATCGGATCAGATTGAATATGCATAGGCCAAGATCGACACGATCATGGTCGCGGGCGGGTATATTGATTAGAAGTGCATACATCAATATTTCCTCACATGCATACCGGCTGCAATAAGTTTGCGCATATGATCAGCAAAATTGAATGTACGCCATGCAGCATGTATCGAATTATAACATCAAATCTGCATGGATCCCGAATTTCATCTGTCACAATCATTCTGTAGGTGGCCGCGCGTACGTGATCGCATGACATGCAATAACGATCCAATTCACATACGTGCTCCACCTTACCGGGGGCTCATGAGTTCATTGGATGCATGCATGCACGGGCCAGGGACATGGGCGATGTACGTGTGTGAGATCCTAGATGCTCTGGATGGCCCTCGGTTCATCGTCGATCGTTGAAAAAGACATCCATCAGCGGTCCAACAGGTGTTTGTACAACCATTGCACGTTGACTTAGATAACGCTCCACCGAGTTGGGCCTGAGGCTGAGTCAGCAGATCGCACAATCGGCAAGATTAGCTGTGCATTTGCATACGAGACCGTAATTTAGCCTGGGTCCAATTTCATGGCAGGCCTTGAAACAATATGTTAAAGGTTGAGACTAGATCGACCTCAGGCTAGAAGCAACCGACTCCTGAACGCTACACGAGCCTGTGGGTATCTGCGATGTGCACCGACTTGCCAGTCAACTTACACGAGCTCATGACAAGCTTCCGGTGATCGGGCATCTTTTTGCCGTCTCTAGCACACACAAAAGCAACCGTTGTGTCACGAAGACTTGGATTCTTGCCTACTTGTTAGCAACTGCATCTCGTACCACTGGTCTTTGCCATGAACAACCTCACTCGGACCCAGCAAGTGGAATCCGCTTCTCTCGTAGAATCTTATCAAATCCTGCATTAGGGATACAGGTAGATTGAAGCTCGATTGAGCGCATTGACTGGAGTGAGTCTGCACATTTGCCAGCAGATTTGACGCAAAAACGGCTCTCACGTTCCTCATGTGTGGCCTCAACATAGCCGCTACTCTTTTGGTCATCAACTTGCAGCAAACACCATCTGGCTCCAGACCTGACATCAGGTTGTCTTGCAAAAGCAAATTGTCTCAAGTCGCACTGCATCTCCGCATAGATAGAAAGGAAGATGCAACCTGGGCCTATGCAAGAAAAGCGACTCAGCAGACTCCTTACCTGTTTACAGATCAGCTTGATAGAATCTACTTGTGGAAGCGCGCTTCTGACATAGTTGATGTACGTTCGCATAATTCGGGGCCCCAAACCTCTTCGTTGTTGCTCCTTTGCAACGCACAAAGAGTGCACACACAAACACCCTGCAGAAAACGGCGGATCATTTGGGAATGCTCGTTGAACACAACTTCAATCTTCCTCTATTCCATCAGCGAAGCACTCATTTTCATCATGTACATGGCTAGCTGCCCCGTCTACTGATAGAGAAGCGACAAGGAGAAACAGTCTTCGGATCGGGCCGGTTGGAAAGGTGTTGACGTAAGGCTGGGCATTTACTGAGCTGGGTCCAATCGTTGGATAGTCTCCAGGAGAGTTTAATCTGATTGATCAATCAACTCCCTTGACAAAACTTGCACGGGCTGTGCCTAGCGTGGACACTCAAGGCGCAGCTAAAGAGCCGTCAGATCGTGCTTCAAGAAAAGCATCAAGGGCTGAGAACAGGGTGGCGGCACCAGACTCTGACACTAAGGCCGTCCAACAGTGTCCCTGGTCGCAATCCTGCAAAGACTGTTTTCCCTTATCCCCATTTTAAGAGCTTATCCCTGCCAGCGGCCAGTCGAACTTCTGGTTGGCGCAATCCAATGGCCATCACCGGAATTTTGCACCAATCTGGAAAACTCAGAAAATACATGGAACATAGAGGAAGGAACAGCCTTTCGGCAGGTACTTCAACCGCTAGGGCGAGTTTCAACTTTCTGTTTGTCTCACCTCCCGTAGGGTCATGCCGGTACATGGTCTCGTGGCTGAGCTGCGACCCCTTGGTCAGAGTGCCGCAGGCGTAACCAATGACCTCGTCCCCCTTCAATGCGACCAAGAAGCAGTGTCCAGCTGCACATGGTGAGGAAAACCAAACCGGCTGAAAGGAGAACGAGAGGCTTGCATCCATACCTCTCTAACGATTTATACAACCAAGCGCTAGCGGCCCAGAGAAAACACCAAGTCAGTCAAGTGGACAAGGCAGAGGAAGTGGGTAGCAGACAGTAGCCCGCATATAAGTCCTGTAACTATCTCTGATTCAACAATGACCACTCTGCGAAGGACAACATTGATTCTCTTGGAACCAAGCTGTCATGAGAAAGTGGTTGAGAACGCACCCTCCCGCTGGCGAAATCCAAGAGTTTCTGGAGAAGCCGCTTCATCCACAGGGAATCCAGCCTGCATAAAATGATTTTACAGGATTACTGAAGTGGACTTCTAACATCTTCAATCTACCGTTGAGGCCATTCACATCACTAAGAGACAATCGATGGGAAGCACAATCCAGACTGCTTTGCATATACGTGTGCAAGCCTTCAAACCACGCTTTTTAATCACTAAATGTATCCAACTGCAGCATATGTACCTCAGATCTGAATGTATTGGATGTTAGCTTTGCCAGCTACTTGTCAGAGATCGTCCGAACAATCCCAAAACTTCTTCTTCTGGCGACACACCAAGTAACTGAGACATGGTGCACATCGCACGACGAATTGCTGCCCACTCTCAGCTGGCATCCATCGTTCAATTGACCGACTAACCTGTTCAATTGCAGCTACTGCCGGAAGGTCTTCTTGTGCCACCGGCCTGAAGAACAGGTCCTCAGAAGAAAATGCTGTGTATGGTTCATTAGCCATGCTGCCAACTTCGCTCCAACTGTAAACTCAGGTGGATGGCCTCAGCGCGCCCCCACGTCACAAAGGCCGTAAAAATTTAACGCGAGCGCTGGTCGCCGCTGGAACAGGTTCAAGCAGGTTCAAGCGTCAGATCTATGCCGGGATGCGAGTCCAGAATTCTTTACCCACGACCCTGACTCTGACTCCGAGGAGTCTACTGTCTGACTGAAATTCCGCTTGTCACTAGAGGAGCCCAGCCCCTTTCCTCCTAAACCTCACAAACACCCCAAGCAGCAGCTCAGCAGAGAGCTCTGCCCTTCCGCATCCGGCCCCTGGCAATATTGCTTAGCCGGACTCTTGCCAACAGGCAACTGGCGCTTCGAAGTTCGAAGCCTTCTGACACTGTCTTCTCAAGTGGCGGCTACCGGGGGGTACCGGGGCTTTTAGCATCGTGATCAGTTGCCGGTTTTATATTTAAGGAGCAAGAAATTGGTCGTTTCTGAGCCGCTGCGCGACGGTTACGCTCGCGGCATCTGCCGGTCCTTATGGCCGCTGCCCGGTTGAAAGTGATGAGCAATAATCAGACCTTCGTCCTGGCGCCAGCTGTAGCATCCATGGAAAGGGATCATCCTGTGAAGCGCGTTTCATGATCAGACTTTGTCCTGGCACTAGTGGCAGTCGGTGCTGGGTAAAATTCGAGCCGCCAAAGACCAGCTGCCACATCTAGGATTCCTGGCGGTATGGTTGTCTAGCGTTCTGGCAGGGCAAAACCGGCACTGCAGGAGATCTGCTGAGAACTTGTGCATATGTACTTTTTTGAGCGCGGGGTTGCTATGTTTCAGCACTCATGGCCCATGGGCTGCAGGGGAGAGACCAATGTTACAATCGGAGCACATGCAAGGTGGGATCTTTCTATTAAAAAAGGTGCCCCTCTGAAGCTCTGAGTCTGGGTTATCGGTTCCTGAAAGCCTTTAGCGTAGAGGGCCGCAGCGCGTCAAAGCCTGGGCTGCCCTCGATGCTGCCAGCGCTGGCGCAGTCACCTCTTCTCTTGCCACAAGAACTTATCCATCCTCATGATGAAACTCCATCTTTGCACCCCCTCCGTGCTGCTTCTAGTTGTTGTCGGCTCTCGCCCGCATCTGCCAAGGTCCCAACATCTATGACGTAGCTCCTTTTCAACTCAAGTGAACCTGCGCCTCCATGGACCGCTGCCCGGCCGGGCCGCTTACTTCAGCGCCATGCTCTTAGGAGGGCGTAGAGATCCACACAATCTGGCTGTCAATGTGAGAAACTTTGTGACAACTCCTCAACTCCTGGCGGCCTAGTCAAGAAAGGTTATCTTTTGCTGACAACATTTGTCGTGAAAACCGCAATTGGGACGCCCCCTTTCATGAAGGTGCTGCTTGTTGTTGACACTGGAACCTGTGTGCTTCACACAGGGACCAAAGTGCTAAGGACTTGTCCCGGGGGTGGCGGATGCCAGATCAGTCCCTTTGGTGCGCATTCAGACTCAACATGTGCCCTATAATATATGGGGGCCCCAATCAATGACCCACCGAAGTCTTGCACAGCTCTCACCAGCGCAACAAGTGCCCAGTGTGCAGCTGGCTCGTTTAGGACGACGGGGTGCCTGGGTGAGGCTTCCCCCGTCACCCCCTCCTTGTAACACGTGCCAGCTTGAAATGAGGTTTGAGATAGGCAACGCGGCAACCTGGTTTACCCAGGAAGTTGTGTCGTGGGGTCTGTCTCCTCTTGGAATTGACGCTTTTTCATCGAGACTAACGTTATAATCCAGTCCGCCTTCGAGTGAACAGCGCGCGGGATTGCTGGGCTCCGAGCCGGCCGCTGTTTCCCTGCCATTTGAGCTGAAGCAAATATGCACCGCCTCAAAAAGTGCTTTTGATCAACTTTGGAAGTTGCTTCAGGAGGAGGGGGAGTGGGACATCATCAGTTTCTATTTCACACATGCTTTTTTCAGCAAATTGCCAAAGTCCATGACTGTCACTTCATGAGAAGTCACTTCATGTGCCTTTGAGAGCTGTCCCTTTCAACTTTAGAATTTGGAAAAGCACCCGAGATCTGACCTCTCAAGGACACTCCGTCTCTTTCAATGCCAAAGGAAATGATGCGTTTTGCCACTGTTCTCAGTCACTCTGCATGCCATGTTTTGACGGGTTCGAGGAGGTAGACTTCTTTGTCGTTTGGTCTCGCCAATAATTTTTTTCCTGCCTGGTTGGACGATAAATGCTTTTCCATGTTCAATATCATCAAGCTGTGTGCATCAATGGCAGTGTCAATCTCGAGTTTCAGACCCTATTTCCCCAGGCGAAACAGCGACTGGTAGGCCTTTCGAACAGCGGGCCAAAAACGGACGTCCATGTGGGCAGTGGCCCGGTAAAAGAATCGGTGTCAGCCTTCAGGCATGCTTCCGAATGTGAGACTTAGCCGAAGGAGATGGGGAGTCTGGCGTGCCTGGCAGAGCTGAACAGAAAGAATGGGAATCGCTCACAATTGAGCAAGAGAATCATGGCCGTCTTCAATGGTGTATCCCCAAACAGATTGAACTTCTGGTTCCTTCTTGTTCCCATCCTATTGCTTACAATACCGGCTGCTTTCCTTGGCTTGCAGCGGATGTCTTCAAGCAGGAACGAATGGCAGATAGGCTGCATCGTCGCACGCAAAACAGACCAGCTAAGGTCTGTAAGTTCAGGTGAGGATCCTGGCAGAAAGGACCCCTTCGAGTTGTCTTTCAAGGTTGTCAATGACTCCATTGTGACAAGAGGTATGTCTGAAGATTTGGGCCATCACATCAATACTGCTGCAGCAAGCATACTCATAATGGTACGGCAGACATACCTTACATGTAGCTTCTTGTAATTGATCAGTACTTTATGTTGGCACGCGCTGACATTCTCTTTCATTGCAGACGTGTCGCTCGCAAACCCCCGCGGGCCTCTGCACGTGGCTGTGTGCTTTTTCGGGTTGACTCGGTCCCTTCAATACACTGTTGACAGTCTGCGCCGGCAGATTCTTGACCCTATGGCAGAAGCAAACTTTGAGACCTCTCTCTTTCTGCACACGTATAACTTGACCAGCCAAACAAACCCACGTAGCAACGAGAAGGATGCACCAATTTTGAGTGACTCCTGGAAGTGGTTGCACCCAACTGCGTTTCTTGTGGAGGATGCTAACGTTGTGGAAGCGAGTTTTGAGCGGCACGTCAGCCCAATATTGCAGCACGGGGATCCATGGGGGGAGGAACACCACACGAGCCTGAGAAATCTGCTCAAGCAGCTTCATTCTTTGGAAGGGGTCACGCGCCTGTGGCAAGCTGCGACTGCAACCTTTGACGTTGTCATCTATCTACGGTTTGACGTCTGGTATTTCAACCGGTTTGAGATGGGGGAGTTGCGGGTCGCATCGGGTCGAAAAGTACTGTTTACGCCAGCCTTTCACAAATTTGGGGGCTTAAATGACCGATTCGCATTTGGCCCGCCGTCTATCATGGCCCAATATGGTTTGCGTCTTAGCAAGATGTTGGACTACGTGAAGCTGAAGCCGCTGCATTCGGAGACATTCCTCTATGATGTAATAATGGCGGACTCTACCACCGAGCTCGCTTTTACCTCCTTGATCTTTGCAAGGGTACGGGCAACCGGACAATTATGGGCGGTGCCAACCGCTGACCATAAGGATATCAAGTACTCAAGTGATCTGTTTCTGACAATAGACCACCTAGGACTTATTGCCTTACGAAACGAAAGCACTCTTTAAATCTATTCAAAATCAGTGCCGCCGCGTAGAAGATTGACCAGTTCTATGGAGCTCAAGAGGTTTACAACAACCGATGAGCAGGCTAGCTTGCCAGGTTGGATGCTGACCGTCTTTTGAGAGAGTCGTAGCATCTTGTTCCCCATGGCCTGCATGCTCACTGGCAGCTTGCCCAATGGCTTAGCCCATGGCTCAAGGTGTTAGTAAACAGCACTAGTGACCATGCAGCTTAAGTAATGATCCACATTGTCACAAAAGCACCGATCCCATGTCCGACCGTTTGAGACGCTTCGATCGTACATGTGCCAGAATTCTACATGATGAAACTATCATGCGGTTGATCCACATGCCACGTGCCACGGAACTACGTTGGGGCGTGCAACACCATCATGTGGCTCAATCAATGCGCAGAACGACATGCATAATGCTATCACAGCCCGGCCTTGATTGCACGAAACGACAAGGTCATCAAGCGAGGTACCTTCGCAGAGATCATACATTCGAGCTATACAGAAGCAATATGGCATGACACAATCAAACTTAAGCATATATATGGCTTCCACATGCATGCTTGTGTTCCTAGCTTAGTATGTACCTGCCAGCAAATTAAACATATACGTACTGCCGCATGTACAAATTTTGCACGAAGAACTGTGTGACGTGAATGCATACCGTATCTCAAACCTATCTAATCTGCGCATTGAATCTATACACACAAGAGATCATATTATTTGTCGGTTTACTTTGCAGACAGACTTGAGCTCAGAGCACGAATGGCTTGATTGCGGGAACGTCTGGTCAATATTTTAGCTTGCTTGCCGCAAACATTTCGAGACTCGGAATGTTGAATTAAATGCATAGAGCTTCGTGACTTTCTAACGTGTCTTGGGACATACTCGTGTCCTTCGAGGCGCCTGCTTGGCCGGGCGGCCAGTAGGGCGAGTACAGCCTTGCCTATGTATGCGTCAACCTGGGCAGATTTGGATGCAGCAGGCGGCTCAAACTCGCCTCCGGCAGCACCAGATTGGCCAAAGTCGGCTGCGAGATCGACCGGAAAAAGAGTAATTCCCTCTAGTGCTACCAAGATCCAGACTTCAATCTCAGACATAAATTATCGAAGGAGCCAAGCGTTCGGGCTATTAATTTCTCTCAAAAGAGAAAACCGGGTTCAATACCATGCAGAGCATACACGCAGGAACTGTTAAAACAACCAGACTTGGGAGGGTGATCTTTGTTCATGATAGATAAGAACTCGGTTTTGTTCAACGGTCGGTCAAATCTCAGCAAGCAAAGCTATCAGTGCTGATCGGGGTCTTCCCTCCGGACTAAAATAATTCCGAACTTCGAAGACGACAACAACATTCAGTAGATCAGATACGGGTCCCGACAGGCAATCGTGGTCACCACAAACGCCCCCAAAAGCAACACAAACAGATCAAAGCAAGTACCGAAAATGCGTAGACCTGCAAGACAAGGCGACAAGCAGGGGACAAGCGGAACCATTCTCACCTCAAGAACTGTGTTGGGCTCTCTGCAGGCTCTCTATAGCCGGCAGTGCAGACCGTGCCGGGAGTGTTAATCTGCGAGAATATGGCGGGCGTGTTGTGATTTCTTTATTCTGAGTGAACTCCTGCCGCACCGCTTCCTGGGAAAGCACCATTTCGCAGGATGGATTCGCTTCGAAGTGTGTCCGACTCTCCGCCAAAATTCTTCGTATAACAATAGACTCTGGAAGCGCGTTGGCTCTCTTTCAGAAGTGTCGCCGCACCAGCAACCCGCTGCCATATGTCTTAGGTGCCAATCATTCAACAGCGCAATACTGGGCAGCCAGAAGAAACGCAGGTCCGCAGGCCGATGGTTCAGCTAGGGGGTAGACATTGGACTTTTTATACTTAAGCAGTTCTGTGAAACTGTGGGGGACAGAAACAGGACGTTTCTTTACAACCTGAAAGTAAATGCAACACGTTGTATGAAGCTGAAGCGTTCACATAGACCCTGCTTACGTTCTCCTCGTCCGATTTAGAGATCCTGAATGCCTCTGACACTCTGATCGAAACCCCAGCTTACGCACAACTTCTGCGTCCGGACTTGGACCATCCAGATTCCGCAAGGTCTTCTCTGTACCTTTCACTCTCTGTACGGATGTCGAGTCTATTCTTAAAGATCGCATCAGAACGGGAAGCCCAAAAGAATTCCGTACGAAGGCATGTGTTCGTACCTGGAACCTTCCTGCTCCATCTTGATGGTAAGGAACGCCTCTGTCATGCAGACTTTCCTGATAACATTCTGCCGCGAGGGGACCTGGCCAGGTCGAGGCTGCGGCTCCAGTCAATCAGAGTCAGGCTCTTGTCGTGCCATGAGCTAGGCAGGCCGCTTGTCCAAACCTCCCACCAGGCACTGCAAGGAAATGGTCTATTATGAGAGGGGGCACACATAATTGAAAAAGGGAATAAGCTCTGTGTAGAATGCTGCATAGAAGAAACCGGTTTTACTGGCTTGATGGGGAACAGGAAAGAATGGGAAAGGAAAAAGTCTATCTCATATCATCAATCCTTCGGCAGGTTAGCCGTTCTTCAATTCAACGGGAAGACAGAAATTGGAATTGACAGTGGGAACCAAAACTATGGCGTCATGTATCCTGCCTCTGAAACAAATTGCTGATCTACTGATTATAGAGGCCTTCCCAAAGTAAAGTTCTGAAACCCTGCGGAACCATGAGGACAAAACTGATGAATGAATCTCTCAGCCCACGAAGCTCTGTCCTTGCGCTGACTTCTTGGGTTGATACTAATCCGACATCATCCTTAATGCAATACCTACCAGTTCTTCCGTAGGAGAAGGTTGTCGGGCTTCAAGTCCCCATGAATGATGCCTGCCTCAAGGAGGACCTTGAGCATGCGAAGGAGCTCAAACTTGTAGAATTTGGCAACAGCCTGCAGGCAGAATGGCCCAAAGAGCTGCTTCAGCTTCCTGCTTCAAGACCGCGTGGAGATGATGGGAGTTCAGCCCGGGGTCGTGATAATTGAAGACTAGTTATTCAAGCTCCAGAAATTTGCTTACGAGCTGTGACTCTGCGCTCCGAACGAAGTCAAAGCGCAGGCTGCTTTGCAATGCCCATCACAATAGGATGACGTGGGCAACTGTCAGGATAAGGGAACACCTCGAAACCGTCTCGCAAAGTTTTTCTTAAAGCAGGGGGCGACAAAGATGCTGGTCCTAGCACAGTCAAACAGCCACTTGGCCTTGAAGCCGAAGCTGCGCCTGTCATATTAGATATGCCGACGCCCAATTAGCGATCGATGTAGAACCCTCATAGATAGGCAAGCCGCTAAAGAACACAGCGCGAATCAGGCGCGAAGAAGGAAGCGGACTTTAAGAATATGATAGAAAGCCGATTCTTTTAGAGAGAGAGCAACATGATGAAGGAACACTGAACAGGTTGTCGAGCAAGTTTGACAAAATTGCAGTGGTGTCCCGCAATCTTGTCAAGACAGGAAACAGTGCAACACTTTAAACTGTATTTCCTCCATCATACCTGTTCACGCTCAACATCCTGCGGGCGTACTGAAGACCCCTAAAGGTATCCTCTCTAGATTGTCCTGATCTGGGGGCCATGTGTGCAGACTCCGCTTAATGCAGCAGACTCCGCTTAATGCAGCTTGATTTGAGGGAGGGGAAGAGATGCAATACTAATAGGACGGAATGACACCCGCAGGACTGGCAGCTCGTGCTGCTCCATAGTCCTCCTGAGACTTACAAGGGAATCCTGATCGGGCAACCCACTTGCTGAAGCTCTGAATGCATTACAGTGCCAAATTAAATGCGCTCCCCAGGCGGTGCTCAGTCCCTGGGCCTCCGCCTGCCACTCGCTTCTAGCTGGGACCATGTCTGCAGTGGTCTGACTCTAGGTCATGCAGATCATTGACATTCAAGTTGTGCCCAGTTGTGTGCTTGCTGCATTGGCATATAAGTTTGAAAGTTGGTCGCAGGGTTCTCAGCAGGGTTCTCAGCAGGGTTCTCAGCAGGGTTTGAAAGTAACCCTGGTCACGGGTCTCGCCCCTGACCACCGTCCTCGTTTTCGACAATAAGCTCAGAAGCAGCAAACAATTAATCTATCAAAGCATTGGATCGAAAGTTCTCGTCGAAACAGGCTGTAGCCAGTTATGACATGGGTAGACACTGAACAGTGCCGAGCATTGACCTTCAAGTTCTTGCAGAAGAGGTACCTACGCAGGATTCCCTCCTCATTAGTCCTCACCCTTCATCATCGCATTGCATCTTTCTACACAGACATGAAAATGCCTTCAACATCTCTGCAACAAGTGGCGCTTCCATTAGCAGCAGCTTGTTCTGCTGCATTGGGCCTGTACTACCTTGCCAGGGTCACCTCAGCTAGCGCTGGGCAGACCTTGTCCCTGGCTCCTCCTCCTTACAGGCTGCGCCTGAAGCTGTGGGCCCTGTTCCACCGCTTGGCAGACTCCCTGCTGCCCGATGACCTGAAGCTGCGAGCTTTGAGTAACAGCCACAGGGCCTCCAGCACTCTGTACGCCGCAGCAAAGCTGGACATTTTTGAGGCTTTCAAAGATGGATCACATACTGCGCACGAAGTCGCTGAGAAAGTGAGCTCGCCCATACATCCGGAGAGCCTCTTCCGCATACTGCGGTTCCTTGCCTCTCAGGGCGTGTTTATTTACGACCAAGCAAGCAACCGGTTTCACCTCACAAGAGTAGGTGAGAATAACATCAAGCTTTGCATAGAAGCGCAGATCAAACTGGGCAAAAGGATGGAGGCTGACGCTGCCGGTGGCGCACCTCAGAATGTGAGAAGTTTCGTGTTGCAGCTTCCCTTACAGGGTGGCGGTGCAAGGTTGGGGCATACGAATGAAAATTCAGCCCAAGTGATGGACTTGGTTGAGAATTTTGAATCATTCGCACCTCAAATACTTTCTTTGCAAGTTTCTTCTTGTGGAGTTCTGGTGCAACTGCCCCCTGTTTTTCCCCACTCTAGAAGGCCTGTGATCACTTTTATCGAGGAGCGCAAAGATACTCTCAACTTTCTGCCTTTTTCTAGAATGTATGGTTGTGACAGGGCACTGGCAAGATCACTCTCGCCCTTCTCTCCAGGCGCCCTGCTCCTGCGTGGTCCCGGCAGCCAGCTCCCGCGCGTGTTGGCCAACAACGATCCGCAAGATGCAGGGCGCATTGGGCACAATAACATTGAGGCCTCCATTCAGAAGGGGGGCTGCGCCTTCCAGCATGCCACCGGGCAGACCTGCTGGCAATTCTACGATGGGGAGCCGCGGCTGAGTGCGCGCTTTGAGGATATGATGGAGGTTGTGTCTCACGACGAGGACGCCGCCATTGCAGCAGGCTACCCGGGGTGGCCGCGAGCCAGGTGAGACACTCGGAAATTTGAGGGCCGGCCTTGACTGCAAGAGGGGCGCAGGGAGAAGCAGGTGGCACGCTCTGCGTCTCCGTAAGCAAAAAAGTCCGGGGGCATCAACAGATCTGTCTCTAAGGAAGATATCATTCCCCTTAACGGACTATCGAGCAGCTTTCCTGCCGGAAGCGCCAAAGCTGGTTCTCAGGTTCGAGGTCAGGAAAGAGGTACAAACAGCCGTTGACCTTTTAGCTTTACTGGCGCAGATTCGCAAGGACAATTTCCAATCAGAAGGCGTTGTGGTCAAACGCCGGGACTGGCAAGCAGGATCACGTCAAGCTGCAAGCTGCTCGCTGCACACATCTATCACTTGGTAAACGTTTTGTTTGCTTTTCTAAGCTTCCAGTCCGGCAGGCTGCTGCTTTGATTACCAGAGGCGTCACAGCAAAGGACAATCTCGAAAATAGGGCACAACTTCAATGGACTCGTTCCTTTTGAACAGAAACGAATATATGTCGTTCAATTCGAGAAGATTGTTTCTTTGTCGGTAAGCTCGTAGTTGATGCAACCGTTTGCACCTTTTTCTCCGCAGGTCCGTTGTGGATGTTGCTGGGGGCCCGGGAGTGTTGCTCAGTGCGATTGTCAAAAGGCACACACACTTGCGAAACCACGCCACGGTCTTCGAAAGACCGGCGGTGGTGCAGTCAATAGACGTCGATGCTGCGCAACAGCAGGGCGTCGATTTTGCGTCTGGTAAGGTCCTTAGCCTGAACTCCACTCATACTAGTGTACATATGTCTCTTTTGATGCCAAGTGATCCCGGACTGCTCTTACATCACACGGTTCTTGTCATTGGCCTGAGAGCGAGAGTGCAACGAGAGGCACCGGATAGCATGGAGCACGCTTCCGTCGACATCGTCTTGCGGGTTGTGTGGCTTCGAAACCGCATGCTTTGAAATTGTCCTGAATCTGTCAGACGCTGTAGATCGACCACCGAAAAAAGAGGGGTATGTTTTTCAAGACGGTTCGTGAATACAAGGTCACTGACACCTCGTACGTCGTACTTTAGGAAGCTTTGTGGAGCTTGCTTCCGGTTTCGATGTCGAACGTAAGGAAGCTCTATGGAGCTTACTTTCGTTTTCGATGAGAAGTTAAGTGTTTGAAGTGTTCCTCTGCAAAGCAAAGCGTTTATATTGATGTGTCTGCAGGAGACTTTTTTGAAAAGATCGAGCCTGCCAATGCGGACGTTTATATACTGCGGCAGATCATGCACGATTGGAACGACGAGGACTGCATCCGCATCCTTGAGAACGTCAAGGCCGCGATGCATGCGGGATCCCGGCTGCTAGTCATAGATACGGTCATCCTCGGCCAGAATGATCCCCTCTTCCCTTTCAAAACGGATTGTGACATCGACATGATGGTATGGACGGGAGGCCGGGAAAGATCGAGGGCCGATTTCACAAAGATATTTTCTCAAGCAGGATTCAAGCTTCTTCGATTATTTGAGATGCAGTCGCTCAAAAGCATAGTCGAGGCTGTGCTCATCCACGAAGGGCCAGCGTGGCACGAAACAATCAGTCAGGGGGTGCGACTTTCCCGTCTTGATACAATTATCGCCCGATAACGTCAAAGTCAATGGTTGGACTGATGCGCGTTGATGCCCCACAGTGTGTGCATGAGGGTCACCCTTGAAGTTGCCTCCAGGAGAGACTCAAGGGAGTTGCGAATCAATGCTTCCGTTGGCAGGCTGTTCAATTGCATGGCCGCGTGTGTGTAAACCGCTCGAACTTATATGCAGGCTTCTACTAAGCAATCATGAAGTTACAGGGTGTTCCGCTAGTCAGTTGAAATTCTTGAGACCCATCTATTTAATCAGTATTTCCGAGTCGAAGCTTGTCAATTCGAAGCAGCGGCGGCCGCCATCATTATGCATGCATGGGCGGCGCACATGTCACATTTGACGTAATCAGCCTTTGTAAACATGGCCTAGGCCTTGAAGGCATCCGGAAATATGGCGCATGCATGTTTACAAAGTACGTACATAGAAGTCAGGCTATTGCACATGTTGTAACGTGCTAGCTAAGTACATGATTCATGGGCCTCTGGCATATGATTGTCATATATTTCCGTGCCTGTTCATCCAGGTGATATGGCGGCCAGACCCGCCCGTTACATGAGGGCATGGTGGCGCAGAGAACAGGTCGGTTCAAGTTGCACGTCATGCTGGTACGAATTGCAAAAAAGCTCCGTGAGAACACGAACGATCAAACTCAGCATGATTTGAAGGACATGCTAAGCGTAATGTGAAGCTCCAAACGGCCCACCAAGATACCACTTGAGCCACATGGACCTACGTAACGATGGACACTTCCTGGCGAAAGACAACACAAAAGTCGTTCCATGTGCAACAAGCGTTAGGCTGGCCTATTTACTCTCGGCTTAGTCCAAGTATCCCTTCCCTTCACATGTTGTACAGCCTCTGCTCCCGTTACATGCAACGCAGTACCTCCATTTCCTTGCCAACCTGAATTGAAGAAAAGGTAGTGTTAGTGCGAGAGAAACACGACTCCACGAAAAAAGGGCTAAGGGGCTGGTTTGCCTCAACAGTCTTGTGCTGGACGTCACATAAGAAGGCCTGTAAAATAACATCACAAGGGCGTGGCCACAAACCACTATCAGGCCCCAAAACATGATGGCGGACGTGCTTCCACGTCTTCTGCTTCAGAAGATCTGAGTGCCTGTACTGCTTGCTTTACTTATTTCTCGGTTGACTTGTGAGGATCTGAAAATCGGAGGAGACAGCCAGCTAGCAAGCTGAACCACGAAAGCTGGCGTCAGCTGATTGTGTTCTCGAATCAGTTGTAATATCCCAGGGCCATGCTTCGGGACTTCTTGCATGATTCTCGAAACAGCTGAAAGGCTGACCAATTGTGTCAAAACAGCCTTGCGATTTCAGGTCAAAAATATTCATGTACCTGGCAACCATTCCAATCACCACTCCATACATAACAATACTAGTGGTAAAGAAAGCTGAAGCAATGAATAAGTTTCTGTGCATCATACCCGGCAGTATATCGAGTGGCGGCCATTGTTGACCTTGCCCGAGCCTTTTCCCTCTCTTGAGGCGACAACTCCTTGTTGACAAAGCCCTCTCCCTGGCATACAGGGCAAATTCCACTTCCTCCGCAGGCATCGCACCGGGGCTGCAGCATTGGGCAATCAGGATCGATGTACAAAGATGGAAAAAGCATTCAAGGGGTTAAGCAGGCCTGATTACTCTATCCTCGCATTTCCTTGCAATATGCCTTTGGGCCTGCTCTTAGGCAATTGGTTCAACAGACACATGGCACAGAGCCATGGTCACTTAGTGGTGTTCTTTCCACTATCTTCGTCCCAATTGGCTCTCACCTTGTCTGCGCCCAACGTTTCAGCAACTTTTTCTTTGGGCAGGTTGGACAAGACAATGCCAGCAGTCACCACAACGCCAAAGACCACCACCGCCGAGACAGCGGTGGGGATAGCTTCTGTTGTTGTGTTCCGCTCACACGGCCGGGCTGCTTGGCCAGGGCATGCGGTGAAGGAGTGGGGCCGCGTCTGGGCTTCAACACTAGTTCTCCTTCTCCGACTCAATGCTTGTTCTTCTGACGCCACCGAATCAATGCAAACCTGCAGCGCAGTCCATCAGCCAGAGTTGACAGAAACAAGACAAACGAGAAGTTGGGAATTAGATAGTCCTCTCAAGTCGGGTAGCAGGTAAAACTCTTGGCCATCATTAAGCAGGCCCCCATGCATGAGCAGATTCGCCACGGACGTGCCCCACTGGGAAACTGTCCCCCCCGAGGCCACAATGGATGTTAACATTCAGCAAAATTTCTGTAGCTTCCTTTAGTACATCTTGCATGTTTTCTCGACGCCACTCGTCCAGCTATGCGAGTGGTGCACATCCAACCGATTGGTTAGCACCCCAATCTGAAAGGGGTAAGGCAGGGCAACAGACTGTCACTGCTGCCTTCCGTACAATATGGTGGACCACAAATGTATAGAAAAGTGGCGCAGGTACCGCTCACCTTGTTCTTTGACCAGCGCACAGCATTATAAGGTGCTTGAAATGGTGAGAAATCCTTCTGCAATGTGCACAAACGATTGTCCCCCGCTATACATTTTCCCAGTCGATTGGCAGTTATCGAAGAAAGTCCATTTATGTTTGCAGTGCTTCTAGAAACTTGTGTTGCAGCTTCAAACGGCGCCATCGACTTCTGTTCAATTGAACAACTTCTGCCTTCCTCTCTCCACCCTTTTTGCACAATTCCTGCCCCGCCCCATTCCCTGCAACCTTAACCTGTGCAGTATTAAACCGGGTTTATACATATTGTGAGTTGTAACCTAGTTTCGGACGATTGCATTGGAAAACGACGTCCGCTTGCGCTCGGCCCCGCTAATTGCCCTGTTCGAAGCACTGTGAAGCAAACACGTGTCATCGCGTAGCAGGGTGCGGGATCGTGTCGATTGGCACGCGGATGAATCATCAGGTGATGATCACGATGGTGGACTCAGGACTGGATGGTGTGCACTCCCTTCCATCACAGTGATCACTGCATTCTATGGATGTAGGGCGGCACCACTCCAGCACTGGCTACAGACTCAGTATCAGGCTTGCAGCGCCACTTGAGTTCCGCTTCCCGGTACCAGCTGGGTGCGGTTCCGTTCTCAGGCTCGGCCCCTAAGCTACGTATACAGGCAGTGCGGGGAGTTTTGATGAACCTTTTCGTCCTCATTTTCTAGTTCAGGAGGCCAGTGATGGCGGTCTCCGTTGCTGCGGCACTCTTGAAGCCAGCGGTGACCACTTTAGCTTTTGAATCGGCGCAGAAATACCTGCATGCATATGTGGAACGCAAAGGCAGAGGCGACGATACTAGACACGACCAATTGAGGTATGTTGGAGAGGAAGCACCACTTAACCTGGCCTTAAGAGGACCTCAAGATATGACTTGCCCATCACTCCTGATCCTTGTCGAAGGCTGGTTCAATCAGTTGGTTGTCCAGTCATTTAGTTGGCTCATTTCGAATTACTGAATGGCGTGCAAGTTACTTTGCACTGCAAGTATGGCAGAAGAGAGATTGACTCGCCATTTGTTGGCAGACCTCAAGCACATTCATTTATTTGACGCTTATTCCTTGTCGAACTTAGATGCCTTGTCTCAACAACTACCACAATCTGTTGCACTTGTGTCAGTAGAGTGCTAGAAAGATGGTGACTGAGGATCAAAGAAACACCTGGCATGATTAACTCCTGCTGCTGCAGGCAAGGCCTCTCAAGCCTGTTGCAGCTTGCTGAACAAGATGTTTTGCGGGACCTGAACTCTGGCCTGGCTGCTTTGGAGGACAGCATTGAGAGTCAGAATGAGGTGAGCTTCATGGGGAAACATGTTGAGACCCTGCAACGTTGCCAGCAATTGCTTACTCAAAACAGAGTAAGCACTGGGGGCCTCAATCTGTCCTGAGATTGTGCCCCAGTGGATCAGAAGTAAGAAAGTCCGTCAACGGTGGATTCAGCAGGATCTAGCCTGAAGGCATAACATTGCTGTCTAAGGTCGAAAGGACATCACGAAGAGGGTGAACTTGGACACGTACTGTTGCAGGGAACACGGCAGAGCCGCCTGCAGTTTGCAGAGCAGCAGTTGTTGCGCTGTACGCATCTGGACCCCAGCCTGTCCACTGGCGGCCAGCCAAACACGTACCTCATGGCGGTGGCACACCATAAGCTGGCCCTGGCTGGCACCCTGAGAGGAGACCGTGTGATTGCTGCCAAGCACATCCTGAAGTGCTTCATGTAAGGTCTCCTCACATGTGAATTTCAAGAGGTTCCCCACACATGTTAGTTTCATAATTGGACAATCTTCTTCCAGGTTGTGCTTCCGGACTTCACGAATGTGGGATACGGGTATGTGATGAGCGTTAAGTTGAGATTTGGCTGAACATTCGAAGCGCCTATTCAATTACAGAGCGGACCCCCGTGCTGCGCGGTTGGAGTTAGCTCCGGATCTTTACCAGCAACTCTTCGAACCTCGATGCACCGACATCCTTGAGTGGCGCGACCAAGAGTACAACAAGATTGCAGGAAAGTATGCTTCCAAGTGAGTCCATAACCAACAAGCGAATCGTCAATTGTGCTTGTTATGCGGTGAAAACATGGCACACAGTTCAAGGAGGAAGTGGAAAGATTGAACAGGGGCTCTGTCGCCAAAGAGGGGCTCAGTTTCTCAGTGTCGAGAATATGCTTAACAATACTCTTTGCATGGCAATAGTTATCGTGGAAGTGAACGAGCAACACTGCACAACTTCTGTATCGAAAAGCGTCTTCTTGCACCGTCTAAGCCCCAAGTCTATATTAGTCTCTGATAGTCCAACGACCAGGTCGGTATCACAACAACTAAAAGTTCTCATTCTGTTTAATGGTCTACCAGATCTGAAGTATGAAAGCAAGGACCCCTGGCCCTGCATCGGCTCGTTTTTCCACGCTGCGACCCATTCTAGATACTTCCGTCTTTCTGCTTGAAACTGTTTTGTTTAGGGTCCAAACGAGCGCAAGATGGATCGACAATCATTTGCTATCTTATTTCCCTTCTCCTAGGTGGTTGAACTTCCAGTCCCACGTGTTGAAAGGGGCATCGGGCGCGGTCTCTGCTTGGGGCAAGGGGGTCGACTGGCTGCTCACAAAGGCGCAAAGGGACCCCAGGAAGAAAGGTTCCAAGGCCAGCAGTCCCACTGCGCCAATCGACTTCCTCGACAGCAGTTCGGGGGATGACGCAGGCCCTTCGTCTGCGACGCGGCCCGAGCGAACGGGGGGTCTCAACGAACCGTCCTGGGGCGATCGCGGACACCGAACGCACCAGCCGGCGATGGTGACGCCTATTCCGTACCCGAACGGCGGGGAAGGCTCTGCGATGCAAAGCGGGACGGCTGGTCGAAAACCGGAGGTGGAGTATGCGCGCGCAGTCACGTCGCGGTGGTCCTCGCAGATGGATGCCCAGGCCCGGGAGGCGGAGGAGCAGGCGGTGGCGTCGGGGCGGGTGGTGAAGCGCGTGAACGAGAAGAAGCGCGCCGTAGACAAGGCGGTGGAGCAGAAGCTGGACGAGCGCTGCCGGCAAGTGGCGGACGAGCTGCTGAGGGGGGGCAGCCCCGGGGAGATCAACCTGAGGGGCGCAGGGCGAGGAGGGCAGGCCATGCAGGTGAGGGGAGGGTTTGTCGTCTGGAACTTGGAGTGACTTTGTTTCATTAACGGGTCTTGAGAGAGCAATACAGTGCCAAAATGGGCCTCATTGAAACGTACGCTTTTCTTGTTGTCAGATTTCAAGACTGGTGCAGAAAGTCTTTGAACCATATTATATTTTCAGATTGGAGTCAATAGTGGATCTACAGGTTTTTTAAGTGTTTGAAGGGAGGCGTTTGAAAGCAGAATATGTACGTGAGTTCCCTATATTCACGCATCTCGAGCATCCACTCCATAAGCCGCCCAGTTTGCGACTTACTCTATTCCTGTGTAGAAAAGCTGGGTCAAAAATCTGGCTACGAGAGCGGTCGCCATACAGAGCCGAGGATAAGAAGGCCAAAAGAATACTCATCACTTGCAGGCCACAATAGCGGACGCAAGTGGAGGCCAGGCCCAGGTTACTTTCTTGTCGGACAGTGTGCAAGTTCACCATCTGACTGCTCCTTCATGATTATTGAACACGTTCGTAAGTTCGTCGAGGTCAATACAGGAGGTAAAAATCCAGGAATCGATTCCCAGTCTCGTGCCAGTACTGTATACCGTATAACTTAAAAGTCGATTATAGTGTCGTAGTTTACAGCTCAAATTTCTTACATTATATATACTCTCTACGTACGTAGCAGATCAAGCCAACCCGTGAATCAGAAAAATAGACAGTGCAGAGCCAGCCAATTCGACCAGCGTCGTAATGACAACTGGGCAGCTGTAGTTTGGATTTGTCACGTGGAGGACTCAAAGCGGAAGATTACCAATCTTTGTTGGCTTGCATGATTCACTTCGATTGCAAACCGTATTCCTTTAATTATCTTGATAGCCCATGCTCGGTTACACGTTGAGACTTTTGAAGGAACTTTGCGTCGAGTGCAGAATCCCGGCTCTGGAGCTGGTCGAGTGCTTATTTAGTGTGGTCGCAACAAGTCGCCATGTTTGACCGTTGCAGACCGTTGGGGGAAGATCAGCTATCGTACGACATCATTCTGTAGCAACGGTAGGTAAGTGGATTGTTCATATTAGCACGACGTCGTGTACACTGTAAGATTTATGTTCAGGGCGGCTGTGCGTGCATGTCTCGAAGCACAAAAAGTTCTATATGCCAGGGAGTATATGATTGCGCTGAATAGCGAGCCAGCGTCATGTCGAATATGCGCAGAGAGTTGACTGCATGAAAACCAGAGCTTTCATACAGAAGACGCTAGCTTATAATCAAGATATGCATGACGAAATCATGCAATCAAGTTACGGAATTACCATCAAGTAACGTGGACGGTGAGGCCGTCTGATCGAGCACCGTTACTTGCACCAGACAATACACGCAGGCTTGCGAGAGGAGTCGAGGACTATGTAGCTTATGCCCCATGCTTGAATGATTAGAAGCTCTTGCGAGTGAGCCGGAGCAGCAACGAACCTGAGGGTATTGACGCTAAGATACCTTCATGGAAGTCTTTGAAGAGTTCCTCTCGTAATTAGAGGCATTTGCGTGCTGATGAAACAAGTCTGACTAATCTCCCGGCTCTCCCGCTACTAAATGAACTACTCTATTGTTCAACATCTGACTTCGGATTGTTGTCTGATGCCTTGTTCACGTCCCTATTCGTGTTCCCCAACCTAGTCTGCATCACCTGTACAACCTCGGTATCCAACACCATGAGTCTAGTCTACCGGTCATATACAGCCAGCATTGCAGCGCCTAGTCTAGTCAAGTGATATACCTAAGAGCTACCGAGTGCTACGCAAGAAGGGCTACTTTGATGGTTTCCGCACGATTTCATGATACACGGAACAAAGATCACCTTCGCTGCTATTCAACGCTACTTCAATCAGGTCGATCAGCTTATGGACACGCTCCGTGGGTTGCAGGAAGTAGCTTCCGTCAAAGGGGTCGCAGCCCCTCCAATCCGATGTTAGATCCTTCGCCAAGCCCTCGTCTCCCGCTCCTGCGGGGTCAAGGTCGGTTGATATACTTCTGAGCCGTCTTCTTGACGTGGCCCCCTCGGTCAAACTCCCGTTTGTGTCTTCTGTCAGCGCGCCGGGTCCCCTCTCCCGGGTCGCTTCAAGCTCCTGAGCTTCGCTAAACGGCTCTCCGCCCTGCAACAATGGTGCAGCACCGCCCGCCGTCACCTGCCGTCCACCAGCTGACGCCGCCTTATCGTGCCCCCCCTCCGCAACAATCTCCGATCGGTCCGAATCTAAAACTGCGCCGGCCAACCGGTCCTCCGTTGCCGTCCCCGCTACTTTCGTCTGGTCCTCCAGACTCCCTGCTGTCTCAGGCGTTTCACCCCGCTGACTTGTCAGGCGACCGTTCCCGAAGGCTGGCGGGTTGTCAACTGCGCTAGCTTCACCTCCCTCTGCATTTGCGCCCGCCGCCGCACTATCCCCACCTTGCACGTCCTGTGTGTCCTTCTCCTCCGACAGCCCAGTTGCCTCGCCTGTCAGGCTCGCACTGGGCTTGGCGCCCTGCCCTTCCGTCTGATTGTGCTCTCCGGTTCCCACCTGCTCTGCACCCAACGCTTGCGGTTCAGACGTCTCGTTTCGGGCGACACCCGTTCTTACCCGCCCTGCCAACTCGAGATCTACTCCCAGGAACCTCGTCCGACTGCTCGCATCCTCGTCCCCCCCTCTGCTGCGCCGTCCATCCTTCGACGCCACAAACTTCTCCTTGTCAGTCCGCCGACACCAGCCCCCGCGAGGGAAGCCGCCTCCGGAGCGTCCTAGGATCTCCGCATCAATGCGGTCAAGTAGCGGCAGGCTCTCGTCTAGCGTGAACTTGCGTGCAAACATGGCCCCGGTTTCGGCCATGGCGTCAAAGTCATTCGGCGCCAGCGTGCGCGGGTGCTGCTTGGGGGGCGTGTCCCACGTGATGTGTCTCAGTTCCGTGTTGATAATGCTGGCGCGGAACGCAGAGTTGCACATCACCGTGTGCAGGTAGCCCTAAGGAAGAAAAGAGGAGCGGCTCAAGCCATGAACCCGACAGAAAAAGTCTCGATTAAAAACCAGGACGACACCCATTATTGAGGAAGCGTTCGGACCCGAGTGACCACAGTTGAGTCGGCAACCACCTACGATCCCGCTCTCAATCCCTGCTCCTTGGACACTGCGTGCTCCTTTGGACAGTAGGGTAGTTTTCTGAGCGGGCAAACATAGAGAACGAGCGCTCATTCTGTATCCAGTGCGAATACCAGTGGCGGACAGAGGACCAGCCATGCCCTGGTAAGCCGCCACACCAGGAGCGATTGAGACAGCCGTCCGGCAGAGGCTCACCTCAGGCGACGATACAGTATTGGTGAAGTACATAAGCGCGAGGCGCGGTAGGTTCTCCCAGCCCATGATCACATACTCAACGAACGGCCTGCTCAAGGTCACCCAGGCGGAGCCTGCGAGCACACGCTGCATCGCTTAAATCACGCCTCGCGAGTTCTTCGAAATGAGAATGCATCTCGAACGGCTGCATCGGTCTGCGGCCTCGATCACTTTCAACCCAAGTGCTTCATGTTAGCCCGTTCCAGGACCCGGTTTTGCACCAATCTTGCTCTCAACCAGATAGTCCTCTTGCAAACGTCCAGTCGTCTCCAAACTTGACAAGAACAGCCTGCCAGGTGCCCTGGGCTCACCTGTGACCAGCTTGAACAAGGTTGGGTCCGTCCTCTGCGCTGGCATGTAGGCCAGGTCTTGTTTCACGTTGTGGAAGATGGACGCATCCATGACGATGCGCTGAGTTCGTTCCGCACTGTCAAACAATGAAAGAGGCTCTTGAAATGTTCCCAGGTTCTTGGTGGACGAAATTATAGGACCCACGTTCTGACCAAGACATGCTGAGAGTTGTGTCACCTGGGCAATGTAGTCGTTCTGCTTTATGAGACAACACGAGAAGAAGCGGGCCGCGCATCTCATACTTCGATTCCAAAGCAGTTACGACTTATGTCCCCAATTGAAGTGTATGAGACACCGTACAATCAAGCTGCTCATATTAACTTGTAACCGGCCCGTCACGAAGCAAGCGCCGGGCTGCACAGACAAGACAGGAAGCATGATGAAGACATGAGTGAGCATGGAACGTGTGCTTACACTTTCCAGGCGAGTCTAGGCCAGAGCGCCATGAAGTTTCGGCTCTCATCGACATGCGACAGAGCATACAGGATGTCTGCAAAAGCAAAGTCTGTGTCACAAAAACAAGTATTGGGACTGGAAGCAACACGACGGGCTCCCAAACTACTTTCGAAAACAACCGTCTCTTGTGCCCCACAGAAGCGTAATCTTCTGAGACGGGCCAAGTACATGTCGTTGATATCAGATAATTTCCCCTGTTCTAGTGGCACATCTATGACAAATTCCTTTGGGCTGGTGTGAGCATCCGTTTGGAGCTCACCATCCTGGGTTGCGAGCGGGTAGTCTGCGGCGGACAGGTTGATGAACCACTTCCACTCCTTGCGAATCTTCAGGAGGATGGCCATTCCGTGAAGCGTGGTCGCCAGCATGGTCGGTCCCGTGTACGTCACCAGATTGGGCTGTGGTACAATCTGTACGCGGGCACCCCAGATGTGTGGGCCGTCGCAACCTTGGGACTGGCACATGGATGCACATAGGGACACCCTGCAGATGCTTGTAGTGTTTGCCCCATGCCTTCCATTCAAAAGTGGATGACCACAACCTGCAGTGAACGAGCTGGAAGAGTGAGGGTGCGCGGCGCTCACCTGCACATTGTCACACTCCCGGAACAGGGCCTCGTTCTTGACGAAGTCCGCCAAGGTTTCATGCTCATGCGCTGACGCCTCCGCATCCAGATGTAGGAGGTAGACGTTGTGGGGGTGCCACACCGCCAGAAGCAGCCGCTGTAGCTGCAACAAGCTGCCCTTGCTGGCCATGATTAAGTACGCGATGGCCGGCGGGGCTGCCTGCGCCCCTCCGACAGCGGGAGGGAGAAGGGCCCCTACTCTGCTCTCCCGCAAGAGAGGGCTCAGCTGGGGCGCTGCCCTGACAGCCGGCTGGCGGCTGAAGTTTATTCCCCCGAGGACCGTGCACAGGAACAGGAGTCCACAGATGCAGATAGGGATGAGCCACTTTGTTCGGCGCACCCCCGTGAGGCCATCCTGTGTGCAGCTGGCTTTGCCCGTGCGGACCCAATAGCGGCGGGGCGAATGGATGGCAATGCTGAGGGAGAAGTCGTTAATGTGACAGAAACCCATGGTGGTGAGAAGGGAGAGTTGCTCCTGGATGTGATGGCCCACCACCTGGCGACAATCTAAAGTTGTGCTGTACTTTGAGAGATTGCGAAGCCTACATTCTCCAATGCAACAGACGAAGTCCTCGCTTGCCCAGCTCCTTGATAAGAACTTCGTGAAGCCTCAGCGGCAGCCATGAACCTACCTCTTTACAACTGAAGCGTGTTGCTTATCTGAAGACATGATGCCATTGATGTTGAAACTGTCAGCTTCCGCTTCTCCAAAGCTGCCGGATGTGTGTTGACATTCAAGACAATACCTGGTGGTGGTGGCCACCTCGCAATCAACAGTCTGATCTGCCCAAGGCCAATGGCTCTGCGCCATTGCGCCTTGACGTGAGTGCTCAGTAGAGAATTCAAAAAATGCCAATGGCTGTGGGAGAAAACCAATGGCAATGTTGGAACCTGGAACATGCCTGGGAAGTTGGAAATGTCGAACCTGATTGCCAACTTACGCCTGCAATGGCATCATGCACTTGCCAAGAGGTCTGCTTGCAGAGTTGCATGATGGACACTCTTCAATCGGGATACCTGGTTGGCAAATGCCACCTCAACTTTACACCGTCCATAGAGTCCATGAGACAACACGGACGGACGAGACGCTCCGATAGTCGTTCTTGCAAGGGAGAACTTGGGACCGTCAATCCGTTGACACAATGCTGACAGTATGATGGTAGGTAATGAAATACAGCCGTACGTATTCAGTGTCAACTTAAACCGGGTTCAATCAACTACCTTAGGTGCGTCTCATACCTAGTTAGTAGTGCTACCTCTAGTTCGCCTATACTGTATACAACAAGTTGCTCAGGGCTGATTTTTTGCGACGGGTACCCCAGGCCCCACGGTTACAGGCTACGATCACGTGCAAACTACAAACTTCGACCATGTATAACTGGGGTTTGAAAGCGACGGATCGAAAAAAAACGGAAGTGTAATATCTTCGGAGCTGACTCTGGATGACGAGCGCAGAATATCGACTAAGCGTACCGAACCGCGTCGAACGTTGAAACTGCTCTCGTGCTGTTGCGACAGGGCAAGAACATAGGAATCTGCCACGTGTAAGGAATGACGGTCGTCGATATCGGTTCCAGGATTTACGGCCGTACACTGCCGAAGACTTTTATTATATAGATTTGGAAGGTTCCGTAAACATACACGCTCTTTTTAGCCCAGTGGGCAAAGAGTTGGTTCGGACGGCTCGAGCCTCGAGGTCGAGGGTTCGAGTCCTGGCAGGAACGTCAGTCTTTCGGGACTCAACTCCTAAAAGGGATGTCGTGGACACGTGTCGAATTCCTATGTTCTTGCCTGTCGTGAACCATCGCGAGACAGCTTCGATGCAATTTGTCGAAAGCGTTACATGAGTTACATAGATACATGTCAGTCAATATGATCATTCGATTTCGATTTCGATACACCATGTGTGACTTTCTGAGCTTTTGACTGCTAATGTTGTGCTTGCAGTTCTTTCTGTCAGCTTTTCAATGCTATTATCGGACTTTACCAAATCAAAGGGGCTGCGGGTGCATACAAGCAGATGTATCGAAAGGTAGCCCTGGTCACACTTTCTGCTCCCTGGGACTGAAGTTGGCGGGTGGATTTGCACCGGTCAGTACTTATTTCTGACCCCGACCCGAATCATGGGCTCTTTAGGGGTCCCATGGGGACCTGCCAAACGCCTCTCCTAGTCAAAACAACCAACTGAGCAATGGCTATGGGTCGGTGAAGTCTGCTGAGCCGTTTCTCTAAAACAGGCAATCGGGCGGCCTTCATAAGGTGACCCTCCGACGGCCAAATGAACCCCAGATTTGCATCACTTTTGACCAAAGGTAATCTTACCCCCGAGGTGACGACCTTCTCAGATTTTCATCGAAGTGCCCGGTTGGACTTTACAGTGTAGCAGCTTTGGTTGTGGCCAAAAACGGGTTATTTTTGCAGGGCAGTTTTTTACCATTGTCAGCTTGATTGTGCCCTCGTGGTTGCCAGATTGACTTCGACGTCGATGTTAGGCTCTAAACACCTTCTCCATGACCCAAGCTTTCCATCGAACCTTGGGTCGGGGGGCCAATCGCAACCGCTGAGGTATTATAGCGCCCGCCAGATTACCCTCTTTCCAGATTTGTTTGAGGGCAAAACTCGATAACGTCAACATCCAGACGTCGTATGGCAATCTAACCCACTTCAACGACCTAAAATTGGTTGAAACCCCCCTTCTGCGTGCTGCCAACCTATACGGAGACCTGCGAAGCTCGTATGATGGGCCTCAGGTGGTCCAGCTGGCTCTGATTAGGGTTGCACCGATGTCTTACAATCCAGATTAGGGTTCTGAATTAGGACAAACCGAGGGCATCCTACAGTGCTCTTGAAGCCGTCGATGCGTATTTTGATTGGGATTATGACCGTAGATGACCTGCCCAGCCGCCTCAACGCCTCATACGAACCGGAGAATGCAGTCGTCATATTCGCCCAGGGAGCCGCGTTGGGGTACCCGTCGCAAAAAATCAGCCTGAGACATTGAGAGTGATGCTTGAGCCCACCTTGCTGGCCTGGGCATGCTTTTGTTGGCGCTGGTGAATTCCTCTCCTGGTTCCTGTGGCTGTAGCTGGATTTACCTAATAGGCACGTTGACATGTCGACGTCCCTGTTTGCTCGCGGCGCTGGCGCACTCTTGAAGAAACTTGAAGTTGGAGCGAGGCAAGAGCTTGGAGTGGTCTATTCTTGCACGTCCAGAAGGGAATTCAGCACAGATGCGCCACCCCAGGAATCAGGCCCAGCACCCGGAGAAATAGGAGAGGTATCTGGCATTCCTGAGGAGCAGCTGCATAGGAAGGTAAGTTTGGAATGTCTAACACTCACGATTAGACAACAGGTGCGATAGATTGGGGCGTAGTTTTCCATGGAAAAGCCACAAACTTTATTGTGCAATGGTTGGTATCATGATCTGGCGCTGCTGCCGAGTTTCTTATGAGTCCATATTAGCATTTCTGAAGTTGATCGGACTTGTAATGAGATGAAAAAGTAATGAACACCGAGCTTATACAAAGTCTTTTGGGGCACCTTTTTAAGATTCATGTTCCAAATCTGCACAATTTTTGCTTGCCTCCTGTACTTAAAGAGGAAAGGCTCTGAGTGGGATAGCCATGGTCGATTGCGGGTGGGAGAGATCTCTTGGATGTTGGCTGGAATGCTTATCTGCATTGATTGTGGACGCCCATGCTGAGTGACCTGTCTTTCAGCTGGTAGGAGTTTACCACCAGGTCCTTGGATAAGAGCATTTCAAGGTTCTCGGTGATTGTTGCAGCATTGCGTATGTTGCATGTGCTCTACTTATCAAAAAGCTGCTTGAAGATATATAGGCAGGAGGACTGATAGCATTTGACTTTATTGACTGTCGTATGGTCCAAGCCATACCTCCTGTTTTTGGTGAGGCTGGTCCATCAATTTATCATATTTACTTAGAGCTGTTCTGGTGAAACCTTCTATAGGATTTGGGGTTTCCAGTTGGGAACGTGCATTGAAGATAAATTCGAAATTCTAACTTTGAGAGCTATGCATCGCACCTTTTCTGATCCCTTTTTCTTTCACAGCAGAGGCAAAGATGCCCAGCCAGCAAGCAAAGATTTCGGCAATGCTGGACACTGCACAGAGGGGGCACTGTTGAAGAGCCTCATTTTCCAAAGGTTTAGGACCAACGGCAGCCTTCTTCCTCGTGCAGGTCCTTATCTACTCTCCTGCGCGAACCGCCTCTCAGCAAGGTCTGTCAAAGGTCGGAAGATGGAAGATTGGATTTGACAGCACGTCAAAGTAAGTCTAGTTCAAAGCCTGCTTCAGCATCAGTCGTTGGAGGACGGCTGCAGCGAGATGGATGCAAAGTTTCGAGGGTCATCTCTTGCTTATTGTGAGCAGGGGTTTGTCCGCGGTGAACTTCTGGCCGGTCTTTACAAACCATGGCATCCGAAAGTAGCAAGGCCAAGAATATGAATCGTCTTTTCCCCTCCAGAACCGAAGTTCAAGATCCTCCAACGCTCTTTGACCAGAGAGCAGGCGAAATCTGGGGAAAGCAAGAATTGCTTAGGTCTCTAAATGGATCGACTTTCCTGCGTCCCTGGCGGAGTTGCTGATTGATCTGAGCCTGTATTCCCACCAAGTCGTAACCTTTGGTGTTTTTCTCAGATGGGAGAATCCGCTGATGGGCTGGACATCAACGGGAGACCCATATGCCAATGTGGGGGACGCAGGGCTCGTCTTTGAGAGCAGAGAGGCCGCCATAGCCTTTGCTACGAAGCATGGATGGCAGTACTCAGTGAGCAGCACCCTTAGCTTGCAGCGATTGCTGTACCTTTGTGTCGCAGTTCTCTTGCATTTCCTGATGTTCTCCAGGATCGAGTACGAATCGTCCAATCCTTGCAAGCTGAATAAGAAAAGTGTGTCAGACAGCTACGGGTTGAGTACAAGGAGAAACCTTTCTCGTATGCGAAGGCAAATTTGATCGACATAGTATTTCGTCCAAAACTGCAGGTGAAGGAGCCACATCGAGCAGTAAAGAAGGTCAGTCATCATGGTTGTTCTGATATCACTCTCTGCTGTAGTTGGTCTTGACACTCCGACTCAATCGTGCTCATGCTTCAGTACATACTTGCTCTCGACTGTGCAACCTCACTGTTTTTCGAAGTACTCCTTGCCCATACAGGGATCATAAGTAAACGATGTCAGAAGTGGGCCTGTTTCAAAGCAAGTTCTAATCACATCATCTTCTTTCCATTCGTGCTCAGGTTAAAACATATGCTGACAACTTCAAGTGGAAGGGACCTGTTCCTGCAAGCGAGAGTGCTTCATGACCGAAGAGTAAGACAGGTTCGACTCTATTTGGCATCTGACATTTGGCAGTTACTTTTCAGCGTTCCAAAAACAGCACCATTTTAGCGTTGCTATATGAAGGTGAAGGACAACATTTATTCCAGTGCCACGTCTCCGTGAAGCCGATTTGACTGCTAGCATTTGCAAGCGCGGACATCTGCCGCTGCAGGGAAGCTATCGGATGTGGTGTACAACCACCGCAGGTCGTATTGTCTGTGGCTCAGTTCCATCGTTGGAGTCTACAGCCGACATAAGGTTGCATCTGTCCTCTGATTTTCACACTCGAAGGACCGACTACCGCTCTGGGGCCAATCGATGATCACAAATATCCATCCTGCAGCCGCCGCCGGCTGCCGATTGGCGTGCACACATGCATGTTTTTGTATGAATGCTGTGGCCCCTTCCAGCCGCGCACTCAATGACGCGTCATGAAATTTCACGAATTTTTTGATTTAGCTAGCAAGCCAGTGAGTCTCGTGCCGTATAGCCTAGTGGCTTGGATAGCTGGGCCTCAATCATTATGTCAACGTACATTGGAATGCGCATATGTTAACCGCGGGCGGCGTAAGTATAAGATAGGCGTGCTATACAGCAATAATTGGCGGCATGCACCATGCATGTATGCGGTACAGTTGATCCGATTAGCTGCTTGTCCAGATGCATTTAGCACAAGCTACCTATGGTGGGTGTCGGCGGTCTCGATCGCGCGACGGTACCGTCACCAAATTGACTCACCGGTGTTACGCGTCGCGACATTTCATGTACACGGTACTGACGACCGTACTGGGCCGTACTTTAGAATCCGGTCCGAGTTCATGAATTGGAAATTGTCTGACATGTCGACGAACGGTAAACTCCCGGTAAACTCCGGTATATTCGGCGGTACAGTACCGCGCAAGTCTGCGCGTCCGCAAATTTGAAATTTCATGGTGTTTGTCGGAAGTTCCGACTCGAACCACCTGAGGGTACCGCGGTACTTAACTTGAAAGAGGAGTGCAGGAAGTTGAAAGAAGAGTGTAGGAAAAGGCGCATTTCAAGAGCAAGCAATGCCGGCCGACTTTGAGGCTTGTATGGTGCTTATTCCGATTTGTCCTCGACATTTCCTTATGTTGGGTCTTCAAACAAACCCTCAAGGTGCTCTCCCAACATTTTTCTTTGCTTGTCAGAGCTTTCTATGGGCTGCATAAGGCTCTTCTTTGTGTGCCAGTTTGATGCTCACACACAAGTGTAAAACATAACACTGTCTTTCACTCCTGTAACACTGACTTACGGCCGAGCAATATTGTCTGAGTACTTGTACCGCCCGAGTAACAGAAACCTGAGTTGCCGTGACGTGAACCGCCGGTATCACTGACGGAATTCGATACGCGGTATTACAATTTTGTGGCGGTCGGAGTCAAAATTGACTCGGCCGGTACCCACCATAGGTATCTTGTGAGTTACAGTCACCATGCTAGTTAACTATAATTATATCATACATACATGCCACATGATAGAATTTAGTTCATGTCTTGCACTCAGTGCACGCTCGTTCGCGCAGGCGGTTCTAATCAAATCTACTGATTGTCATTCTAGCTAGCCGATTGTCAATAACTTAGCGTCAATAACTTAGCGCCGCTGCCAGTCCATATAGTTGTCGGCAAAGTTGATTAGGTATCCTGGCATTGCGTTGGACCCAGTGACAGGTGAGGTCTGCACCGTCAAGCATTGTATCGAATTGCCATTTAAGGTTGTCGCAGATTTCATGACAACTGTTGTGCTTAGGTGGCCGAACGGAGCCAACTTAAGCCATTGTTTGCAACGAGTAACTTCGTTCCGCACCCAAGCCTAGCGCAAGGTCTCTTATCAACCCCGAGATGAGCGGTTTCTCTGACGAGACCTGATCCGGCAGGGGAGGTACGCACTTTGGTTGATGCTCTGGCTTCGTCCCCAACGTGATGTGGGACTCCAAGCTTGCTCGGCAGAAAATAAACCTGCTCACAAGACGTTAAGTTGATCAGGATCAACTGAGGCAACAACAGCTTCAGGCAAGTGCCAGCTTGAGAAAGTATGCCAATCAAGACAAGCATCTCTCATAAGCGCTCTGAAAGCAGAAGCTTAGCTCTCACGAGTATGCAATGCCTTTGAAACCAGTACGGTACCATACGCAGTGTGTAACGCAGTTGAAAATGCAGATCAGCACACAGAATAAGATGGGCAGCGGATGCAGTACACAAGCGACAGACGTCAGGGTCAGTGTCTGGAGTGGCGTTCGAGGTTGTGAGTGTCCCGCCCAAATTGAGCCGGAACCAGCCGTGACAATAATTGGGCAAAACCCAGATTGGGTAAGTCACCCAAAGGACTGCGGAAGACGAAAACCCGAAATGTGTTGCGCCCTGGGAGGCCAAGCGCACTCCGAGTTGCCTGAAGCGACGACAAAGGCACGACAGGAAGGCCGCTCGCAACGGCCGACACTCCAGCGCAATGCTTAAGGTGTGCAGTATGCCACCCGTGCGAGCGCTCACCTGAGCGTGAACTTGCGCAGGAAGGGATCCCCCAGTAGCCGCTGCCAACTGGGGTCCAACGACGGGCAGCTCGTGAGGGCCTCCCCCCACCGCACCAGCCCGGCGCCCAATGCGGCCTCCATCGCGTCCTGCACCGCCTGCACGCACGCCGGGGCGGGGCTCAGCCACCGGCATGCTTATTACCATGGGCCTAAAGTATCCGAGTCGCTTTCGTGAATTGCAATTGCACAAGAAAAAGTCAAGCAGAGAGCGACGTTCCTCATGGAACGACTAAGCGTCGTGATAAGCAGAACAGCAACCAGATGGCCCGCTTCTCCATGCTGTTATGGACGAACGCACGACTCATCCGCCCGCCTCTTTGCAGGAGCCTGGCAGGCGCGAACGTTACCACGGGAAGCGAGCAGCCGCTTACCGGGCTCAACGGCAAGGGGACCCCGTGAAGGCGGCAGAAGGCCAGCAGGGGGGCCGTCAGGAAGAGCGTAAACAGGCTGCCCGCGTTACCCCCCTGGGACGTGGAGGCGGGGCCGCCGGAAGATCCTCGGCGCGGGTCGGCTTCCGAGGGGGGTGGGCAGCGGGGGGAGAGCAACATCACGGCCGGCTCCAGCACCTCCTCCCCGCTCAACGACTGCACACGCAGGAGCACGCGCGGACGTGAGAAATATGTGCGTTTCAACGACTCGAGCTGAACTCTAGCCGAGTGACGAAGGTAATGTTGCGAGGTCGGAGGGAATCTTCCTGGAGCGGTCCAGGATGAATGCAGAGGCAACTTCGAGAGCCCCACTAGTGTCTCGGCGACAAGCGAGCCGGATTGAATGAACCAGAGTCGGCCTTTTTTCAACTTTGGCTACGACCGAGCCTCCATTATAATGGATCCGAGCAGGCAAACGTCGAAGCAGCTTTGGACGGCGTTGGCACCTGGAAGGCGGCGCTGGTGTCGCTGTCAACGATGAGGAAGAGCGGCCGGCGCGTGAAGGGCAGTAGATCCGATGGGTAGAAGAAACCGTCACCTGCGGGCGAGCACAGCAGAAGAACGAATTGAAAGATTCAGGGTGTATCTGGAGTTGTAGGGATCGGGTAAAAAGTTTTGGGCCTGTCAATGTATAGGAAAGAGATTCTTGATGAAACTCACAGGGCCGCTTCAACTAGTTTCACGTCCCTCCCTTACACGGGTGGATTCAGGGGCAAGGAAATTCGAAATGCCAGACAGATATGCTGTTCAGCAGATGACGGACTTCTGAGCCAAAGGCAGCAGAAGAGGCCCTCTGGGCTAGGAGGAAAAAGCTGGGTGCTTCTGTCGCGATAAGCAAGAAAGCACCCGACCTCCTTGAAGAAGCACAGAACCATTATTCTCGCCCCGCCACACATGCGGTCCGTGCCAATCAGTGCCTGATTCTCACCCGCGCTCTTGCCACTCCCCCCTCTGCTCTCCCGCGCAATCTCCCCCTTGCGCGCACTCCCCTCCCGGCCCAGCCCCAGCCCGGGCCCCGCGCTCAGCTCCTTTTTCGCCCCGAGCCACAGCCCCTCCCCCCGCTGGGGCGCTATACTGCCGCTCACGCTGCCCGGGCTAGACCCCGGGCTCACGCCCGAGTCGGCCGAACTAGGCCGGGGCACGGAGAACCCTTCGAACGGTATGGGCTCTGACTGGCCGCCGGGAGCAGTACTTGATACCTCCACACTCCCGCGGGAGTTGTCCCCGTTCGACGGCTGCCCCGGAGAAGGCGTTCCGAGGGCCACACGTGCGAGGCCGCTTTCTAAGCCGGCGGTACCCGCCGCTGGCGCCTGCTGGCCCGGCCTCTCGGCGCTCGTTTCAGGGGGGTCGTGGTCGTTTACGGTGCTGTCCTCCGGGATGGGGGGGGGAGTCTGGGGGCGCTGAGACATGGAGGGCTGCGGGGGAGCCGGGCTGCCTGTGGCACAAGGAACGAGAAACAAGTTTGAAGGAGTCAGCGGAGCAGCGCAGCCCATCGAAATGCAAACAGCGGGGCAGACGAAGTGCATCCACGCATGGCGGCACTTCCTTAGGGAAGATGGTCAGAGGTCGCGTTCTCACCTGCCGCTGATAGGTAGACCAGAACGGCAGAGTCCGGGGGCAGCTCCTCCACTGCGGTGGCGAGAGTCTGTACGGAGGACGCGACCAATCAGTGAAGAGCTGGGACAATGTGTTGGAGCCGAACTCTGATTCCGCTGCCATTCAAGTGCGATAATTATGGTTCCGGGTTATACCCACCCATCGGCCTGGATGTGTCTGGCACGCATCAGACAGAACGCTTGGGTGGAGCAGTGAGCGTTTCAACAGTGGCCCCCCAAATCTGCCCGGAAACCATGCAAGCAACCGCCCCCGCCCTCCCACAGCAAACTGGTCTCACCAGCAGCAGCTGCGGAACTGTCGGCCGGAAAAGCAGGTACTTGTGGGGATTGGGGGGCAGGCTCGGGTCAATCACGTTCTCCGCCACCCCCCCGGGCCGGTTGTTTTCTCGACGCTCGGGGCCCCCCTCCTGGGGGCCCGCCCCACTGCCGCTGGCGCCGACAGTGTCCGAACCCTGAGCGGGTTTTCGCAATTTGAGGAACTGGCCGCTGGGCTCCCACTCGACGGCTTGCAGCATGCGGAAGGTGTCCAGCGTCAGCTCGCTGAACTTGACCTGCAGCCACGGGACAAGCGGGACGGTGAGCATCCCGTACCCCCGGATGGAAGAAGGGCGACATCCAAGATCCAGACACGGTCCCCGACTGAGCGGCCAGGGCCGATACGTCCAAGACACGACAGGAATGACGGACTCGGTTATCTGTTCCTATAGCTTTTCCACAGATGTAGCCCACTTCCGACACTTATTGAGAAGACTAAAACGACAGAAGAGAGATGCAACCCGAGCATCGCGCCCACGGCCACGCACCTCGTTATGGTGGTAGCTCGTGAGTATGGCCTCGCGCAGCTTGAGCAGCTTGGGCCCCCCCGGCTTGCCGTACGGGCCGACGACGGTGGGGAGGGCCATCGGGTGGGGGTCGAACAGCAGGCTGTACCGCACTGGGCGCGCATCGTCAAACATCGCGTCTGCGGCGACGAAGCGCACGACCTCCTTGGCCACCACCTTCCAGTCGCGCGTGTTGGGCACCTAGGGGGAGGGGACAGAGAGGCTGGTGAAGGGGAGGGCAGCGGAGGGGGGAGCAGGGCGGTGATATGAGCGAAGATCAAGATTGAAACCATGGACGGAGTAAAGCGAGACAGAAACCGTAAGGGGCGCTCAGCGACCTTGGTTCATACTTACAAACCCCTTAAAGGAACCACCACGATGCAGCTACTCGCCTGTCTACAGAAGGCAATGAGTATTTTCCGGGCAAGTACTAGAAAGAGCAAGAGATTTATACTGTGCATGAACCAAGGAAAGGGCAAGCACTGTCAAAAAGACAGTCAGATAGACATCAAAGCTCTTTTGTTTCATTCACGCGCTGACCTGGAAGTTGCGCGCATAGTCGTCCACCAGTGTCCTGAGCTGGCGCACGAGGCGGCGCACTGTGTCGCGGCGGTTCATGAGCAGGCACACTACAATGAAGCGCACGCCGTAGCGCAGCTGCTTGTTGGCCACCGCCACATCTTTGACAGCTTCCTGGAACAGCAGCAGACACGAGGTCAGGAGAGAGGCTAGGGGCCCTTAAGGGGGGGGTAAGCAAAGAAGGTGGAGGGGTCAGAGGGGATCAACCAGCTTCAACGATCCTACAAGATAAGACAACAGAATGAAACGGAAGAGGAACAAGGATGCGACCTTGCAATCGTATGCTTTTCCTACTTGAGCGAGCAGTGCCCACAAGCAGGTTTCCAGCATTGCTAGTCTGAGTACTGATGGCCACTGCCAGAAGGAGTATCTGCAGGGCCAACCAATCGGGGCAAGCAAAGTCAGAGATTCAAGTTAGGAGAAGTTACGAGCGGGTGCAATGAGATCAACATGGGAAAAGGAGTCCGAAAAGCCTCAACGAACGCTCCTTCACTTCAGCGGGTCTCTAAGCTTGTATGCAAAAGGCTGCCCCAAGTATCTAGCTATGCATCAAGTGTGGTCTCAAACGCCGATTGATTTGGAAGCTGAAGCAGAGACTCTCGTTGTGAATATGCCTGCACAAAAGCCGCAGAAGCTGCTCTGAAGCCTGTCCTCTGGTTCGCATTGAGGTAGTCTTTTGCTTACTTTGAAGTACTCCCTGCTTGCGATGGCCTCGTAGAAGACGTACGAGTCGTACAGGAAGGGGAACTGCCCCGTCCGGATGTAATTATGATAGTACAGCTGGCTGATGCGGCTCGCAATCTGCATGTAAGAGACACAGGCATCGAAAGCAGGGCCTTCTGGTGTACTTGCATCAGGTCGCTTGCCGTTCTGAATGAAGACCCGGTCTGCGAGCTCCTTCAGATGTGGCAGCATTGCCTGGAACGCTCAACAATGCTGACAACATACTTGCTGGGGGATATGAAAGTGGAAAGTGGACCGAAAGGCTAGAGGTTGTACTTAAGAGATCAGCATTGCCCTGAGGGTGGCTTACTTTGAGTTCTGTTTGCAAGTGTCATGCTCAAGATGCAAAAGGTGCGACGAGCATCCAAACAAGTAGCCATGCATTTCTGTGTCTTCCGGAAATTTGACACATACAAAGCCTCATATTGCCCGTTTGGCACACTTGGAACTAACACTGTGCTGATGGGGCATTTCTCAAACTGTGATTGAGACAAGCTGAGCAAACCTGAGATGACCCCACTGGTTTGACGTTATCAAGTGGAGGCACACCTACATTACTTGGGTTGCTTCGATGCATAATTAGGGGACTCGCCAGCCTGTGATTCACCACATTGTATGCCTGACTCGGTGCAAACAGTGGCAGCATGATGTGACAAGCCGCCTGAATGGGCTCACTGCATCTCACCTCCCCAATCTCCCACCTCTTGAGCCCCGTCTCGACCAGCTTCTGGCGGTTCTCCTGCTGAAACTTCCACAGCCGGGAGTAGAGCGCAAACGCCTTCTGGAAGTAGTGATCGAAGCGATCACGTCCGTAGGGGGGCAGGTCCTTAAGCCGTGCAAACTTCTGGTATGCCTTGTCAACCAGAACGCGGTACTCCTCGCTGATGCTCGGAGCAGCGGGGGCCCGTGGCCGCTCTGCCGCAGGCCCCGCAGGCCCCGCAGGCGAAGGATTCTGTGGGAGAGCCGCCATCCTTGAACCAGAGCAGAGGGAAATCCCTCAAGGGCGTGCGCTAGAAGCGCTGAGGGCTACCGCTGAGCGATCTTTGCAGCATTGCTCATTAGATGCAGTATTCCGTTAGCAATTGCATGGTTGATCTCAGCAGGTGTGATTAAAATGCAACCTGAAATAGCTCAAGGATGTCCCCAGATCGATCTAGCTGACCATCTGCTCCGCGCTCGAACAGCATGCAGCGCCCCTGTCTTGCTCATGCGCCCTCCCTTCGCTCTCTTGAGCAGCAAAACGTGAAGGGCATATATGACTCCCTTTTCTGTCGTGGTGAGTCGAGAACATACTAATTTATGCGCAATGGAAATTATCCAATCTCATAGAACGAAACGTTCAGTCTGGAGTCTGGACCCGGCTTCTTGATTCTTGGATGGACGGAGGCATAAAAGTGGTCGTATAGAGTGTGACCACTACTCGCTTATACGACAGAGTATTAAACTAGAGTGGAAATACGAGACCATATTCTGCCACTGGCTAGATTCTGAATCAGACTGATCATGGTGCACATGGCATTGTGCGAATTCAATGAGCTGGCAGCAAGCATAATTGGCAGAGGTGGGAAGAGACTGCGCAATTGATAAGGTTCAGAACCCTCCAATTGGGGAAGCAGCTCGATGTTTGAGCAGCGTGCCAGGCAAAGTGAGCGCACCTGAAAGCCAGGCAAAGTGAGCGCACCTGAAAAGCGTCTTGTCGTCCGGCTCGGTATATTGGTCCTCTCGTCCTCCAATAGGAGTGTCTTCCATTTTAGAAGACTGCATCACCTTCCGTGCCTTTTAGCCGTCTTAATTGTCCAGCGAGGAGACATTGCTTGCACTCTTCGCCAACGCACATGAAGCCCCTGGTGGGCCGCTGACTGTGACCAATCACTCGCTCAATCAGAAAGCTTGGAGGACCAAGTTTTGAGCCCGCCGCATGGGCTCTGGCCATGGCGGCAAAAAGGCCAGGTGGTGGTGGGGGTAATGGGCGGGTGGGGCCCCCTTCCGGGCCACCGTCAGAAGCGGCCGGCAAGGGGGGTGCTCGGCTGGCTCCGTCCAAGTCCACAGTGTACGTGGGCAACCTGGACTACAACCTGACCAACAATGACCTCTTCACCATCTTTAGCGCCTGCGGCCAAGTGACCAAGTGAGTGCCCTCGACAGCTTCGTGTACGAGACATAACAGCATCTGTGGGGAACAAGATAATTGAATCATGAAGCCACTGAGGTATTGCGAGTAACTGAAGGCAACGCTGTCCTCCTATTGTTTACAGATAATCAGTGTCTTGCACGGTCTGAGTATTTCAACTTGTGAAAGTGGACTTCTTTCCAACTGTCTTGTATGTCAGCGTGTGGGTGACTTGGGCTAAGCAAGTAGTAGGGGCAAGGATCTAGAGCACCTGAACGGGTAACACGATCCAAGTTATGGCAAGCTGAGGCTCGTTGGATAAAAAGGGCTCAACGGACAGATACAACCTGCCGCTCTTCCTTCCTCGTCTTCTTGGGAGGGTACTTCTGCCGGACTTGTCTCCTGTTATTTGTCACTTCATCATGTCTCTCTCAGTGCAGGGCCAGCATTGTGAAGGACCGGCAGACGCGAGAGAGCAAGGGCGTAGCCTTCATCCTGTTCTTGACTCGAGAAGATGCCTTGAATGCAGTAAGGTGGCACCAAGATCTGTTTTTCGCTTTTGAACAGATCTTGCAGTAGCCACTCGAGTATGCTTGAACCATTGGATGAAGGAGAGGCTAGAAAGGCCACCAGCTAAGCGCTTGTTGTAACAAGCTTGATTTGCCCCACCCCCAAACGTGGGGACGTAGCCAGGACGACTTGCTGGAATATGGCAGACTTTTACTTCTTCGTCAGCAATTGCTATTGATATTTGGGAGCCAACAGCAAGGACTGTGAAAGGCTCCAGCTTTCGGATAGTCAAAGGAGGTCGATGGTCTCTGCTTCCACCTTTGCGCACATTATCGTGATAGTTAATAGTGGTCGTTTTGTCCAATCTCAGTGCAAGATCATGAACGGCAAGGTCCTGAATGGGCGTACCATCAACGTCAGCATTGCGAAGGACAACGGACGAGCTGCAGAGTTCATCAAAAGAAGGGTGAGCGTGGGAAGTTTTGTACCAAGTACGGGGACTGCCCTATTTCCAAATCCATTGGCTTGCGAAGACTTACGAGCTTTTGTTTATTGCGTGCGCCCTTACTTTGAATGCAGCCAATTTCGTTCTTTGTGCGACCTTCATCGCAGAGACTAGTTGGAAAACGGTACATCAAGTGACTGCAATCTCGATATCTCTACTTGTCATGTTCTATCAAAAGCTTTGAAGAATCTCAGCTTACTAGTCATAGAGTCTGTTGAGCTGACAATTTTGCGCCAGAAGGTCACACATTATTCGTTGTTTGAATGTCGACTCATGCCAAGCACAATTTCCTTACGAGCAAGACATTGAAAGCCACTGAAAGTTTCATTCCTATATGGAAATTTTCCGAAGAATACTCACGTCTGCACCTATCCGTGGCAGGAGTACGTGGACAAGAGCCGTTGCTACGAGTGCGGCAAGGAGGGCCACCTGTCGTACGAGTGCCCAAAAAACCAGGTAAGTTTTGGCAGCTCGTGTAGTTTTCCAGGTCCTGTTCTTGCAGGAACTCCTGGGCTTGCTTCGGGCGAAGAAGTGCCCTGATTGGACACACCACAGCTTTAGTTTGGCAGCTGACGTGCTTGTTGTTTGTGATCTCCTTTGACTGGCGTTTCGTTGTATGCAATCGCCTGGCTGTCCATTTCGAGAAGCAAAGGGGGAGCGCTGAACAGATCCAAAGCAGAGAAACTGATTTCATTACCCCTCAGGTATTGAATAGCTTGGCTTTATATGTCTCCTTACCTTCGTCGTCATATCGTCAGCTCCTCACACAAATCTGCTCTTTTGCCCCAACCTTTGTGTCAAGCTCAGTTTCTATTCCCCTGACTCATGAGCGAGTTCGACTTCGTCAAATCATGGTACTCCTGGGCGTGCTCGTGTCTTGCGTCTCTGGCACAGCCTTTCGAACTTAACACAACCCTCTTTTGCGCTCGGCGTACCTTTCATCCAGACGCGCTGTCCACCGGGCTCGCGCGGTTGTCGTGGAAACCACCGATGGTGACACTTTGGATTTCACCCTTGTTGGCCGCCCTTCCGCTCCTGCAGCTGGGTCCCCGCGAGCCTCCCGCGAAGAAGAGCCGTCGCGCCGCGCAGGAGGCGCACCTCGGTGCCAAGCAGCGAGCGCCTGCTTCGCACCCGCAGCCGGCCAACGACAGGTGAGGCTGCCGGGCAAAGGAAGGTGGTTACGTTTGGCAGTCTGAGCTCGATGGCTGTGAGGCGCAGCATTTACACACTGGGCCTGCTTGTTTTGTCTTTCCAAAGCCCCTGGTGACGCGGGCGCCATTTCGGAGATGCTAAAGAAAGGGGCCGTCACGGCTGTTACGTCAAGGTGTGGGCTCACCGCTCCTTGCCGATGCAGCGACGAGGACGAGAATCCAGACTTCGACGACGACGGCTGGGGGTCCGTCGTGGCGCCCAGGTGCGCGCTGCAGCTTTCCGGCTTTTGCCTGCTCTTGTCGTGCTTTGCAGGCTCTTGAATCTTGTGTGAATCTTCTTTGCGACGCCGTCAGCTCGTGGCTGGTCCATTGGCCTTTTCTTTTAGTAACAATGTTCTGTCGAGGCTCGTGGGATCACTCAGTGTTTTGTTGCCAAGGCGTTGGCAGCCAGTCTATACTCGAACAGCAAAGTCCTCTTGGCAAGCCCGTGTGTTGGTGTCTGATGCTCGCTTGTCACTGCAGGCCATCGTTTTCGTCAGTACAGGGGACGCAGGGCGAGACAGAAGGCCGGAAGCCGGGGGGGCTGAAGGTACGACTCGATCTGCTTCAAATCTATGCTGGAGTGTTCGATCCGCAAAAGTCAGAAGCGCTGTGGTGGCAGCCTCGTAATTTGATTGCAAATTTGTTTCCTGCTCTTTGCATCCGGCAGATCCTTCGGCACCTGCTTAGCTGCGTCTTGACGACCATTTGAGAATTTATGGGTCTGTTATTGCAACAGGGCCCCAAGAAAGCATCCGGCTACTTCAGCGACGAAAGTGGGGAGGATTGAATCAACGACGTGCCAGGACGGCTAGTTTGAGGAGTACACGTGTCGGACACATGCTGATCTTGAGCCGTCCAAGCCGCATACTGGCTTTCGCTCGTGTTTTTGTAACAGATTGAGCTGCGTTTGCATTGTTTGTGCCCAATTCCGGACAGTCTGGCTCTCAGTCGTCTGGGGTAGTCAGCTTATGAGTACACGAGCATACCTTGTGTGACTCAACTTATTGATTTGATCAGAGTAGGTAAACTTGACATGCTTCATTGCGCAAGTAAATGAAGGTATAGCTGACGCTTGTGCCCATGTGGCGACTTCCACACAATGATGAAACTTAAGTTGAAATGTTGCTCATACTATGATATATGTGCTCTTGTTGCGAATAAAATACTCAAAACCGTGCATATCTTTTGCAGGAGTCGAGTCCGCACCATACGTGTTGACTGGCACCCAATGATGGTTTGGAGAGTTAACCCGGGAAGTGCATGCTAGCTTCGCGCAAGGGCATCATAATATAAGCACTATCTATCAAGAGAGATAATTGAGGAGAATCGGCCGGCCATGTACCATGTAAACGTGAACTGAAACTTAAAGGATTTTGTCATATGTTTCCATATACTTCCATATCCGCGGGGTCCATAATTGAAAATTGAAGAACGTTGATTCGAGAATACGTCTAGTCTGGCACCAAGCGGTCCATGCTATGTTTCTACAACAAAACCGTCCAGAGTTCAAAGAATGTTGCATGTGCTGTTCTTCTCCAGGGCATACGCACACCTTACTTGCCATGCACTGAGTGGACTAGACTTTCAACTTTCAAATATCTGTCAGCCTGGCAGCGCCGGCAATCTAGGTTCTTCGAGTGACTTGTCGGCAACGTTTCTATGCAGCCATGAGCTGGACAGTCTTGTCTAACCAAATGTACAGCCTTGTGATTGAAGTATCTACAGCCTTGTCACTCAGCAGTGCCACAATGTTAGCAGAGCCCCAGATGATTACGGTATAGAGCTTGTTGTAATCAAATCTGCTCAAGACAACAGCAGAAGATCACTGGCTCAAAAACGCAAACTACTGTTCCTTTTTGCAGAATAATTCAATCGAATTTGTACAGTTGTTCGAGTACAGTTGTTCAAGTCATAATGCTTCAATACAACACTATACAAAGACTGTACACCACACCCTCGACCCAGCTATTGCAACATCACAACTATGTAAGCAGGCCTGTCGCCAACGAAGCACTACGCACGGGGCTGCTGAATGCGCTGGGCATGCACTCGGGGAATGCCGTTACGAAGGTACCGAGGGACCTTCTCATGGGCAGCAACAGGCTCTCCTTGAGCTGGCCTCATAGCTCGCCCGAGGAGCAGGCGAATGAGGCGTTTCTCATTGGCGGCATTGCTTCCCACTGCAATAAGAAAAGTAAAGTGATCAGTGTCCAACCCTTTGGTTTCAAACAGGAAAGAAGGTCACAATTTCAATGTTCCAGTGAAATTCACCAGAAGGCATACCGATCTCACTTGCAGAGGTTTATGCTCAACCAGCACACGAGGAACTGCAGCTTGTCAGGAGTAACATTCACTATTTACCCCATCTGAGCTGTGTAAGAAACCTGCTGAGTCAAGCCTTCTGTTTGCTACATTGCATACAGAGGGTCAGATACAAGCAAGCATTTTCAACAAGGAGATTGCTACAGGATTCTCACCAACACTTGTGCAGCCCCGTTCAAGCTCCTCAGCCTCTTCCAAGTCAGCCAATTCCCGCTGCTGCCATTCAAGCTCCTCTGTAAGAACATGGAACAGTCAGTTTTGCATGTAATCTTCTTGGAGCCCTCATGGCATATTAAGCATAATTCAGTGTCCAGATCAGCTGGATCCTGCCCATCTAATCCGCGTTGACTGTCGATCCTTTCATCTTCTTGAAAGCCTCATATTCTGCTTTTGATTTAGTGCCTAGAAACCTAGTGCCTGGAAACCAACAACTTGAAGATAATCTGTTCACTCCAATTGAGGCCATCAGCTCTGCAAGGGATCTCAGAAGCCAATCCTCCATTTTAAGCCTCAGTCATAGGAAGATTGCAGACTGATGCATGCAAGTTCTTGATACACCTGAAGCACGCAGTTCCTGATCAAATCTGAGGTCACCAACAGGACTGCCAATCAGCGTCATCACCAGGAGCATCTCACCAGCAGCCTTCAACTCGTCCATGTCTGCTCCTGACAATCCGCAGCCGTCGTCCATCACTTCAAACCTCGTTCGCAGCCAAAAGTCCCCAAATGCAGCGTTCTCCTTGACCAGAGCATACCATTCAGGAGAAAAGTCCTCAGGCTTCAGAAATGCTTGCGGAACAAAGGACGGAGCATTGGGATTAAGGGCCATCTTGGGCACCGTCATTGGGAGATTGCTAAAGGGACCCTTGGTAGGTTGGAGTTGATCGGCGCAACTAAATAGTTGAGATAAACAGCTGCAACTTCTGGAGGCCACCCTTGATTGGAGCAAGGAGGGAGCGTGAAAGACGTTGTTGTGGAGCAATTCCTGGTGAATGAAACTTGAAATGCAGGTACGGTTTTAATACAGGTTTAACCAAATCAAGCGACGTATGATGGAAGGCTGTTCAAAACTGATATCAAGCGTTAGAATCGTGGAGTGTTGGAAGGACGACTTGGGAGACGTCACGTTGACTTCCAGCTGCTGCGGAATGCAGCGCGGCAGAATTGCGAGGAGGTTTCCAAAGCCTAGGCCCTACTAGCCTCTATACCGTAGTAGGGCCTAGGCCCGGTTGAGTAAATTTGTTTGCAAGACGTCACGGATCTGGGTGCATCCGTGAATCATGCATAGGTAGGTAGTACATACCGCATACAGGCAGGCCGAATGCGCAGGCGGAGGTGTACAGGTACCGTATGCAGGCGGAGGTACCGTACCTGCAGCACTTCGAGCAAAAGATCAGTTTTCCACGTTGGATTCTTGTCGTCCACGTCAGATTTGCACCAAGGTAAGCAACCGGGAACCGGGTGGGGTTTATTGTTGGGTTTAATCAAGGGTAGGAACGGGTTCGGAGCGCGTGCATGATTTGTGGTCAAGGTGTTACTTGAGGTGCCCGGGGGAATCTGGATTTTTGACTAGATCTAGACTGCGCTGCATGAGATGTGTACCGTACCAGGTAGGTACCTACGGAAGTACGGTATGTAGGTACTCGTGTCTTCTGAATCCAGGTCCGGTGGGCAACGGTGGTTACCAGTACCTATGATGTAGGTACCTGACTACGGTACTAATGAACGGTACGCAGGTTCTGCCTGAGTAAGGTACAGACCGGATATGGGTATGTATGTACTTTGTTAACCATTCTGCTGGCAACATCGAACGGTTCAGATTGCAGGGCGAATTTCTCAACGGTTCGATATGCATCGGGTCAGGAGTCAGGACCTGCAGTTCAATGAACCAAGCTCCAACTTGAACAGCTTGGTTCAACTGGGTACCTAGGTACGTAGTTTAGCGGTATGTGTACCGACTACCGTATACTGTACCAGCACTGCGGCCGGCCTGCATGCCTAGCTACCTACCGTAGGTAGGTAGATGCATTGTGCAATGCTGCAATCAAACCACTAGGTACCGTCTACGGTACTCGATATGTACGATAGGACACCGTACTGGACGTAGGGTTGGGTATAGTCTATAGGTAGGTACATGCAAGTGTACCGGTAACTCGGGTCACGTGGTTCACGTGGTGCACGTGTTAGACATGTACCTCACGTGGACCGTGCTCTTATCAAGCCTTGAGCATTGAAGAGATCCAACACATGCTTTTCACCCGCTTCTCAATCCGATTCGTGAACGTTTTGGTGCAAATAGGACCTAAACCATCGTGGAACGAGCGTGGAACCCCTTGGCATCGACGGGTCCTAAACCAGTCGTTGTGTTTAGGACTTTTTAAAATTGCTGCTCTGCTGAGCCTCTTGTGTGCCTTACTGTGGGACCGTGACCACCGCTTTCGGTTGAAGCAGTGACAACCAGACAACACGGTCTCGATAGCGGGGGCCAGTGCCCGGCCAGTGCTTGTTTGAAAATATTCATTACATGTAGCATAAGAACACAAACGGATTTCAAGTTGGCCCCTCAGTTTCTTAGTCGAATAGTGCAAATGCAAGTCTACGAGGACGGTTGTGCCGGGTTTCTGAAGGGGTCCCCAATTAAATGTCGAGATACCGCTTATACGACGTGTACGAGTCCGCGCACGCGCTGGCCGGGAATTGATATGAGTGTACCTGCACACGCGACTCCATGAATTTGCATATCATATCTATACGCATGGGCTAATTGAGCGTTGGGTATACACAAAGAAAAAACTCAATGTGCCGCGCTGTGCCTCCAGCCCATGAACACATCGGAGAAACCGGAGAAACTATGTGGGAGAATCGGCTCTACGCGCTTTACATGCGAATTAATTTGGCATGCTCTAACGCAATTGTCACGGACACATTCAAGCGTCCGACTTACGATAGTCATATGAAGGAATGTTGCCTACTAAGAAACGCATCGCGCAAGAATTGTGTGATACGTTTCAACCTGCCTTTGATCCTTGATGTCTACATTGATGTTAGAAATAACTTCTCAAAATAGACAATCCGCCTATGCTTGGACTGCATCACTGATAACCTCAATGACTTAATTGCCAAACTTCTGAAGTTGTTTCAAGGGTTTGTGACTAGTAAGCTAGTACACCTTGTCCAAAGCTAGCAGCTTTGACACGTTGCACCATGTGCGCAACGTTTCACCTCGAAAATCAGATCTTCGTCTCCTTCGCTGCTGGCATAATCAATCAGTATCCGAACACCCTGTAGAAGGACCAATGGATCTGATGAGAAGGGACCTACGACGATAAGTGCTTTGCGCTTTGCGGTGGATTCGAAGATCCCCCGTAAGCCATGATGAGTAGTTTGGACGTCATGCGCACATACAAGCGTCATTCGCTTCAATTGGGACCCAAACCGCATGCCAACGATAGCATGAAGAAGAAAGGAGTACGTTTATATCATCTCTGGGAGAGTGACATTTGCACCAGCCTTGCACGGCGTCATCCGCCAGGTTTTAGGGTAGCCCTCCGAGTTGCATCCAATTTGGCATCAGTTTAACGGGTTTTCGGGTTTTCTATCTCCCTGTGATTTCCATCGCCCAAATCTCTTGAAAATGATGCTTTTTGTCAAGCACGTTTGACGACAAAAATAATGATTGCTCTTAGTACGTGGTATCTTGACAATCACAAGGACAAACCTTGATCTCAAAACCTTGTCACGCATCATTTTTGATGCATACTTGTGTCCGATGCACACAAGATCGGAAAGAGCTTCGTTTGTGTGGTCAACTTCATCGGAGTACCATGTCGATCAAAAAAAAAAACCAAATCAAAGGGTCCAAAGGTCGAGATGGCAGTTACCTTGTTCACATCAGGCAGCTTGTAAGCAGCGATAACTGTGCTGAGGTAGGCCTCGTGCTACATAAGGGAACAAAACAAAAGTGAATGGTCTTTGACGAGGCTTGTGATTCATAACCTATGAGTCAACGATCCAGCTGAATCAGCATATTGCCAACGAGCTCGCATGATAGAAAGGGATTGAAAGCTACACGTAACATTCTTCCCGGCAAACCATGTTGTGCCCTCAGTTCAGCGTCTCAAGGAGGTATATCGCAAGGCCTAATATTACAAAAAGTTCTGTCTGTCCAATGGCTTTTCAAAGCGACTCGTTATCAAAACTCGTCATAAGTGTTGCGACTTACTGCCTGCTCAATGGTGAACCGTTTTGCTGACTTGTCCTTCTTGCTGCACTGGATGCAACGAATCTGAAACAAAAGCAAACAGGAGGGAGTGCAACCTGTCATGAGTTGCTGCACGGTCGTTAAACAGCCCTTAAACAGCACCGTACAGCGCCATATGTTTGAATCCTGAAGGGCACTGGAAGACCTCAAAGTTGGAAGCATCTCTCTCCAAGCTTCAAACGTAATCTACACAAAGGGCCCTGACTGGAAGCCCGCCGGAATCAGTTGATAACAAAAACATGAGTCACGCCAACATTTGTGCTCAACCGCGCTGCAAATCAGGCTTGCTACATCCCTCACCTTCTTGAAGATAGCTTCATCATTTCCTTCATTTTTTGCATAAGATAGAAGGACCCGGAGTGCTTTGCCTGCAAAGCACATCCACGATTGCCACAGAAAAGATCAAGTTGGGGCTACTCTTAATAAAAGTTGACTTGTTGCAGGTAGACGCCAGAAAAGGGCGCCATCTTCATGCCACATCAGACAAGACGGTTGTTGAGCAGCAGGACAACGTGGGATCTAGGGATGCTTTGGAAAACAAGTCAGCGGACGGTTGACTCTGCTTCACTTTTGGATGCTATGCAAGTGCATAGTTACTCAGCTCACCATCATCCGGCAAGTTATGCTTTTGCGCCATGTCTCTTAGCCACTCAAAGTGGTCCTTCTCAAGTACTAGCTTTACATCCTTCTTGCTCTTTCCTTGCTTGCTCGCTGTATTTGCGCCAGACTGTTTTGAACGGAGAAGGAAAGGCTTTAAAGAAGGCTTTCAAAAGATTTCTGGTCTATCTTGAAGACCGCACCGATTTGACACAAAGATTTGCAGAATGATGACACTGCATGATTGGGGCACATTATACAGACAATTTGCTAAACCGTGATCAATCATATCAGAAACCTGAGCAGATCAGCCAAAGCCTCATGGAAATCCACGCGCGACCTGCAGAACCATTCACATTAACAATAGAATTGCAAGTAGATTGCATTCCAGAAAGCTCTTAGGCTAGCAGCTCCGCTACACTGAAAGCCACCAACAAGCTCATGGGAAGGCGGCAAGGTCGCAGTGAGTTGACTGCTTACTTCTTTTTTCCTGTTTCGCTCCATGAGTATGTAGGTGCCTATTGCTGCTGTAAGGAGCGCGGAAGCATATAGCAGGTGGCGGTCCTCCATGATGTTGCCCGCATCGCCCAGTTGCCACCAGCAGGCAGTGTTTTTCTGAGGTAAACCACCCGTCAACCTGGGTCCTCTCGTTGCTCACTCACTGGCAAAATGCAGCGTTTACAAGACTCAGAGGCATTGGCCCTCCACGCTGCCTCACTGGATAGCTAGTAGGTACCTGAAGCGATCTAGCCAAACTGAAGGCTCAGAACCAGAGCTGCACAACTTTGCGAATTCATACCGGTATTGAAGGATTCAGGCCTGCTTGATAGCATGGTCACATCTACGCGTTTTGGAGTCCTGACGGTGAAATTTGGAGCTTTCTCGGTACCAAGCTCTCGATTTGATCGATGTTCGGTACCGAGAAACACACCCGACCCTAAACGCTGGGACTCCGCAAAAGTTCGGTACCGAGGTTTCGGTAGCTAGAGCTTCCGAAAAGACCCGTGCGTAGACTGGTACAATGATTACTATCCCGGATATCACGGGAGCTTTCAATGTTCCCTCCTCGCTACCGAACTTCCAAAACTTGGTAGATGTGACCGGTAAGGCATTCTCGGTACCGTGAATTTGTTTGGCGCAATTCCCAAACTTTTTCCAAAGCTCAGATGTTGTGACCATGCTATGAAGTTGAAAGTAGGTCTACAGGCTAGGTAATAGATACGTTTTAACTTCCATCGCTGCGATGCCGGGACGGCCGGCGAGTTGGAGAAACGGCACCCAGCCTTTGTGATGATCCAGGGAAAACCAAGCTGGACGTTATAGAAAACGGCGAGCACCGTCTGTATACGAGTAATTAAAAGATTAAAATGTACGGTTAAATTGCTTGGTACAAAACAGGCCGGTGCAAAGCAGCAAGCTGCACAGCTGTCAACGTGCTGATCAATCAACAAGCGATGGCGGATCAGCGTCCCATTGGCGTCGACTCTGACCTTCTTCCTTAATCCGTTCTACTACTACTAGTACTAGTACTACTGCTGCCTTACCGTACTAGGAAAAGTCGGCTTGGCTGTCTTTGGTAGATGTTTAAAGGCTCTGCACAAGGGCTTTTGATCTCTTGATTCAATGAGTGGCATAGGCAGCGAAATGAGGCCCTTTGAATGTCCTCACCCATTACAGTTCGTCTCTTTGTCAACCAGAAGTTGCTGGCAGTCCCTCCGTGGACACTTCGCGAGCTTGCATGTGCAAGCATTCGATGGGTTCTTCAGAGTGAAGGATCGGTGGGTATACTGGCGGACGGTTGAGAAACCGGCCTGCAGATTCTGCTGAAGAAGTTCGACATCTGTAGCAGGGACTGTTGTTGAAACGTTAATTGCGCCTGAGTGGCTACCTTTGCATTGACCCCCTGTAACTCGTAGGCGTGATTAACTTATGCATTGACTTCTGCATCACAATGTTGGCCCTGAACGATTTCTCTCCCAAAATCCTGGAGTAGTAGAGCCAAGCTGCCAGCTTTGTGTCATAGAGTGGCTGCCAAGGAAGTTTGTCACTGTATCATCTTAAGCTTGCTTGACTCACCTTGGGGGCCCTGAAATAAGCTTTTGAACACTGACGTCCATCCTCAAGTGTTTCAAGGTCACAACTTTCACATCAGACCTACAAACTTCCTTTTCAAGCTGACTGTAATGCAAGTGGGGAATGCTTTGAATGAAATTGGACTTTGTTTGCATGCAGGTTCAAAGACGCTCTTGAGGCTTGGGCAACACGGGGCACGGGGAAAAGGCACAGATTGTCTCTTAGTATCGTCTTGACCTTTAGGGTCTGAGTTTCTTAAAAGGGGTGGGATGGGAGGGTAAGGGGAGATGATGATGGCGCCTGGCCCTGAAGTTGGTGCTGGGAGGGCCAGCTGGGAGCGCTTTGCTTGAAGAGAGTTGCTAATACTGGACTGTACAGTAGACGTCAAGGATCGCACATCAGTAGTCTGGAGCTGAGCCCTGCCCCTTGGCGCTGGCCCCTCAATACCCGTTGATCGCAAGTTTAGCTAGAATCTTGTACTCAAATGCTATCAGTGGCATGGCTTCTGAAAGAGAGCCCCTGGCTGAAACAGTTGGGCCTGTATTGAGGGATCATCCTGTCAATCCGTGTGTAGCAGAGGCTGCCATAGTACCCCAGTCTCGCCCGCTTGGCTTCCTGGAAGACCACAGAACTGCAGGACCCACACGCCCATACCCTCTGGGGGAAAGGTTTTACGGCCCCCCGCTGCTCTCCAGAATGAACTCCCCAGCAAGTATGGAAGCTGTAGGGGGGGTGGCTCAAGCGGCGACAGCGGGCCCTGAAACAGACCTGGTGAAAGGTCCTGCCAGCCCCCAGCCGGAGGTGCGTAGGCGGAAGTTCAAGCGGGCGCGTGTTGTGAAAGATATCAAGACAGTAGAGGTAGGGCCAGCTGGCAAGCAGGAGCAGGAGAACCCGTTGGAGAACGAGAGGGCAAAGATGAGCGCGAGTGTGCGGCGCTTTGTGGCGCGTGTGCAGGATGTCCAAGGTGGGTGGCATCTCCTGCTTGTGTTGCACCCCAGTACTTCGCTAAACTTGAGCAGCTTTGAGAGCCTTCCAGAGATGCAACAGTGCTGTGGCAGTTGACGGCTGAGTGTCTGCGTCAGTTCACAAGTCTGCTTCATGCACGAGGTACGAAGCCTCAAGGTAGGGGAGAAGGGGTTTTGAGGTTCCTGGTTGGCTACTCGGGCTCTGGTAAGCGTTGACGTTTCCTGGCTGGACGAAGCTTAGACAATACAGAGCCAACAGAGGTTGCTTTCTGATTGCAGGTGACCGAAAGTTCTCAGAGTGGAAGGGGTCAGTGGTGGACTCGATTGTGGGGACGTTCCTGACACAGAATGTGTCCGATCACCTGTCCAGGCAAAGCCTTTTCTCGAATCCTTGAAGTATGTTACTAATTTGAACGTGCTCTGATTCGTGGTAGAAGTACAACAAAGTGAAAGGCCTTCAGTCGGCTGCCAAAGAGCTGCGTCGTTGCATACAGGTAACTCCAAGGAAAATAAGGACTTTGGGTTCCCTTTCCAGCTTTATGTAGCTTAGTTCTGAAAAGCAGATGCCTTCTTCCTGTTACCCAATCAGGCTGGTTATTATCCAGTACAAGAGATGTCTCTCGTTTCGAAGTGAACAATCCTTGGTGCTCTATCATCAACATGTTGCGCGTGCAATGACGTGATTTCTCTTTATCCATCTTCTGACTACGTTGCCTAGCTCTGTTGCGGTGGTCCCCCTTCGCGTGACTGCTGACCAGGTTGTCGTCAATGCTTTCGGTGTCAGCCGACAGAGGGTTCAGCCCAGGCTTTTCTCCCTTGCAGTTCCGCTTACATGAATATTGCTGCACGCTGGCCAGTGTCTTCGGAGCAGCCCAGCGTCCACGATGGTTCTAAGGGGTCACCCCAGGGCGTCTGGGAACTTCGACCAGAAGCGGGCAGTGCTTTTGACGAAGTTCAAGGGGTTTCAAATCCGCAGCCAGCTGTTGACGCTGAGAGCGCGGGCGTTGCAGCTAGGCGAGCGGGGAATTCTGCCAGCCCTTTCGACGCTCTCTTCTCTCGTTGTCTTTTAGAAAGCGTTGGGGCTCCGGAGCCGTCAGCTCGCATTGCGGACGGGGCAGCGACGGTCACTCCGGCTTTGCATAATCAGAACGAGAAGCGGGACTTTTTTGAGCTCCGCACAGCTGGGAATGACGGGTCTTGGCAAGGGCGGTCGGGGGAAGAGTCGGGCTCGGAGCCTCAGGTTTGGAACATCGAAGAAGCAGGGGGAGTCATGGTGACGGGCTTGCCCGTCGGATCCTCGTTTGGGCGAGGCACGTGTAATCCTGAGGACGTGCCACGTGGCAGAAAGCGGCTGCCCGTCTATGAGGACGGCGTCGATTGGGAGGGCGTCCGGGCGGCAAGCTTGGAGGACGTTGCGGACACAATCAAGGAGCGGGGCATGCACGTGATGCTGGCGCAGCGGTGAGTTGAACGAAGGAGGCAGAGCAAGTTTGACACGAAGTTGGATACAATGTGTTCAAGGAGGAGAACTGATCGGACGAGGCAGCTCCCACCGACGTGCCTCGTCGACCACTGAACGAATCGGTAATTGGAAACTTGTGGGGAAAAGTCGTGTCTTTGACCATCTTTCTGCTTCCCATATTCAGGTTCGTTTTCTGATCAGGGAATGGTTGTGTAAGATACTTCGCGCAAGTACCTAGACTCAAAATGGCCCGCCTTTACTCGAGTACACCCTCTTCAGCCAGACAGCCAAGAGCCTTTTAACCCGCCCCATCCCTCTCGTGCAGGATCAAATCGTTCCTGGACAAGGCAAAGGCCGAGCACGGCTGCCTCGATCTGGAGTGGCTGCGCGAGCGGCCGGCCGCGGAGGCGCGCGAGTACCTCAACGGCCTGCACGGCCTAGGCATTAAGAGCACCGAGTGCATCCTGTTGCTCTGCTTGCACAAGCCCGCCTTCCCGGTGAGCCGGCCGTCGTTACCTTCGCTTTCTTTGTGGTGCTCTGAGGAAACAATACGAGTCCAAAAGGTTGAGAGGGTTGTCATCGCCTAAGTTGCTGCTTCTTTTCCGCTTTGGTCTTTAGCGAGCGTGGTCGATTGCGGAACGAGCGTCGACATGAATTCTCAAGGGACGCAAAACCTCACGCTGTCTCTGTTCTCGCATACCCTTGCTGCCACATTCACTAAACCAGCACGAGCTCTTTCAACCATCCTTATCCTACTTCTCCGACGAACAAAGATGCATAGTCTCCGGATGATTCATCTGCTAGTCCTCTTACCGCCCGACAACACGAGCCAAAGCGCTTTTCTTTCCGGTTGATCCTCGCTTCTGGTCCGCTCTAAGGCTGGCGCTGAGCGTGCCCTTTCCCGTATGCAGGTGGACACCAACGTGGGCCGCATCTGCGTGCGCCTGGGGTGGGTCCCCTTGGAGCCCCTCGACGAGGAGCTGCAGCTGCACCTGCTAGACCAGTGAGTGCCCGGGTGCCCCCCCCGGGCAGTCTGCCAAGTCCCAGCTTCTCAACAGAGCCAGGTATTTTTTGAAGTACGGCTCCAAGTCCCTGCTACTCTCGAGCGCGTCCGGCCTCAATCAGGGACAACTGATCCAATTGCTTGCTTGTCATTTGTGAGAAGCACAAACCTCGATGTGTCTCTCCCTGTGCTTTTTGGCGAAAGGTGGATCTTTGTGGAGGTACATGGACCTAGGTCCTAGTTGCTTTCGATCATTCCATTTAGTCATTGGGCATGACGAGTCACTTTTGCTAAGCGGACAGCCCTGACAATCAACAAAAGTACGCAGCAGAGAGGTGCAGTCCGGGCGATTGTCCGTCCACCCTTCTTGGATCTTATGCTCGCGGGTCTTGAGCAGGTACCCCATCCAGCAGCGGCTGCAGGAGTACCTGTGGCGGCGGCTGAGCCACCTAGATCAGCGGGAACTCTACGAGCTGCACTACCAGCTCATCACCTTCGGCAAGGTGGGAGCCGCCACGTGGCAACAGCCCACAAGCAGGGTACCCGTCCCAGCCACGAAAAGGTTGTTTGCACGTTGAAGGCAGGATTGTCCTGGAGCTGCGTTTGGGAACAGATCGGAGAGAGACGTTTTCTGACAGCTGTCATCCCGTTGCATTCTTGTTCTTAGGTGTTTTGCACGAAGCGGCAGCCCAACTGTTTGGCGTGCCCCATGCGAGATGAGTGCAAGCACTATGCGAGCGCCAAGGCCCACAAGTGCGTGCCCTGACCCAGCTCCTATTATGTTCTGCCAGCATTTTTAAGCTGCAGCACCACGGACGTCTGATGCGTTTGAGGCATCAACAGTTGAAAGCCTTCGACCGGCTTTTTCGAGCACTTTCGTCGAAGTAGGTCACTTGACAGGAGGCTAGCAGCTCTTGAAGACGGCAGAGCCGTGCTCTTGAAGATCCGTCATCAAGTCTCCAAAACGGGGGAAATAGATTGCTCTTACCTCGGCCAAACAATCTGCTGCTTATCCTCATGACCATCTGTTGACCCCTCCTGTTGATGGATGCACAGGTTTTCGGCTGCTGTAAGCCTTCAGACCTGACGCCTTGTTTCCCTGTTTGGCAGGGAGCAAAAGCTGGCGCTGCCAGAAGCCAGCCCGCTTCCCGACCCGCGCACCCCGCCGCCAGTTTCCCCAAGCCCGTCCGCGCCCTCCCCTCCACCTCTTAAGAATCTCAAGGCACCGACACCGAGATTCCAACCACACGGACTGGACAGACCACAATTTCCCACCCTGCAGCCAACGGAGCTCAGTCCACAGAAAGGCTACGAGCCCCATAACGTTGGCGAAGCAAGCGGGGAAGACGATCTCAGCCGCAACTGGGCCGTGCTGAGAGCAACCGGGGGCAGCCACCGGGCGTGGTACACGGAAGTCCGGGACACCGGGGCTCGGTTCCGAC